AATGGCTGTCAACCATATTCTTGTGTGCACGCCAATCTCTGAGTGCCGAGAGATTTCAGGGGTGCTGGCGTATACCTCAGACTTGGTTTCCTTAGAATGGAAGTCACTGGAGAAGGTGGTGTCTTTGTGATAATGTGGTTTTATTTACACACAAATATACAAACTGAGCATAAGATGGAAGGGCTCACAGCACATCAACCAGATCTTGCTCCCCCACCCCTTAGGTTTTGGGAGTGAGATGGTCCCAAAGTCATAGTCTTGGAATCGGCATGGAGAGCCGATGGAGAGCCAGGTGAGAGGAGGGAAGACCTGCTCCCTTTGGAAAGCATCACTAGCTAGTCATCCCGATGGCAACACATATGTACTCGGCCAAGTCTTTAGTCATGCAAATAGGACTTGGTTAGGGCCATTAAGAAAACAGACTGGTGTGGCCATTTCAGCAGGTTTCTCCTTCTGCTGGCTTGAAGTGGACCCAAAGATGACACCCAAACTAGTCCTCCCATCCTGTGATGTCCAATCCCCAAGTTCAGAGGCACAAACTGAAGAGCAGGCTGTAGATTATAGGCCCGGCTTGTGTGCTTGCCAGAGGCATCTGACTGGTTACTGATGGAAAGGCGATACTACTAGCTGGACCATTGGGTCAATCCATTCAGCAGGGTCCATCTAATATCCTTGGCATAACTCAGTAACATCGCATCTGTCTTGCATGGAGAAGGTCTCAGGTTTAATCCCTGGGGATCTTTCTTCAGGCAGAGCTGGGTAAGACCTTGGATAGCGGCTGCCAGTCAGTGTAGAAAGTACTGAGCTAAAATAGATCCAATGGTTTGACTCAGTGTAAGGCAAATTAAGGGACGCGGGTGGCGCTGTGGGTTAAACCACAGAGCCTAGGACTTGCCGATCAGAAGGTCGGCAGTTCGAATCCCCGCGACGGGGTGAGCTCCTGTTGCTCGGTCCCAGCTCCTGCCCACCTAGCAGTTCGAAAGCACATCAAAGTGCAAGTAGATAAATAGGTACTGCTCTGGCGGGAAGGTAAACGGTGTTTTCGTGCGCTGCTCTGGTTCGCCAGAAGCGGCTTAGTCATGCTGGCCACATGACCCGGAAGCTGTACGCCGGCTCCCTCGGCCAATAAAGCGAGATGAGCGCTGCAACCCCAGAGTCGGCCACGGCTGGACCTAATGGTCAGGGGTCCCTTTACCTTTACCTAAGGCAAATTAATTCCTATGTTTAAATGATGGTCTTTGGTTATTGATTGTGCATTGTGATTAAGTTGATTGTGTCAGCTTTTATGTGGTAGGAAGAGTTAGCGGTGCCCTCTTTTTTGTATTTATAGATAATATTTTTGCTGTTTTTATTTTAAATTTTGTATATTTTATGTATCTTTTTTTGTAAGCTGCCTTAAATCTTCTTTTTTTGAGATGGTGCCTGCGAAAGATATTCCCAGGGTAGAATTTCCCCCATGAAACCCTCCTGATCCCTTCTTTGGAGGCATTTTGGGTGCATAGTCTTTCGCAAAGCCCTTGGACAATGCTGCAGTTCATCACAGTCTCTTACATTTTCTGGTCCCTTAGCTATGAATTTCAGGAGGTGGGAACAGGGTGATTTGGTGAAACCTGGGGAGCGTAAATGTGGAATTTGCTTATTTAATTAAGGACTTCCCTAATTCCCACCCCCTTAATAACCGAAGCACTGGAATGCTAGGCTGGTTAATGTATTTATCCAGGCTAAGTTAGTTGAAATTAACTCCCACTTATATACATGAGATAAGTTCAACATCTAACACACTGTGGAAATAGCATTGCAAAAATGTGCATAATAGGCAACATTGCATTAAAAATTTGTTACTTGGGAGAAATTTGCAGTCAATGAATTTTCATGAGCATTAAAAACCTTGTGTGTTTGCGAATGTGCGAATTGATGCAAAGTGCGGGGGAACTGAATTTAAGACTGGAAAAATGGGAAACTGGGTGAACTAGAATTGACAGTGCCTTCCTTCTTTAGCCGTGATTAACTTGGAACTAATTTTTTAATGATTGACTCGGATGTGTTTTAAGTCTGAATACAGAGCCCCAGATTGAAAGGTGGAGTAAAATTGTTGAAGACTGCCAACTTGAAGAAAACTCAGTTGATTAATTGTATGGTTTTTAGTTGATTGATCAAATGAGAGGTGAAACTAGGCTTTATTTCACCTCAAATACCAAGTTTGGCAAAAAACAACAACAAAAAAACCCAGCCACACATTTGCGTACAGACACTCACAGACTGGGAGCTTCAATGGTGCCCTTCTGGAGGTTTCACCTGGAGGGAAAAAAAGCCAGCAAAAAAATCCACATAAGAGTGGGGAAATACCAAGGAAGTTGGCTTGGGTTTTCTTTGTTTTTGGATCATGTGTCAACCCTGTTGCAATGTGACACCATTTTAGAAGAGGCATCCTGCTCTGTGTGTGTGTGAATGAGAGAGAGAAAACGACTCTCCTCAGAAGGTGCCTGCTACTCACATTTTTGTCAGTTCTTGAATAAAAATCATAAACAAAAAACGGTGTTACAATTACACTGAGCTCAGCAGCAGAATGGTAGAGCTTTGCATGCAGAAAGTCCTAGATTTCATTTCAGGCATCTCCAGTCAGGGCTGGGAGAGACTGACTTCCTGAGACCTTGGAGATCCTTTGCCAGTTAGTTGACAATACTGAGCAAGATGAACCAGCAGCCAGACTCAACATAAGGCAGCTACCTATGATCCTAACAGGGGAGAAAAGCCCTGCTGCATCAGACCATCTATGCATGCCTACCTAGTCCAGCATTCTGATAGGAGCACAATAGCTCTCTTGACACCCCCCCCCCAGGAACTGGTATTTTACCTCTCCTCCCGGAGGTGATAGCCTTGTCCTCCATGAATTTATCTGACCACCCTTTAAAGTTGTCTGTCCTGAATCCCCCAGCCTTCAACTCAATCAGATGACCATGAGTTCTTGTATTAACGAGAGAGACAGATCCGATAAATAGTTCAACCCTAGTCATAAACAAAGCAGTCTTGTCATTTTTTAAAAAGGCCTTCAGTGGTGTTTGAACACCCTTGTTGTGGCTAAGAAGAACAGTACATGCAGGGTTTAAGCTGTGCTGAGGTGGCTGTGGTTGGCTGCCGAAGGCCGAATCGGAAAGTCTTCTGGGTGAAGTGGCAACGGGAGATGTTGCTATCAAAAGGCAGCCAAGGTAAAAGTGAGTTTTGCGGCAACCCTTTTCTGGCAATGGCCTTGCAAAGCTCAGAACTCCTGCGCTGCCCTAACCTGTGGTGATGGGTGCTATGACAGGTAATCTCAGTTTCATGTGTCTAGCTGGGATGTTCATCAAAGAGTCAAACGCCCATGACTATGTGCATACAGTCATACCTTGGTTTTCGAACAGCTTCGTTCTCGAACGTTTTGGCTCCCAAACGCCGCAAACCCGGAAGTGAGTGTTCCAGTTTGCGAATGTATTTTGGAAGCCGAATGTCCAACGCAGCTTCCGATTGAGTACAGGAAGCTCCTGCAGCCAATCAGAAGCCACGTCTTGGTTTTCTAATGTTTTAAGAAGTCGAACGGACTTCCAGAACAGATTCCGTTTAAGAACAAAGGTAAGACTGTACCATATTTAAAGCACATGACGTCCGTCCTCCACAAGATTCCTGAGAACTGTAGTTTCTGAAGCATGCTGGGAGTTGTAGCTGGGTGGGAGAGTTTTGCTTGCAGTTCATGGCTAGCCAGAGAGAAGCACTCTGTACATGCTCAGGTGAACTTCCTGCTTTGAATACTGGAGAGTGGACCCCCGGCATTTAAACAGATTTCTAGGTGAGTAAGTTCCAGTACTGAATCCTGACCTAGGTGTACTCTTCATGATCCCCTGCAAAGTGGATGAACTTTTTCACATAAATCGGCTGTGACTTGCCCAGCCTGGCTTAGCACGGGAAACAGAACTCTGTTGCAAATGTGTTGCTAGGATGGTTAACAGACATGCTTAGCATAGTGAATCAGTCCCAGCCAGCATGCTCAGTGGTCAGGGATGATGGCAGCTGTAGTCCAAAAACATCTGGAGGGCGCAGGTTTCCCACCCCTGCTTTAAACTAAAGATGAGCTGAAATGAAAGGAGGGCTTGCATGCTGCTGCAGGTCAGTGTAGACAATACTGCGCTTGGACTTGGAATAAGGCAGATTCTTATGTTCCTATCCCAACTTTTTACTGGCTCCCTCGGCCAGTAAAGCGAGATGAGCGCTGCAACCCCAGAGTCTATCATGACTGGACCTAATGGTCAGAGGTCCCTTTACTTTACCTTAGGCCTCGATACAGGTCCATCTAGAGAGCCAGTGTGGTGTAGTGGTTAGTGTGTTAGACTAGGACTTGGGGGACCAGGGTTCAAATCCCAACTGAGCCATGGAGCTTGCCGAGTTACCTTAGGTCAGTTCCAGTCTGTCTGCCTAACCTACCTCAAGCGTTGCCACAAAGGATGGAACGGGGAAATGCAGAGAACGATCTTAACCACCTTGAGCTCTTTGGAGGAATGATGGGATATATATGTACAGAAAAATAAAATACAGAGTGATTCCCAGCTATCCATGCTGGGCCCATTCTAGTAGGCTTTCAAACTTCCATTCCAGCCTCTTTGATCCTATATCACCTGCCGTCACCTCAGCCCACCTGCCTCTTGCTGCGGCTGCAGATTACGGCTGCCTGAATCATCGCTCACCTTTTAAAGGAAAGAGAGGCAATTTGGGGAGAATCCAGTCTCCCAAATGCCCTGTGGAAGAGGTCTGGGCTTGCCCGGGCCCTTGGAGGCCTGGCATGGTCAGCATCGCCGCCAGTGGCCAAGAGGCCTTTGGGATGTTCTCTCATTCTGAAAGAATTCCCCCCACTTGGTGGGTCTCGGTGGTGTCTGTCTCTCGGTTTTGGAAGGCTCTGCAGCTCCCTCTCTCTCTCTTCTCCCCCCGCCCCCCTTTGATCTCCTCCGAGTGTTTGCCCAGTCGATCAACCCAGACAGGGTTAGCGTCTGAGGTCAGTCGCTTTTCCATTCCAAACTCCCAGCCCATCGGTGAGAGGGGAGGAGATTCCGGTTACACCCCCCTCCTCGCCTCTCTTTTTCTCCTCACCCCAGACACACACCCTGGAGAGCTGCTTTATAACTCTGTTCCTCCCTGACCCAGGAACTTAATTTCCCTCTTGATGTGCTCGCGCTCTCTTTCTCTCTCCCCAAGGTTGTTCACCAAGCCATCTTCCTTTCCTAGAGAACCTTCTTCCCCTTAGCCTCTGGCCTGCTGGCTCCAAAAGATCCAGCACTTTGCCATTTGCCCCTGGGCCTGGATTTTATTATTTTTATTTTTTTAAAAAAGAAACTGGAAGAGAAGGCATTGAGTGAAGAGAAGAAGAGGAGGAGCAGGAGGGCGAACCCCACAACTGGATGAAGTTCGAGGGAAGAGACTGGGAGCCCCACTTGCTGGTGAAACATGGACCTTTCCCTCTGGACGGCTGCGCTTTAAGTGATGCTGCTTTTTGGAAGGCCTCGTGTCTGGCTGCTGGTGGCAGAAGGCAGAATGGACACTGGCGCGTCCTGGACAGGCGATAAAATGAGGAGTGTGTGCTGGGGGGTGTAAGAGCGGAGGGGAGGGAAAAAAGAAGAGCTTTCTTTGGTTTCTTGTTATTTCCCCCTCCTCCCATCCCTTCACCTTCCTCTCCCCACTCTCTTTCTCTCCCCCCCCCCCAGCCGCAGCCTCCTTGCAAATGTGATTGTTTTGTCTATCACACAAGGCAAAAGTGGAAGACTCTTCCTGGGTTTTGGGGGTGGGGGAACACACACACAAAAAGGAAGGAGGCGCAGCAGTGGCTGGCAGGAGCTCGGTGGGCGGCTGGATGCCTTTTTGGACTTTCCTCGGGAAGGGCTCGAAGCGAGAGGGCGGCCAGCGACGGCTCGGAGGGGAGCAGCACCTTCGCGACCCCATGCTGCCTTCACTCATCCTGTCTCTGCTGTCTCTCCTGGCAGAAGGGGCCAGCCTGCAGCCAATCAGGATGAGCCACCTAGGGGTGTGCCCCAACCAGCTGAACCCCAACCTGTGGGTGGATGCGCAGAGCACCTGCGAGAGGGAGTGCCAGGCCGATCAGGTGAGTCGGGGACGCTGTAGGTGAGCTCGCTCGCTCGCTCTCTCGCCCACCCGCTTTGCGAGAGCTTCGGCGCGCAGTTCCGGGCCTAGCCAGCAGGGGGTGGTGCTGTGCTCCCCTCGGGTGAAATGCCCTTCTATGGCAAAAGAGTAATAGCTCAGCCCGGGAGGTCGCATCGCTCGAGGGTTTGTCACCGAGGGAGGCTTAGGAAGGTGCCTCATCTGAAAAGCGCAGGAGTGGCTCCCCTGCATTCGGGATCTCTAGGGATTCAACCTGGGACCACCTGCATGCAAAGCAGATGCTCTGTCCTTGAGCCACAGCCCTCCCTGGTTTGTAGGCAGAAGGTCTGAGGGTCAGCCCCTGGCGTTTCCAGCTAAAACAGTCCCCGATTCATTCCCAACTCTGCTGAGACCACTGCCAGTCAGAGTGGACAGTGCTGTCCTAGACTGACCAATGACCTGACACAGCATCAGGCAGCTTTATATGCTCAATAAACTTTATGGTGCAGCTGAGAATCTGGCTTCCCTCGAGTTTTTTCGTTTTTGTTTTTTAAGACCTTCTGTTAAGAGGTCTTGGAAATAACCCTATCTGAGACACAAGAGGGTCTTGATAGACCCAGTGGTCTGACTCAGAATTCAGCAGCTTCCTTATGTTCCTTCTCTCTGCCAACATGGGCAAAGGGACGGTGCCTGCATTTACTCAGCACTCTGTACATGCTCAAGGGATCTATTTTATCTGCTTCTCTGGATGCTTCAGAGATACCGCAGGTTGTTAGGCTAACAAGCCTACATCGTTTTAGGATTGTTTTTCCATTTCCTTTCAGAAGCTACACACCTTCCCTCTTTTGCATAAAACTCAAAACATCAATGTGCCTATGTATAAAGTTGCAGCTGTAATCAATTCTCCCTCCATTTGTTTTGGGGTTTTTTGTGTGTGTGTTTTTGCACACCTTCTCTCACGCGCAATTCCCAGATGCAGGATGTCTGTTAGTCTAGATGGGTCACAGAAATAGGGGTGTCTAATCAAGTCATTGGGGCAAGTAGTACCCCCTCTTCACCTAACGATATGTTGTGCCCATGGAGCAGTACAGGGGGACTGACTCCTGAAGTGGTGACAGGTTTTTGGGTGCCAGGAAGGATGGCAGAATGGGAGAGAGAAACAGTTTTGACCCATGGGGCACAATCAACCACAGAACTCTTATGTGCAATGAAACTCGTAGGAGCTTTGGATGAGCGCAAATGATATTTGCACAAGAGAACTCCCCAATGCTAGTCTGTCATGGCTCAGTGACAGGGCACATATTTGCACACCAGAGAACTCCGGTTCAGTTCTCCAACATCTTCAAGTTGGGCTGGGAAATTATCCTGTATGGGAGCCAGTTTTAGACAAAGCTGAGCTAGATGGACCCATAGACTGAGTAAGGCAGCTTTTGGTGTACTTCCGAGAAGGAGATAATATTTTGGGTCATCCTTGAGCAAATGCTACATTTCCAAGGGGGTGGACAGTGGAGGAGCCAATGCTCGTGAATGTCTGCATGAATACATTCCAGTTTGGGAAACTGTAACATTTTGCTCAGCCTTAGGACTAAGCCGAAAGGCTGGTTCACATTGTCCCCTTTCCTCCTCCATGTGAACAGCCAGGGTCATGGGAACTTCTCTACCTTATCTGTATGCAGCCTGCAGCGTACGTGGGTGGTTGCGTGCATGATAGTAGGTATATGCATAGCTCAGAATGAGCCAGGCAGCTCAAGGAGAAAAGGAAGTTGCTTTGTAAACCACACAGTCCAAAGGGCAGTATCTAACGGTACTCCATCAAGTGTGGAAGTTGCTACAGTGTGCCTCATTCCCACACTCCTGAGACACGTGGAAGAAGCCAACATTGTGGCTCTTTCTCACACTTGCATTGCCCCAGGACAGGTGGCGCTGGCGTGGCAAGTAGACATGTCACTGGTGTTGTTAGTACAGCACAGGTGGGCATAGTGCCAATGCCCCTTGGGACTGGTGGGGTGGAGAGCAGAGAGGCGAATGGTAGGTGGAGCGCAAGCCAATGACAGGCAGTGCCAAATAATTCTCTCATGCACCCCACCCCACCCCATCCTCTCCTCTGCTGAGTTTTACAAGGGCAATACTGAGACTCGGGAAGCTGATAGGCAGAACGACCCCCTAGATTGGTTCTAAGTAAGAGGAACAGTGGAAAAGGGCCAACTGAGAGGAGATATGATAGCCAATATCTTAAGGGCTGTCACATGGAAGATGGATCAAGCCTGTTTTGTCCTGCTCTGGAGGGACATGAACAAATGGCTTCAAGTTACAAGGAAGGAGATTCCGACTAAACATCAGGAAGAAGTTTCTGACAGTAAGAGCAGTTTGATAGTGGAGTGGACTCTCCTTCCTCTGAGGTTTCTAAGTGGAAGTTAGAAGGCCATTTGTCATGGATGCTTTTGTTGAGATTCTTGCATTGCAGGGGGTTGGACTAGATGACTCTCAGGGTCCCTTCCAACTCTACAATTATCTGATTCAAAGAAGGCAGGCAAGTTGGGTGAGCAGACATAGGTTGGTGAGGCAGTTCCCTGTTCACCCTAATGGAGCAGTACCCATTCATGCTAATGGTGCAGTCGCCACTGACAGATGGGAATGGTAATTGCTGCTGAGGGAATGGAAGCCCCTACATAATAATAATAATAATAATAATAATAATAATAATAATAATAATTTATTATTTAAACCCTGCCCATCTGGCTGAGTTTCTCCAGCCACTCTGGGCGGCTCACTTCCATGTGGAGAATTCCATGCATCGTCATCATTTTCATTATTACATTTGAAACCATTAAGCTCAAGGCAGCACACATGCTTTCTTGCTCCTCCCCCCCCCTTTATCCTCACAACAATCCTGTGAGGGAGGCTAGACTAAAAAAAAGAGAGACCTGACTCAAGGGTCACCCAGTCAGCTGAGTGAGGATTTGAACCCGCATCTCCCCACTCCTAATATGACACAGTATAAACCATCACATAGGAAACAACACACAATATGTTTCCATGTAGGAAAGTCTTTCTTGTGTGAAGTGGTCCTTCCTTCCTTGGGAGGTGCAAGCGGTTGCTAGGAAACCAGAATAGGATCCTCCCTGACTCTGGCTTTAACACCCACCCTCAAATACTTGGTTAAGCCCCATCCTCTGCTTTTGCCATCCATTCTTATCAGTCCCCCACATAACTGGAAATTTATATATTTGCATATGTGATGGCAACTGGAGGTGGAGAAAGAGAGGGCAGAGGGTGAAGAAAGAGCTGTGAGTGGGTGGAGGACCTTCTTCCCAAACTTTGGATCTCCTGGGAAACTCAGCAAACCTGCTGTACTTGGAACTGGGTGTGGAGAGTACAGTTGAATGGGACATAGTTGTGGGTAGCCAGAGAAGGTGCCATCCACCTGCCTATAGAAAGCAAGTCTAGAGTGAGAGACTAGGGTGATGTCTGCTATTTCCAGGAACTCTTCTCCCTGTAATACTTTAATGGATGATCTGAGAGTTTGTCTGGACCCTGGATGAGAACCTGGAAGCTGAGAGGGAGGGTGTGTCAGAAGGAAAATGAACTGATACTGATTTTTAAAATATAACTTTCTATTAATTTTTATATGCAGCTGTTTATTTTTGTAATAGTTTGATTAAGTTGTCTGTTGTTGCTTCAGTTTTCTATAAACCGCTTAGAAATATTTTTAATATATTAAGCGGTATAGAAATCAATCAATCAATCAATCAATCAGTCAATCAATCAGCTTTGTCAAATTGTTGAAAAATTCTTTCCAATTAATCCCTCCCTTCCTCTCACACCCTTGTGTGAGAGACCGTCCAAAAAAATCTTTTTTGCTCAAAGTGGTAAACTGGTTCCCCCATCCCCACCCCAGTCAGGGTCATTTTCAATGGGATGCCAGAGGAAGGTGCTGACAGCTCTAGACAAGCCATGCTGCCTCATCCGGAGATGGGTGGCATTCTCTGGACCACAGACTTCCCTCCCTTCGAGCCAAATAATTCATCCCTGAACCTGCTCTAGTTCTCACTGAGGTGTTAAAAGGTTGGTGGAGGGGAACCGAAAATTTTTTTTTAATCCCCCTTGTGTGCGGAGGATTACTCCATCAAGGCCTTTTCCTTCCTTGCTTGTTTCAAGGGGTTTGTGGTTTAGGCCGCAATCCTAAAGCAAGATGAATGTCAGCTGAGGGGCCAATAGATACTGCTTAACTGCTGCTCTGCCAACAGAAGGAGGCTCCCCTGCACTTAACATCACTGGCACACCTACAGAAAACCCTCAGAAGCTGCCTTATACTGAATCAGGCCCATTGGTCCATTTAGCTCGGTAATCTCTACATTGGCTGGCAGCGGCTCTTCAGCCTTTCAGGCAAGGATCTCCCCCAGCAGCACTTAGGAGAGGCCAGAATTTGAACCTGGGACCTTCTGCATGCAAAGCAGATGTTGAGCTATGACTGAGCAACTATGGTCTTCCCACAAAAGCAAAATTAGCTGCCTTATATTGAATCCATCCAGCTCAGTTCTGTTGACACTGACTGGCAGCCGCTCTCCAGGGGTTCCAGGCAGGGGACATTCCCAGTCCTAACCTGGAGGTGCTGGGGATCGAACCTGGGACCTTCTACAGTGGTGGATGTATCCGTGGTAGTGTGTATATGTGTGGAAACAGGGCACTTTGGGGGCAAATGTGAATCAGCAAGACCTCTGTGTTGACCTTCATGCTCCCACAAAGGGGCCCTCAAGTATGCCAGTCCTGCAGCTGGTGTAACTAATTCCCTCCCATTCACCACAACTTGTATGGGAGAAGCGGGATGTGGGGGTTAAGAAAAATCATGGCCACAATTTAGAGAAGGAAAAGGCACCGCAACACCACTCTGGCTGCAGTGAGCCAGCAAGGTTTTGGAAACCACCACAGAAGTGTCCCCTCAGCACCAGCATAGTATTAATTTATTTGCCCAGGTTTCTCCTGACTCATGAAATTGGGCCCTGGTTTATGTGTATGAAGCCCTTGAATCTGTTTTATTTGCTTTTTATCTTTGTTTTATTGATTTTAAGCTGAATATTAATTGTTGTTTTTTGTTAGTAATAATAATAATAATAATTTATTATTTGTACCCTGCCCATCTGGCTGGGTTTCCCCAGCCACTCTGGGCGGCTTCCAACAAAGATTAAAAATACATTAAAATCAGGCTGTTTTAACAGGAGCTGATTTCATTTTGCACTTAGTGTGCACTCACTGCATATATATATATATATATATATATATATATATATATAGCTATATAGGTTTAGAATAAAGACTTCCAGAGTAAAAGTAAGATACAAAACCACACATAACTGATTAATAAGAAGCCAGCCAAACCACCACCAGCCAAACCAGCCCCCAAATACAAAAATCCAGCTAAAACTCACCAGCTGTCCAATAATAGGATTACTCTGCCAAATAGTAGCAGGGTTTTTGTTGTTAAACTTCTGGTTGTGAACTATTTTTTAATGTGATTTAATTGTTATAGGAGATACCATTTCTTGCATATTTTGTTATTTCCGTGGAGTGGGAACTGCCTTGAGAATGGCTGCAGTTCCGTAATAGAACATCTGCTTTGCATGCAGAAGGTCTCAGATTCAATCCCTGGCAGGGCTGGGATAGTTCCTTGTCTGAAATTCTTGACTGAACTAGTTGGGCCTTAAGTTGGACTCGAGTAGAATGCAGCTTCCTATATGCATATGTATTTATTTATTGAATTTGAATTCATACGCCACCTTCCTCCCTAAGGAGCCCTGGGTGGCAAACAGTTACACAACTTAAAAACAAAGCAGAAACATTCTTAAAATGTTAAAACTTACAATTGAAAACATTCTAAAAGCAATAGGAGTTAAAAGCATACTTCCATCCAGCTATCATAGAACTGTAAAGTTGGAAGGGATCACGAGGATCTAGTCCAACGTGGGACTCAAACCCACGACCCTGAGATTAGAGTCTCATGCTCTGCCAACTTAGCTATTTTATCTCAGGATTACCAGGAACAGTATTCTTCAGCTACCAGATATGCTTGTGTGAACAGGTGTGTTTTAAAATTCTTCCCAAAAGCTAATGAATGGAGACAGGCTCACCTCAGAACAGAGGGCATTCCACAATTGGGGAACCACCACCGAAAAGGCCCTGTCACACCTAGTTTGATGGGAAAAAACGATGCTGATTCACTCAAATCTAAAAGTTCTGCTCCTCCTCCTCCTCTGCAGGATTGCGAAGGCTTTGAGAAATGCTGCACCAACGTCTGTGGCCTGCGGAGCTGCGTGGCAGCCCGCTATGCGGACGGAAGCCTCTCCTCGCTGGAGCTGGTGCAAGAGGCCACATGCGAGAGCTTTGTGTGCACGCAACAGGGCTCGGACTGTGACATCTGGGACGGGCAGCCCGTCTGCAAGTGCAAGGACAGGTGCGAGAAGGAACCCAACTTCACCTGCGCCTCCGACGGACTCACCTACTACAACAAGTGCTACATGGACGCCGAGGCCTGCATCCGGGGCATCAGCCTGGCCGTGGTGCCGTGCAAGTACATTTTCACCTGGCCCAACACCAGCCCGGTGCCGATGGAGACCACGGCTCACCCGACGCCCGGCACAGGCACTGAGCTGCCCATACCGCCGGCCCTCTACAACAACCCCTTCCACCAGTTGGTCTACGTGGGGGGCACGGTCAGCTTTCACTGCGATGTGAGTGGGCGGCCGCGCCCTGACATCACGTGGGAGAAGCAGAGCGACCACCAGGAAAACTTCATCATGCGGCCCGACCAGATGTATGGCAATGTGGTTGTGACCAACATCGGCCAGCTGGTCATCTACAACGCCCAGCCGGAGGACGCCGGGATCTACACTTGCACGGCCAGGAACTCCGCCGGCCTCCTGCGGGCGGACTTCCCACTGTCTGTTGTCAAGAGAGAGCACTCCAGAGGGGAGCCGAAGGCATCCAGCCCTCCTCAGCTCCCGCCCGGCGAGTGCCTGAAGGAGCCTGACAAGCAGGAATGCGAGGCCTACCAAGTCCGCTGGCATTTTGACTCCAAGAGAGGCTTGTGCACCACTTTCCGCTATGGCGGTTGTGGGGCTAACCAGAATCACTTCGACACCTACGAAGAGTGCCAAGTGGCTTGTGTCAATAACGCCGTCAACCTCTGCACTCTCCCCATTGTGCAGGGCCCCTGTAAGAACTGGGAGCCCCGCTGGGCTTACAACCACCTGATGAAGCAGTGCCACTCTTTCATCTACGGAGGCTGCGAGGGCAACGAGAACAACTTCGATGGCAAGGAGAGCTGCGAGGACGTCTGCCCTTTCCCCAAGACGCTGCAGTGCAAAGCCTGCCGTCTGAAGAGCAAGATGGTGCCCAGCCTCTGCCGCAGCGACTTCGCCATTGTGGGACGGCTGATGGAGATCATCGAGGACCAGGATTCTGGCATTGCCCGCTTTGCCCTGGATGACATCCTCAAGGACGAGAAGATGGGCCTCAAATTCTTCAACATCAAGTACCTGGAGGTGACCTTGACAGATATGGACTGGAACTGCCCCTGCCCCAACATGACCACCGAGGACGGGCCCCTCATCATCATGGGCGAGGTGCAGGAAGGCATGGCAGTCCTCGACCCCAACAGCTATGTCCGGGCCGCCAATGATAAGCGGGTCAAGAAGATCCACGAACTGCTGGAGAAGAAGACGTGCGAACTTCTCAACCGGTTCCAGGACTAGCATGGGCGGCAGTGACAGCTGCTGCTTGTCTGTGGCAGAGAAGGGAAGGCAGACGAAGGCTGACGTCTCTTTCCCCAAGAGACTCTGCTCTCCTTTTCTTGTGCTGTGCTGCAGCTATGCAAGGACTGGGTTGGAGACTGGCAGGACAAATCTGGCACTCCTGGAAAGCCCATGAGCCTCCAAGTGGGTGCAGAGGGGCGAATCCTTATTCCATGCCACCTCCACGGACCTGCCTCTCATTTTTAGATGTTTTCAGTTATTATCACTACTGTTTCAATGAGCTCCATTATTGCTTGTAACTACCTATTGTCTGTTTTTGTGTGTGAGAGAGAGCTGTAATTTATCTGCGCCTGTGACATCCCTTCAGCCCAGCCTATGTGGAATTAATAATAATAATAACAAAAAGGAAATCCTGTGTTCCTTCTACACTGGAGGTTGTTCTCTACCAGCCCCTTTCTTTCCTGTTGTAAAAGCAAATTCTGCTTTTAGCCCAGAGTTACTAGCGAAAAAGGTCATGAGGACTAGCCTCCCATCAAATAATGGCAAAGGGGAGGGGGAGAAACAGGCTTACTGTAGCCGGATGCGGGTGGGGAGCAGAGTTTGCAAAATGTGAGAGGGACCTTCCTAAGGAAGGAAGAACAATTGCTAAAGGAGAAACAGAAAGTGACAACCACCTGCCCCAAATGTGGCTGGATGAGGAAATTAGATCCTCTTTGGCTTTGATTTGCAGTGCTCATGTGGCTATTCCACTTTTGGATTTGTTCTTAAGGCAGGGATGGGGAAATTGCCCTCCACATGGATGTTGTAGTTCAGCAACATCAAAGGACTGTTTTAAAGCAATATTGTGGGCCTGCAGCAGTGCTGGCCAAAGCAGAATCGCCTCCCCGTCACAAGCAATCCTATGCAGAGCCACACTTATTTGCACAATCAGTTTGGGGTTATTTTGCTGTGTGCAGCAATGGACAGAAAAACAACCACTTAAAAGTCTGCATGAACCCTTTCTAGTTCTACTGTGGGAGGAAAAATGCTTCTGATGACTGCCTGATGCTGGAAGCTCAAGAGTGGAGACTCCTGTTTGAGTCTCCCTGCCTGGGCAACTGTCAGAACAGGATACTGGACTAGGTGGGTCATTTGCCTGATCCAATAGACTCTTATATTCAGAGATGGATTCTGGATCAAATTGATTTTATCTTCTCAGGTTACGTATTGCAAGGTTTACTCCTTTGTTATGGAAGCTGCTTTGAACATTATTATAACAGAAAAGTGGGGGTACAACTATTTAATCTAAACTTTGGCTTTGCTTGTCATCAACCTAGACTACGTAGGAGAGTAAAGCTCTGGTACTTCAGTCGAGTACAGTAAATGAATACATTTCTCACATAGCAATACCCAAGCAATATATTTATTTGCACTCAAATGCAGCAGAGTCCACACAGTATTACATTCACACAGATCTCCCCGGCAAAGTTCTTCCTCCTTGCTATTCCCATAAGTTCAGCCCTTAGCTATACATTGTTGCTGCTCTAGTGGCTGATCACCACTAGAGGGAGCTATTACTTCATACAGATTTTTTTAAAGATGTGCTGGAGTGATTTGCTACCTCTTGAGGAACACTTGGAACAGGCAAAGGGGGGGGGGGAATTACTCAGCTGAAGACTTGTTAAAGCTGCTAGACTGTAAGCTAACCTACAGAGGCAGGTGGGTATGTTGTTATTGGGGTGGTAGCGTTTCAGACTACAGGAGTGGAATTACATTATTGAATACCCAGTATTTTAACAACTTTGTTGTAAAGAGTCTGTAAAGAGTACTAGTCATCAAATCCATCTTTCCCATCTAGCTCTGCACGATAGCCTTCAGTTACTTGGGGAAGTGTCATTCTGAGCTTTCCTTCCTCCCATATTCCGTAATATTTTCTACTCCGAAATCCCCTCTTAACCCAAAAGTCACAGTTACAGGGTCAAAGGACATTAAGGTCTCCATCAAAGAAGGCCTGAAAACAAAGCCTTCACTGAAGCAGGCGAAAGGTAATAATCATGCACAAGAGACAAAGGTGTTTGAGATGGGTACATGGATGCCGTCTAACCCACAACTTCGAAACCAGCACTAAATACCAAAATCGAAGCATGAACGGGCTAGTTGGGGGACCCGCAGGCCCTCCAGATGTGCTTGGGCTCAGTTCCCTCCATCCCTGCCTCCTCCCCTGGCCATGCTGCCTGGGGGCTGATGGGAATTGGGAGTCCAAGCACATCTGGGAGGACTGCAGCTCCTCCATCCCTGTGCTAGCTCAACACTGGCCAGAAACCTTTGAGCAAAGCTCCATTCTCTGTAAAGGCTTTTCTCTCCTGATGCAGATCTTCATACAGGACATCATTCCCATCTCACCAAGAGCTATTTTCACCCAGGAGCCGAAGAAGCTACTAGAAACCTGGTGGGCTTGAGCACGACAGACACAGAGCAAATTTGGCGACGGCAGGCGACACTTTGACCGTCCTTGGTGGTCCCTTCTCCTTGGCAGAGAAAGCGGATGGGCTGGCTTAGTGTTTGCGGAAAACAAGACACTTGTTGTTTGCAGGCATGTCGACCTGGAATCAGAAAATCTTGAGGTTACTTGAGACACTTGGCAGCCACATTATACGGACGCAGGCACACAGTTCAACCAAAGACACCACTAGGCCTCTTCAGGTGTCTCCCCCTCCAAGCCAGATTCTCATTGCAGGGGGTGGGGAGAGTGAGGGGCACATTCCCTAGAGCCTCTTCCTCCCTTGTATGACTTTCTCCTCTCCTGCAGCTCTCCACTTGTTGGGGGCTGCAGTTCTGCACTGGCAAACCTGCCCTGCTCCTGTAGGCAATGACAATAATTCGGTGGTAGGGCATCTACCTGGCATGCAGAAGGTCCCACACTCAATCCCTGGCATCTCTGGGCAGCCCTGGCACAGAACCCTTTCTGACATTCTGGAGAAGCACTCAAGAGCAGGCAATACAGAACGGGATGTACTAATGGTCTGACTCCATATAAGGCAGTTTCTTAGGCTCTCCATGCAACTCAGAACCCTGGAAGGTCAGGAACCTAAATTGCTTGGAGAGCCCAGCATGTGTGGGGAAGCTCTGGAAGAGGCGGTTGTAGCGTGGTGGAACCAGTACAATGATACTGGGTGCCACAATGCAGGGGTGCCACAACAATGCTAAAGAATGGAAGGTGGGGACGTCAAATTTTTGTGCTGCACTGGAATTTAAGAGCCCAAAGACTGCAACCCCCTTTAGCCATCCAGCTGTTGACAAACTAAACAACTCCCACCACCCCTGGCTGTTGGCCATGCTTGCTGGGGCTGATGGGAGTTGTAGTTCAGGAACATGTGGAGGGCCAAAGGTTCCTCACACCTGACCCACAAGAACGTCTAACACACTCTGCTTCGGAACAAGACAAGAAGAGCCCTGCTGGATCAGACCAAAGACCCATCCAGCCCTGCATTCTCACCATGGCGAACCAGAGGACTGCCAGGAGAACCTCAGCTACACACTCCCTCCAGCTGCTGTTCCCAGCAACTGATTCCCAGTGGAGGGAGAACTCAGCCACAGTGTTCTCATAGCGAAGGCACTTACCAAGAGACAAATTTGCTCCTCCCAAATTGATGTGCAACACGTATTTCCCCCTCCCTCACCCACAGATATCCTGTTGCCATTCGCGGGGGTGTGCTACTCCACACCTGGCCAACAACACTTCAGTGGTGGGAGAAACCAGCTGGGGAACCCCAAAGGAACTCCCAGGGGAAGAAGGCTCAGAGCCAGGGGGTTGGTGGTGGGATGACAAGGGGTGGTCAGAGGCAGAAGAAGGAGGCAGAACTGAGAGGAGGTGTCGGAAGATGAAGGGGCAACAGGGTTTGGTGAGCAGGAAGAGGCTGTGGCAGAGAGCAGTCCAGAAGAGGAGACTGGAGAGGAGAGGGGCCAAGAAGCAGAGATGAGTCAGGCTGGTGAAGAAGTCAGGGTGTCACACACTCCTGCTGCGACCAGATCCTCTCCCAACTGGTCTCCCAGAACCAGAATAGGGAGGAGCTTGGGAAGGACCCAGAGAAGGAAAAGATTTAGAGAGCTGTGGAAGGCAGGGACCTTCAGTTATTGCAACTGCCTCATTAGGGCAAGATCTGCTGGGAAGAGTTGCTGTGATTATTACGCCTAGCCTCCGAAGCAGAACTTGCTTCCTTGAATAAAGAGTTAACTGTACTGATGCCGTGTGACTTACGCTCCTGACACCCATCCCTGACAGGTGCCCATCTTCCCAGATCCTTGAGCCACGCTAGCCAGAGCTAATAGGAGCCAAACAACAGTTGTGGGGCAGCACACTCCCCCTTCCCCCAAACCTATTCTTTAGGTTCCTATGACCACCTACCATCCTCTCCAACCACATCCTATTGATCTCAGCAAACTGCTGCAGCAAAGCCGTGTCCCGGAGGCCCCAGGCTGGATTTCTGTGGTTGGGAGTGGAGGGGAGAAGAAAGAGAGAGAATGAAGTCTATCACTGTATTCAAGAGGTGCTTCCATACAGAGAGCAACACTGCTGCCTCCACATGAGGGTTTCCTACCCACCCATGTCAGAATCCTGCTTGAGGTGATGCCTACAATGGCTTAACAATCACTCCCTCTTCCCAGGGAATTCTGGGAATTGTAGCTCTGTGTGTGTGGGTAACGATGGCCTGAACTGAGCCATGTCTGTGCCTTATATGCCAAGCAGTGTTATACCGCTTTAGCAGTCATGACTTCCCCAAGTGTGGCCAGGAGACCCCGATTTCCCTCACACAGCTACAGTTGTCAAGAGTGGTGTAACTGTCAATCCCTCTTCCCAGGGAACTCTGGGAACTGTAGTTCTGTGAGGGGAATGGGGGCCTCCTAACAATGCTCAATGAACTACCATCTGGAGGCTGCTTGGTGGTAAGTCATGACTGTTTAAAGTGGTATAAGAGTGCTTTGAATGGATGGTGCAAATGTCAACCAAGTAAAACTCAGGAGTAGAGCCACACTACTGTTCCTTATTTTATATACTGTTCAATCAAAAATAAATAAATCTCTAAGCTATTTGCATAAAATGGTATAAAATAAACATTTAAAAATAGCAAAGGTAACCCCAAAACCCAGAGACTTGAGAAACAGTAGACATAAATAAAACCATCCAAATATACATAAAAAACCAACATATTTTTGAACCTGATAAAATTACATGTCTGGCTAGACTCGCTAAAACAAAAACAACAGAAAAGGGTTGTTGTTTTTTACCAAGCATCAGCCATAGTGCTTAATATTAATAGGAAGGGAGTTCCTAATGGTACCTACTGCCATGCTGAAAGTGAAGATTCCTTGCAGCTGCAGAATAAACATTATGCAGGACTTTTGAAAGTGCCTTTTCTGCAGATGGAAACAGCTGAGAGGGCACGGTAAACTAGTTCCAAAGCTGCTGAGGGTTTTATATGCTACGAGTAACTCCTTCGATTTGGCCTAGCTCCTCCTTACCTCTGCCTCAAGTAGGAATCAAAGTCCACGTTGCTCTGTGGGTAGATGCAGCCATTCACAGCATAAGGCTTGGAGTGGAATCAGGCAGGGGGAAAACACACCAAACAGTTTAAGACAAAGTGGTATCAAACAATCAATTTTTTTTATAAAAAATCAAATAATATGTGGGTTCTTTGTCCCGCGACCCCTTAACTCAGAACTGGAAAAAAATCTAAGAATTGAGACAGCTAAGTTTCTCTTAATGAAGCTTTCAGAAGTTAGGGGGGCTTTAATAATAATAATAATAATAATAATAATAATAATAATAATTTATTTATACCCCGGCCATCCGACTGGGTTTCCCAGTCACTCTGGGTGGCTTCCAACAGAACACTAAAAGCTTAAGAAAGCTTTTAAAAAAACCAGCAACCATCAGCCCTGTTACCTCAAAGTTGCCAGTGTGAGAAAATGCACCTTGGATTTTCTGCAGAGCCAAGGGTTGCCACTAGGGGGGACTGTTGGCCAAGAATGCGACCAACTTCCAAAAAAAAAACCCAAACCAGAGACCAAAGCAAAACATTGCATGAATCTCTATACACAGAATCACTAGGCTGTTGCAAAGAATAAACCTGCAGCCCTCAAGAGGTGGTTACTTCAGCTGCCCTCATTCTAAGCCAGAGTGACCAATGTCCAGGGATGTTGGGAGTTGTGGTCCAGTTACATCTGGAGTGGCACAGGTTCTGCACCACCACCAGAGGCCCAAGAATAGCAGCTTTGTGTTCTGGTTACTTTAGAGCAGCCTCCCCTGAGCTGGTGCCCTCCAGATGTTTCAGCCTACAATTTGTACTCCAAAACATCTGGAGGTTGCCAGCTTGAGGGAAGGCTGTTCTAAGGAGACATGATCTAAAGGAGTTCAGGGTCCTTGTACCATCATGCCCAGGGTCAAAACTACAATGTGGCATTAAAAGCATCTTTGAAAAAAGAATATAATTTCTCCCGCTCCTCTTTAAGTCCTGAGAAAAATCCTTCCTCTGCTGCTACTTGCAAATGGAAGGAAATTTTCCAGTGTATGTATGTAGCCAAATTCATACAACAGAGGGAGAATTTAGCAAGTTGGGAGGAACTGCAAGTTTTGCACAACATTTTTTGTTTTCTTTAACTGCTGGCTGGAGCTGATGGGAGTTGTAGTCCAAAATATCTAGAGGCCAGCTACTTGACAAAGGCTGCTTCAGCAAAAGCAGCATCTAGATTACAAGGATCCTGACTGACAGCTTACCCCATATGTGACCATCACCGCTTTAGGCTTTAACAGCTTTCCTGCTCCTCTGAACAAACCCTGTGGTTGGGGGTGGGGGGGCAGGGAATAATTAAACAAAATGCAAAGGAAATAGGTTAACAAGCTCATTTGGAAAGAGAATCACAAAGCACTTGCAGGATATGTATAAAAATTAGCAAGAAAGTGGCAACTGTTCTTTCCAGTAGGATCTTTCCTGTGTATCTAAATTCTATTTCTTGCAGCTTCCTTACGGAATAGTAAAAGAACACAATGTAAGTTTTTGCAAAATTGTGGTTGGTTTCCAGAGCAAGAGGCATCTTAGACTAACTCCTCTCCATAGATGCAGTTGGTCAACAATGGTGAGGGAAATGGACTCTATGTAGACTCAGGGGTGCTTCCTCTAAGCATGTGCAGAGTGCATTTCTCTCACTGTTGCATCAGTTTATTTGTAGGAATGCACGCAGGTCCCGCTTTCTGAACATTCAACGTGTTAAAATTCACTTATCCAAACACAGTGAATTAGTACTCAAACCTTACTATACACACCACAGATTCAGATATCCAAACAAAACATTTCTTTTTTATTTCCTTGTTTGCCTTTTACTGGTTGGCTGAGGAACAGAGGGAAAAAGATTGGACAAAATCAGAGAGCATGTTTTTTATATTTTTTGCTTTCGGGGGTCAAAATTCTGTGGTCAGGAACACATTATAAATTTCCCCACAGGAATCAATGGAAATTATCAACTCATTATGCAAACACTCTCATAACTAATAATTTCTAGGAAACGCATCGTTTTCAGTAAGCGAGACCTGCATGTACTTCTAACCTGCCAAATCATTGAAAAAGGTCTCATGGCAGTGTAATAATAAATTTGTTAAACCACCATAAAATTACAAAATCATAAGATACAGGAGAAATGACCAACACTGAATCAAATTAATTCTCTAAAATCACTTGGGAAAACAGAAGCATTTTCTGCAGGCAGCAAAATATCAGAAATGTTAGTGTTGGTCTGATTTCAAAGGGAATGGCATTCCAAAGGCCTGGTGCCGCTATACTAAAAGCCTCAGCTGGCCGTATGGTGCACCATTTGTAGGTGTATAAGCAACTGGGAGCAACACACTAGATTTCTGCTATTGGTGATGCCGGTTCCCTAAACAGCCCAGGAAAGGTTGTTAGCTAGAAGGACATTCAACCAAGAACCACAAGATGGCGCTTGCATTAGCTACACAGAGACCACTCAAGTCCAAAAGCAAGGAATGTGTAACTGCCTTCATTGCAACTCACTGATGGGAGGCTGGAGAAGGCACTTCCAATCAGGGCAGCAGCAGAGACTAAGGGTTAAAGCCCCCAACTCAACCTTCTCCCAATCCAGCTCACTCCCCTCTCTTTGCAACGACTATTTGTTTTTGAAAAATCTTGAATGCCATAGCTGATCTTTTGGGCTGCAAAAAGTCCAGGAGTTGGTAGGAACTCTTGGGTTGAAGATTAAGCAGAAATACAAAAACAAAAGTGGGAGCTGTTAGGACTAATACCCTTAACTCCACGGAACACATTCCCCGTTCCATTATTATTCCAATGAGCTATTATTCCAATGTCTCCTTCCTTCCAGTTTTTGTTTGGGCCCTTGACATGCAGCCTGCTGAAGAACCCAAACAAACCTGAAAGTTTGCTTTCTCTCACAGACCATTTGATATAAAGGGATTACTCTGCTGTTATTTTGGCTTTCATCCCCTCTCAAATGGATCAGTTGAGGATATTCTGAGAATTTTAAAATCGACCATCTAAATCAGAGGTAGTCAACCTTTTTATACCTACCGCCCACTAATGCATCTTTCTTGATGGTAAAATTTCCTTACTGCCCTCCAGTGCTCGATAGAAGGAGGATTCAGCTTGTGCCGTAGAACCTCCTACTGCCCACCTAGAATCCTGAAACACCTACTAGTGGGCAGTAGGGACCAGGTTGACAATCCCTGGTCTAAATGGATGTTGCTTCATTTAAAAACAGGTTCTTAAAATCTTATCTTTTTTTGGGGGGGGGGGGAATTAAGTGCCACGGTTCTTGGCGCTGTCTATGATTATATGAACAAGACTTAGTAACATAAGTAACTAGAGACTACAATGTTCTGCTGCTAGCACACAGCTAAACATGCATCTCCTACTATTTATTAGTGCAACACACACTTAGTGACTTTAAAAGGAATTAAAAATCACTTTTTTCTTCCAGTTTATAAGCATTTCCTGACTTAATGGCCTGTTGTTGCTTACCAGTGGAAACCAGTTAAGGAGCTACTTAGGTATAATTTGGACCTACTGCCAGGAAGCTTCTAAGATGTCAAAACAGTTAGTGTCATCTTTACCTGCAGAATTGGATTTAGGGTTGTGCAGGCGGTTCCCCTGCACAGGGCATTGAGCCAAGGGGCCATAAAAATGAGAAGATCCATACTTGAGAAGATCCAATTGGCCCCTGCCAACCTGATACCCGCTTCCAGATGTTGCTGGACCACAACTCCCACCACCCCTGACCAGTGGCAATGCTGGATGGGGCTGATGGGAGTTGGAGTTCAGCAGCATTTGGAGAGCCAGTGTTGGGCCAGGTACTTGGTCCAGCAAGCATTTGGCTCAGGTGGTGCTTGGCAGTCTGATTCTACTGGTGGGCGGGGTCAAAGGCAAAGGTGGGTGGAGTCATTAATGTAAATTTTACCTTTGTACAGCTGACTACTTTCTTCATTCATACCCCACTTTCTCTCTCTTGATCAGGCAGGCAAAAGGCATTATCCAAATTGCCCTGATAGAAATGTGCAGGAAAAAGTTCCCCGTTCCCATTATATACACTTACCTGGGAGTAAGAGGTGAAGACACTCCTTTTTACCTTCCGGCACCCTAGATGGATATTTCAGGGCCTTACCTTATTCCTGTGATTGCGTTTTAAACTTTTTAAATAAATTGCTTTCTTTTGCCACATATAACATTACAAACTTAAAAGAGATACAGACATGAACAATGGCTTGCCTGTTTGGTGCCATATGGTCCACAACTTTAAAAAGAAAATGATACAGTGCAGACAAATAGTTATTGCAGAGACATAAATTCAATGCTACAAATAATATTATGATTCCATGGAAGTGCAATGGAGCAGTCGTTAATAAGTCCTGGGATGCAATCAAATTCACATAAAATCATACTTTGCAAGAACTTCCTGTAGCACCACATTTCAAACTGTTTTTAGCATGGTGTTTCTGTTGTTCTAACCCGCCCTGGCACCTTAGGGTGAAGGTTGGGTAACTAAATCAGAATAATATGAAGTCCCATTCAGCTCAGTGGGCTTGACTTCCCAGCAGACACAGTACAGGCTTTCACTGCCAAGCGAGCTGACAGGAGCGTGGCCTCACCTCCGTGCAGCTCATGTCCGAGATATGAATCATGTTGATGTTGACAATGAGGTCCAGAGAGTCCGGGCGGAAGCCGCCCCACGTCTCCCAGCTGCGCGATGCATCCAAGTAAATGGGTGGCTTGACATTCGGGAGGCGGTACGCCCTGATAAATTCAGAAATGCTAGAAAGAGAAGGAAGAGAGCCAGACTGCAGATGGGGCAAGGGTCAACGGTAGAGCCGGCACCAGCAGTTTGCTCTCAATAGGGACAGGGGTGCCATCAGGGTGGGAGACTCTGGGGTACAAGTCCAGGGCCCTTCTCAGCAGGAGAGCCTCCAGGCAAAGCAGGGATGGATGATCTCATGTATGAGATGCCTATTGCCATTTACAGAGGAGGCCTTGCACAAGTCCATTAACTGCACAGTCTGAATGTGGGAACACAGGAAGCAACTTTTGGTCCACCAAGCTCAGTAGTTTCTACAAAGGTTGGCAGCAGCTCTTTGGGGGTTTCATGCAGCCCTACCTGGAGATGTCGGGGACTGAACCTGGAGCCTTCTGCATGCAGGGCAGATAATCCTGCCACTGAGCTAAAGGCCCCTTCCTAAAATGGCTTCATTGCACCACCGAACCAACCAGTTGAAAGCATAAAGCAAATCCAGCCGATAAATGAAGTGCAAAGGAGGTTGGTTGTGTTACAAGCAAAGCTGCTGAAGAGTTCAAAAGAACCCTTCCAATTAATCAATTAAACCTGCATAAATTGTGCATAGGAGGGAAATGACCCACAAGCTTCCTAAAAAAGAGGAAAGAGCAGCCAACGCTGCCCTTAAAGAGGGTCTTCTCACAGACAGAACGCCTCTTCCCAGATTGCACTTGCCATCCACAGCTTTTATAAACACTTTTAAAATGAGAAGTACTCATGCCTCTACCAAGGGCCACTGCGGGGCTGTCTCTCAACCCCCCCCCCTGGAAAAGGGGAGGCTGACCTGTCCTCATCCATTGGCCAATTAAGCAGCAGCTCCTCTCCCTATCCTGTTTCCCTTTTATAGCATGTCTATTAGAGTGTTAGCTTAATATATGAATGTTCTTAGGGCATTTTAGGTGCCAATGGAAACTTTGCTTTCAGTGGAAAGAACAAGTTGTATGGGTTTTTGGGGGGTGGGCTGTTTCTGGATCAGAACTGCAGTGGGAATAAAGTAGTAAGGCCCCTGTACCCATCAACCCATCCTGCCAGGAACCCAATTCAGATCCTGTGACTATGATTTACTGTAATTAACAACAACAAAAATGCCAACCACTAAAGCAATTGCTAATTACACAAGTGATGTAATATTCAGGTAAAGGTCAAGGGACCCATGGCCATTAGGTCCAGCCGTGTCCAATTCTGGGATTGTGGCGCTCATCTCGCTTTATTGGCCGAGGGAGCCAGCATACAGCTTCCGGGTCATGTGGCCAGCATGACTAAGCCGCTTCTGGTGAACCAGAGCAGCGCACGGAAATGCCATTTACCTTCCTGCTGGAGCGGTACCTATATCTACTTGCACTTTGAGGTGCTTTCGAACTGCTAGGTTGGCAGCAGCAGGGACCAAGCAACGGGAGCTCACCCTGTCGCGGGGATTCGAACTGCCAACCTTCTGATCAGCAAGTCCTAGGCTCTGTGGTTTAACCCACAGCGCCACCCACGTCCCGATGTAATATTAGTTTGGTACTAACTTCAAAGAATTATAGGCCTGACACTAAACTATGGTGTGCGCTATCCCCTAAACTAGGGGCTGGGCTGACTTCAGCCATGCGTGGTATACTTTCCTCCCCAGCCCCACCTGCCCCAAGGATTCTTGTAATATGTTTCAGATTTGCAAAACCAGAATGAATACTGAGATTTGCTGAAGAGTTAACGTGTAACAGAGCAGTGCTGAGTGATCCTGTGTTTAGAGGCATAGGAGGTGTTTTGCTGGACCTGGTCAAGGTCCATTGAGACCAGCCTTTGTAGCAAGAATCAGAGCAACCAACTAACCATGAAGCTGGCCAATCATTATGGACAAGCTCACTTTCAAGTACAATTTAAGGGACACTTTTTAACTACTGCTTTACATTAATTTGCCCAACCTCAACTGTCACCTAGGAACAGCCATTCCACCAGGCTTTTGGATTTGCTTCCATCCCTGCTGGTCATTTTTAGAACAGCAGCTTCAAAAGCTGGAGCTTGAGTTTGCTTTTTTCCTCCTCCTTCCCCACTCTTTTTTCATTGCGTGTTATCTCTTTTTTGGGTATCTTTTTTTTGTTTTGTAAACCTGAAGTAGAAAAAGAAAGAAACCTTCAAGATGCTCTTTCGGTTAAAGACCAGTTAAAGATGCTTAGAAGAAGGAAAAAAACAAGCAAACAAATACAGTAACGCTGACTACACGGCGTTGTCTTTAAAGGCAGCTCAAAAAACACCATTTGGTACAGAACACAGCTGCCAGGGTGCTGGTAGGAGCTAGAGACCAGACTTATTATGCCAATCCTGTATCACTTACATTGGGTGCCGGTTTGTTTCCAGGTTCAGTTTTAAGGCACCCTTAATTTAAATCCCTTTAAATAAATACAAATGAAATATTTTATACTGACCACAGCCCTAAAACCATTAATTTCCAGCATTAGTCTTACAGGCGGGCACAGGCTAATAAGACATGTATTTCTTAACTATTGTCTGTAATGCAGAGAAGATTCTGTACGTCCATTCTGCGGGGTGGGGGGGCGACAGAGAGACCGGAAAGCCATCGTGCCATCCTCTTATGGATGCAATAACTTCACCATGGGTGGGGAACATCTGATCCATTTCCCCCTAACCAAGCCCACCTGCTGCCAATCTGCTGGTGCCATTGGATGACGTCAGCTCATGGGCGGGGTAGTGGTGGCGGTGCGGCTCAGTCCCGCCGGGCACGGCTGCTTCGCCAGTGTGTTTCCTGCACGGAACTCACTGGCAGAGCAGACTCGCGCCCCCGCGAGCCAGCTGTGGAAAGTGGGTGGGAGGAGCAACACCCACCACCTACCAGCCACATGGCATAGTCAGTGCATTCAATGTATATGGTGCACATGAGGCCTGAAGCGCGTCAAGAACACGTTTCAGACGAGACCCAGGATGCAGGTGGGGGGGGTCTCCCTCGTGTCCAGACTGGACCGGCGGGGAATCCCGTGCAAGTCCACTCCGACGATCCATCCGAACAGCCTCCCAGGTCCGCCCCAGCAGCGAGGCTCCTACGCCTCGCCTTACCTCTCGATGCATTTCGGATCTACATCCGAGGGCTGCCAAACCACGTTGGGCATCATTTGGGCAAAGTGGGCCGCGTGCTGCCCGGAGCCCGAAGCCACTTCCAGCACCTGGACTTGCGGCTGGCAGGGGTTCACGTAGTCCCGGAGGACCCTCAGGATAGGCTCCTTGTTCCTCTCCCCCGCCGCTGCTACGAACGCGGCACTCATCCTGCAAAAGAGGGGTGAGGGTGTCCTGGGAAGGGACTTGCCGCTTGCAGAGCAGAAGGAGAGCCGCAGGGCGCCTTGCAACAGTTTGGCTGCAGGATCCTGCTTGTCCTCTAGGTCTACCTTTAAGGAGGCTCGCACCCCCGCACCCAAGGATTGCAGGCTGGGAATTTTGTCCTCAGAGCTGCTGGGAGGGAGGGAAGGAGATCGAGGAAGTTAAATGAAGCCACAAAGCAAAAGACTACGATTCCCAGAATGCAGCGCGGGGGGAGCGTGGCTATTGGTTCCACTTCTGCCCCTCCTCCTGGTTTTGCAAGCGGGTGCTTGGAAAGTCCGGAAACCAGGTTTATGGAGGGATCGTGATTTTCAAACGATAGGAAGCGCGGGCTTCTTGAATGTGTGTTTGGACTTAGCAAATAAACCATAGATTTACTCCCTAGTAAGTGCCTGCGTTGCTGTAGCTAATTCATGCCTTACACAGGTTCCTTTGAAATTTTGGCTGCAAAAAAGAAACGGGATATTTCAAGGTGCTAGTCCGCAGGGCTCTTTATTCCTTTTTGCTACAGTAGCCGGTGAACTGGTGTGCTCCTCTGAGACATTGTTGTTAATAATAAAAACAATTTGTATTATTATTATTATTAAGTTTTCTTGTGTTGAAAGACTTCATATTCACTGTCTAAATTATAATACAACAACCCTGTAAGATAGGTTTGTATTATCCTTTACAAATGCTCTACAGAACTAAATTGTATTGGAAAACAGGTTATTCTGGATGTAATGAATGGGGGTGAGCCCTGAATACAGATAACTTTTTTCCCGTTCGTGTATACTCGAAAGTAATGCCTTTCTTCTGGGTTTAAGTGGGGCTCTTCCCAGCTAAAGATGCACGTAGAATTACAGCTTTAAACTCATGGAGCGGATATAGACGCAAAGCAGCCGCGTGACACAAAGGAGGAGAAGCGGGAAACTGTTATCACGAGTTTGCGCATGCAAATATTACATACGTATAGTGTTTGCGAAGTAAAACGAAAAAAAAATGAAAAAAAAAATCCTGCGCCGCCCGGGAATCGAACCCGGGTCGCAAGAATGGGAATCTTGCATGATACCACTACACCAGCGGCGCGGTTAGGAAATTTGTGCTCTGGGGGTTCCTATCAAGCCGTAAGAGGGAGCCACCTATAGGTACGCAATGGTAAGTATCCTGTAATTTTCCCGTTAGTTTCGTGAAAAAATAACATGCTCCTGACTTTTCAGTGGTTTTTTTATTTTATACAAAAAAAAAAAAAAAGGGCAAGTGACAAAATGTAACTTTTTTCTGAGTTTGCAAACATTTAAAACTTACTTTGTTAATGCCAATGTAGATAAAGTCCATCTTTATTAAACCCCATATTTTGCAGGGGGGAGGACTGTGGATGGAAGTTATGTCAGACTTGTTGTTATACCCATTTTGCTGAAGGGACCACCCTGGAATGTATTAGTATTATTATTAAATGTCTGTATCCCTTCCTTCCTCCCAAAGGAGCCCAGGGCAGCAAAACAATACAGCTTAAAATAATACATACTTTAAACAATTCAAACTCTCCTAAACTTTTAAAAACTATTATGTTGTTAGCTGTTGTGGCTTATGTCATAGGCCAGTGGTTTTCAAACTTTCTTTTTCTGGGCCACAGTTTCGGAATAAAAAATTGCTTGCATCACGCCAAATATTTTATCGGTAAGAAATACATTGGAAAATAAAAAGAAACAACTAGCAGTGCTTGAGAACACAGAGCACAACTATTTTATAATTTGATCATGGGGCACCCAGAAAGTATAAAACAATTCAGCTACATAAGAAATGAATTATTCCCAAAATATGGTTATAAACGAGCCTCTTACATATGTACCTTACAAACTGAGAGATGTGAGCTTGCTTTTTCCACTAACCTCATTTATATTGGGCCTGAATTGAGACAAACAAGCTCTCATCTCATCAACACAAATAATACTTTCTCTTTTCTGATCTTTAAAATTTGTCAGAGTTGAAAATCCCAGTTCACAACAATATGCTGTGGAGAACCATAGAAGATCAGCCAATGCTCTTGAAGAGAGGTGCAGATAATGTTTCTGATGGTATATCCAAAAAGATTTATTTTGAAACTATAGGATAGTACATTGAAATATTTAAATGTTTCTTTGATTGTCCTTGAATCTTCCTGCCACACTTGCCATCCTCTCCTGCCAAATAATAATAATAATAATAATAATAATAATAATAATAATAATAATAATAATTTATTTATACCCCGCCCATCTGGCTGGGTCCCCCCAGCCACTCTGGGCGGCTTCCAACAAAACACTAAAATACAATAATCTATTAAACATTAAAAGCTTCTCTAAACAGGGCTGCCTTCAGATGTCTTCTAAAAGTCTGGTAGTTGTTTTCCTCTTTGACATCTGGTGGGAGGGCGTTCCACAGGGCGGGTGCCACAACTGAGAAGGCCCTCTGCCTGGTTCCCTGTAGCTTGGCTTCTTGCAGCTAGGGAACCACCAGAAGGCCCTCGGCGCTGGACCTCAGTGTCCAGGCAGAACATCCTTTGAGAACCACTGTCCTATGCACTTGGCTTCAAACACCAGCAGTGGGAGAGCACTGGAGCCAGAGTGAAAACTAATGTGTGCACAGCCATAATATCTCAACTGGACAACACTGCGGCTTAGAAGATTGTCGCCTATAATGTAGGACACTTGTTTGTGTCCCTCTGCTCCCAGAAGGGTGGAACTCTTGGATTAATTTTGCATCCGTATGAATAGGGGGCCCGATACATAAGAAAGATGATCTGCCCACAACTTACGAAAGCTTCCGCATACCTTGGGATAATCTGTAAACTGTTTTCACCTATGGCCCAGACATTGGTAAATCCAGCTCTGAATCCACTTCATCCATGTAAACAAGCTCAGCTTCCAGGAGGACATGGACCTTGGAACATTTCCAGCTACCGGTGCAATTATATAATTTTTAAAGCACCACCAACATTGCTCTCTGATGTGAATCCAGCAGACCCTCAAAAATCCACGTTGTAAGAATTGGTGTTTCGTGAGAATTGGGGTGCTACTGCAAGCACACACACTCCTGTTGTCATTATGAAATGTTGAAGGGTATGTACTGGGATTTCCCTTTCCCCCAGTTGCTCAAGGGCCACACTAGACATCTTTGCATCAAAATGCAAGTTCCCATTTCCATTTCCTCCACATCCAGCGGGCTCCCATGGCTAGATTTTGAAGCCACATTCACACAAACTTAGCCACAATCCATATTGATCCTGTAGATTCTTGACAAATACTGCTGTCTTTTTCTCAGACCAGCTCCAATCCGGTTAGAAAAGCAGATGCAGGGTAATATGAACATTTGAGCCAGCTGCTTGGCACAATGCACGTTTAGCTGAATAGGTATGCAAAGATGACAGCTTCGTGGATAGATTGGGGGGGGGAACTGTAGGGGCAGGGAAACCAAAAAGGCCATCCTTCTCGGTAGAAGACCTCCTCAGCTGCTTTCTGATGAGATGAAACTTTGTGCAAATGTGGCTTGAAACACAGCTGACAATGTGATAGCTCAGTCAGTAGAATATGAGATTCTAAATCTCTGGGTTGTGGGTTTGAACCCCATCTTAGGCTAAAGATTGCTGCATTGCCGGGGGGGGGGTCCCTTCCAGCTCTACAATTCTATGGCTCTAGGACTTTGCTGTGTCTTAAGTCCAGGGCCATCTTTAGTAGATGCGGCGCCAGGGTGCAAATATCTGCCCAGCGACCCCAAATTACCACGGATAGTGGGGGGGGGGGAGCTGCGCACTGCCAGCCATGGGGGGTTGCAGCTTCCATCCTAAGCCTCTGCAGGGATCGCTCTCCTCCCGTGGAGGCTTGGGAGGCAAGCTGCGCAGTCTCCCACTCATTGTGGCGCCCCTGAGAGACCAGCACCCTGGCGCAACACACCACTAAGCCCTATGGGAAAGACGGCTCTGCTTAAGTCACTAATGTGGACATAACCTAACATGCAGCTTTTGTTATATTATTATTAGGATTGTAGCAGGAAGGGAGGTGAAACTTCTGCAGTTTCAAGGGGGAAACCACCCTTTTTAAAAAACCTGCCAATTGTTTTTAAGTGGGTTTGCAGGGGAGTCACTGTATCTCAGCCAAAGTGGGGGGGGGCACTTCTTCTTAATGCAAAATACTGTACCAGTTTCAGAAGAGTTTCCTCAGCACTGCAGGAGGGGAAGAAAGGCTTAAAATCCCACTACATATGGTCTTGTGAATTACCAGCCCTTCCCAGCTGTCGCAATCTACATTTTAAATATATATTATTAATTAATTAGTTAATTAAAAACTTCTTCTGTAGTTTGGCATCGAGTGCTCGTTAGGTAGGCTGGATTTGAATAGTAGTAGTCAATTGACTAGAGGGCATGTAATGCAACAGCGGGAGGAAAGCAGCACCTTTCACCTACAAACAGACAAAGTCACCCTTGCAACGTTGCTGACCTTTGGCTAGCTAGAGCAGGAATTCCCAAGGTCATCTCTGAACTTGGCTCACCTTGGAGCACATGGAGAAAGGTGAAGGCAAGGCAGAGCCCGCTGGCTTTCCCATGAAGCACTTCTCTTAATATACATAGGAATATAAGAAGATGCATGATACTGGCTGAGTCATTCTATTGGTCCATCAAGCTCAGTATTGTCCACACTGACTGGCAGCAGCTTTCTGGAACTTCAGGCAGGGTTCTCTCTCCCAGCCATACCCCGGAGATGCAGGGGCCTGAACCTGGGACCTTCTGCACACAGAAGCAGCTGCTCCGACAGTGAGCAGCTGCCATCCTTTTTGAAGGATCTCAGACTGCAGGAAACAGCAGCACCAAAGACTAATAGGTTTTATTTCCAGCTTTGGTGAGAGTAGAATCCTCTTCAGCAGAAGCGCCTTTGGCAGAAAATGCAGGAGGGGGAAAATAATATTTTGATGAAGCATTGAATTTGATTATTTGTGTTTTTCCTTTCATTTATGAATTGCTTCCTACAAAACATCATGAAGCAGTTTTACAATAAAACTGCAAAACCATAAAGCAATGTCATGTATCAAAACAATGAAAATGATTTCACGTATTCACAGAGTGGGATAAAAAAATTCACTTCAAAGGCTTGCTGGAGAGGAAGGTATTAAACAGGCATCAGACAGCAGAGACTGTGCTTGTCTGGTATATAATGGGAGGGAATTCCAAAGATATGTTCTGCCGCACTAAAAGCTCGTTCCTGTATCATAGGCAAGGTATCTCCTAACGAGATGATGTCTGCAGAATGCTCTCTCCTGTAGAGCTCAGTGATAAGCTGGCTATATTTTGTTAAATTTATATGCTGCTTTTTGGCCCAAAGATTCCCCAAACAGTAAACTGGTGGTGTAGCAGGAGAGGATGGTGTGGCAGGAAGATTCAAGGACACTCAAAGAAACATTTAAACATTCCAGTGTAATATTGTATACTATAGTATCAATTGCTTTTTTTATTTGCAGAATATGGATATTTTCAAAATGACAACAAGAACATCAAGTGATCACAACTAGGATTGCCATTCAAACAGAGTTTGAATCCAGAATTGCCATTCAAAATGAGTTCTAGAAAAGACTAATTTATAATTATATTTTGGGAATGACTCTTCAAGAGCATCCTACAGTTCTCCATGGCATATTGCTGTGAGCAGGGATTTTCAACAAATATGAAAGGTCAGAAAAGAGAAGGGCTTCTTTGTGTTGGTGAGGAGTTGAGAGATTGCTCGTTTCAATTTAGACATAATATAAATGAGATTACCCAACAAAAGCAAGCTCACAGCTCTTCCTGAGTTTGTGTACATACTTGGGGCACACATGTACATATTACAGAGTGTGAAATACTGTTGCTTTCCTGCTATTGTCATCATTATCACAAATAGGCTGCAACAAAATATTGCATGTCCCGAATTCTGGCCACTCCATTCCATTCTCCTCTCCCCAGTTTATTTTATTCTCCCCTGAACACAATCAGGCAGCGTTCCATGGTCTCCAAACACGTTCAGCCCTCCCTGCCTGTTTTTGAGTCCCTCCTGTTCTACATTCCCCACGGTTGTTGTGTTTTGTGCTTCTGTGAATCATGGGATCATAGGAAGCTGCCTGCTACTGAGTCATACTACTAATCTATTTAGCTCAGTATTGTCTGCACCGACAAGCAGCAGCTCTCCAGAGTTTCAGGCTGAGGATATTCCCAGCCCTACCTAGAGAAGCCAGGGATTGAACCTGGGACCTTCTGCATGCAAACCACTGAGTTACTGCTCCCCCCCACTGCAGGCCAGCTGATGCCTCCCCTTTGTGTATGTTTGTGTGTGGTTCCATATTTTGGCAACATAAGGAATGGCACTCACAGCCTGAACATAAGAAACAGAGCGAATTTATTATTATTATTTTGTGTTAAGAATACACAAAAAGCAAGCTGGTCTATGGGACCGTATTGCTTGACCCAGCAGGCTAGTTCTTAAGATGTTTTCACTGCACACAGGAAGATTAAAGATTGATCAGGAAATGGGAAGAAATGTATGCTGATTGGCACATGCATAAACATCCCTTGATTTCTCTGCATTCAGTTCCTCTACTCCAGTGTTTCCCAACCTTTTTTGGGCAAAGGCACACTTGTTTCATGAAAAAAATCTCGAGGCACACCACCATGCCAGATGGGGAAAGGTCACTTTTTACTTATGTAAAAAAAATAAAAAAAATAGTAACAGCATAGAAGGTAATGGTTAGGCTAGCATCCCTCTTCCAAATATGCTAGGTTTTTATTTGCAGGGACTGTTCTACATGGGAAAGCATTCAGCACTGTCATTCTCCCATCTGCCATCTGAATTGGTACTATTCTGGGTCAACTTACTCTGCTGCATGTGTAGATGAAAATGGCACCAAGTGTGGGGGAGGGGGCAGAACAGGTTTCAGATACATAGACAGAAGCTGGCTCTAAGATCTGCCTGCCATTGCACTCTGAGGTGTGAATCCTATGGAATGAAGCAAACCCACTTATATTCTTACATACGGTCCTTTTAATGCACAAGGTAACAAAATATGTTAACTTGCTCCAGCAGTTTTATGTTGTAACATACTGAAAAGACTGTCGAAGTCTCGTGCTCCCCCAGCCTTCGCCAGCCCTGCGCCCTCCGGATGTTTCGGGCTACCAGCCACGCTCCCCTCAGTCTCAACCTAATATCCCCAAGTGTTTCATATTTACTAGGAAATAACTCCCGCTGGTACAACGGAACTTCCTCCCAAGCAAGTCCATCTCTCGGTTTACATCCACGAGCTCGGGGCTGCGGCGTCCAGGAGGCGACAGCCCTGCCCAATGGCCCCGAGGGGACCCCGGAAGGGAGGCTTCAGCGCGGCGGCGGCCCCTGCGCGTTTCGCCTCAGGCTCCGCGGGGGCGGCAGCGACAGGCTGCGCGGCTCCTCCTCGGGCCGCTAGGCGGAGCCAGAGCAGCGCGGGAGGGCAGCGGAAAGGGCGGGTCCGTTGCTATAGAGACGCCCGCTTGGGTGGCGCTCGAGGTGGCTCCGCCTGGCCCGCGAGTCCTGCGAAGCGCTCTTCCCCGGGGCCTGTGGCGCAGGCACAGAGCGGCGCGGCGGAGGGCCGCTTCCCTCCCCCGCCCGGAGCGGCATTTAAAGGGGAAGTGGCCCCTTTCCCGCGGCCGGCCTCCTCCGTCGTCGGCGCCTGGCTCTCCTATGGCCTGGCCCGGGGCGCGGAGGGCGCGGAGAGTGGCAGTCGGGGCCGGGGGGCCATGGCTACTCCCGGGGCGTCGCGCTTCCTCTACGAGCTGCCCGCCGCCCCGCCTCTCGCCGCCCGACTCGCCCGACTCCCTCCAGGCAGCATCTCGCGGCACACCAGGCAACGTCTCGCGGCACACTAGTGTGCCGCGGAACACCGGTTGGGAAACACTGCTCTACTCCAGCCTGGGTAGTAGAACCAGTTCACACATTTGGCCCTGAATCAGCAAGTAGAATAACTGCTCTCTCTTCTCTAGGCATGGGGCAGAATAAGGGGGTAAAACAGAGCACAACACTTAGGAACAGAATGAAATTTTTAAATCCTCCTTTCCATTAAAGAGAAATTAAAAACATAGCCATCTGTGACACTTTAAAGACAAACGCTTTTCTTATGTGGCCCACAATCCACTTCATCAGATGTATGAAGTGTTATCCCTCGTTATTCCATCAGTGTATACCTGCAACTCAAGATAACACTTACCTGAATCTGCTAAAGTGGACTGTAAGACCTGAAAGCATATGTCATAACAAATGTGTCTTAAGTCTTGTAAGGTGCCACAAGACTCCTTGCGTTTTTTGCTGCAATACTCTCCTTAAAAGTATGTATCTAGTATGTGTGGGTGTACTGGACTACAGCCCTGATGTGGTAGTTTTCTCTTTGCAGGGAATTATTTACATAAGGAAACATTCCAGATATTATTCCTGGTCAGCTGCCATGAAGTGGTCCAGCCCACTTTTATGCAGCTCAGGATTGCTTTGGGGGTGCCGAGAATCCCAGAAACCTGCTGCACTCGCGTGCTCGTGTGAATCAAGCCCAAGAGAGCCAAGAGAGTAGCCTAGGCGCACCTTCTCCCGCAGTTTCAAAGCCTGCTGTGCAATTGCGCAACGCATGAAAAGGGACCTCTGACTTGGAAAAGTTCTTGCACCGTCATCGGCAGATCTCTAGGCTGAGCCAAGCGCCGCGCTGCGCCTTTAAGAGGCGCGATGGGCGGGAGGGCGTGTTGCAGGCATGCCTCCTTCGCTCGCGCTCCCACTCGCCTAGTTAAAGGAGAACCGCGCCGCGTCCAGCTGCCGCCGCCGCCGAGAAGTTAAAGTCAAAGGCAAGCCGGGAAGACTTTGCCATTGCAACAGGCGGCAGCAGCAGCAGCAAAAACAACAACAACACTTGGGAAGTTTGCGGGGGAACCACCATCAGCGCAACGTGAGGGAGAAAGGAGAGCGCACAGAGGCATCTTATTATGATTACGTATTATTGCTATTTAAAAAAACACCTTGCCATGTAAAGTTGTGTGTGCAGGACACACACTTTTTTATTTTTTAAAACTAAACTATTCTAGTTGGGCGCGCGCGTTCGGCAGATCGGCTCCCCCCTTTCCCTGCCTTGACCCACATTTCATTCATCTGGTGCTGCTTGGAGACGCAGATGATGTACACCATCACTAAGGGACCTAGCAAGTTAGCCACCCAACGGAGGACAGGTAAGGACGGGACGAGGAGGTGTGCGTTTATGTGTGGGGATGAATCTGCATGTGCGTAAGTGACTCCTCTCTCGCCCCCCCCCCGCCCCCCGCTGTCAACCCGGTTGTGCTTTGAGAGGGAGGGAGGAGGGAGCAGGACCCTCCGGAATCCTCCCCAGCCCGTGCCTCTGGGAAACTTCCTTCCTTTGCAAAATTGATCCGTGTGTGTGTGTTGAGGGGACGTAAGCTCCGATCATTCAGCTCTCCCTCCAGGCCTGATGGGGCTCCTCTGGGCGGGAGGTCGCGCCCCCCACCCCTTAAGGACGTTGCCTCGATTTTCCCCGCGCAGGTCCCACGCAGCAGGTGGAGAGCAAACTGGCCGACCTGAAATGCCGCCGGCGGCAGCAGCAGCAACAACTGTTCAGCGAGTGGCCTCTGTCAAGGTGAGCGAAGGCGGCCCTTGGGTTCCCCCTACCTACGCGCCAGGGACGGGACCGCAGAGCTGGGTCCCAGTGGCCGCCTGGGCAGCGATGGGGGAAATCCTGCCCGGGCGGCCGGAGAGGACGATCCGGAGCGGCGGTGACCTTGCGCGCCGCGTGCGAGGCGATCTCCTTAATGCGGCGCCTCCTCCTGCTGCTGCTGGGCCCTTCCAGTGACAGCCGCCCGGGGGAGGAGGAGGGGTGTGCGTAATCGCTGCGATCCCGCCTGGGCCGACTTGCTTGGGGAGGGGGCGTGAGTGGGGGGGCATCGCCGCGGCATGCAGCTCTCCGGTGTTTGGGGGGGGGCGAGAGACGGGGGAGGGAGGTGACCTTGTGGAAAGGTTACCGGGGTTGTCCTTGCCCCATGGCTCCCACGTGGAGGGCGGGCTGCTTTCGTAGGAAACGAGTAAGCGGCGAGGCGGGGGGTCGGGGGGGTGGGCCGGTGCGGGTGGGAGTGGGCGCAGGGCCCGCTGGGTGCAGCAGGGACGCCCATTGGCACGTGCGTGCACGTGTTGGGCTGCGAGGGGATCTCCTTCGCCACGGCGGGGGTGTTTGGAGGCGACGTCATTGGAGCTGGAGAGGGAGGGGGCGCGCTCGTGTTTCCAGATCGATCGCGAGCCCGTGCCCAGCGGGCGACCTTTCCCCTGGAAAGCGCCGAGGAAGCGGACACACCCCCTTGCAAGGGGGCGGGGCCAAGGAGGGGGTCCCAAAGACGGGGCGGGGCCGAGCCCAGCGGGGCCCCCTTCGGAATTGGTGACGGCGAAGGAATCTGGAGCGGAGGAGATCCTTGCCTCTTCCATCCTTGGCCCCTCGGAGGCAAAAGGCCCTAGGAAGCCGCGGAAGTGGTGCGCTCGCGAGGTTTTGTAGAACAGATCTTGTGAGCCCTTAATTTTAAAGCTAGCTCGTATTCACTCTGTTGGCTATTACATTTAGATCACACCCTTCCTCCAAGGGGTTCAAGGTGGCAAATTTGTATTTTTATCCCCCCTCCCCCATCATAATTAAATTTGTTGCTCATGGGTGTAGCCAGGATTGGGGGGCGGGGGGCAGAACCAACGTGATTTGGTCAGTTAAGTACAGTATTTCTATTGCCTTGCTCGATGGGGGGGGGGCAGCTGCCCCCAACCCTTGGCTATATCCATGCTCATTCTTCACTGGAAAGTTATCTTCACAGAAACCCTCTGAGCTTTATGAGGAGCAAGGATTTGAGGAACAGAGGGTGAGGCTCTGAAGTTGTGGTCTGGCACTCCAACCACTAGAGAACTCTGCCTCTATTAGCCTGGAGGGTGGCGTCCTCTTTTACTGTTGAAATTTAACCCAGATGGAACTCCTCAGAGCCGGGACTTTCCTGCTACACACATAAACACACACACACACACACACACACACACACACAAAAGTGCCCTGTCCTGTCTCGGATCTTCTTAGAAAGCCCTGGAAATTTGATTTTTAAATGGATAGTGTTAATTTGTGAGTTTCAATCCATCAAAAATTGGGTGAAGTCATGTCAAAGTCACATTTTGGTCTGCCATCTTGATTCAGAATGGCGCCTGGTGTCCAAATGTTGGCAAAGACATCACCCCCACATTGGGAACCCTCATGCCAAGTTTGGTAACAATATCTTGAGAGGCAGCCCAACCTATAGAAAACAAACAGACAAACTGTTCCCCAAATATTTAGTAGCCAGCAAGATTGTATTACTCTGTGAAGGAACACTGATAGTGTATACAGGACTTCAGGCAGGGAATATCTCCCAGCCTTACCAGGCAATGCCCAGGATTGAACCCACAACCTTCTGCATGCCAAGCAGATGCTCTGCCACTGAGCTGGGGCCCTTTCTTCACTGCAGTTATCCTCCTTGTTGATTGCATTTCATAATGCAGGTAGCAGCAACATTAACAACTCACAACAAAATAGGCTCTTATTTTTGTTTATTTTTAAAAGTAAAGGGATCTGTGTCATTTGGCCAACAGGCCTGATCCGATAGATCCATTTCACCGATAACTGTCGCTATTTAGAGTGTATAGCCTGTGAGCTGAGGAGAGAGACTGGCAGCTTTGAGACTGGCATAATCCTGTACCGTAGGAAATGGGGATGAAGGGGTGTGTCTTGGCAGCCCTGTTGCTTCCCCCAGCTCACCTGACATGGTCCACTTGGCTTGCACAAGTGTGTGCTTGTTAATTCTGGATTAATTATGATGATGATGCAAAATACACTAACATGGGGTTAGAATCCTTGCTCCATACCTAAACGTATGTTGAAATAATAGGATGAGACGGGGGGATAATCTTTACTCTTTCCCAATGGTGTGTTCACCCAGTTTTGCTGACACACGTTCGTTCCACTGATCGCACATGGAGCATGAGTCCAAATCTGTATTTGCCCTCAGTGAAGACTGGTCCATTAGGGCAAGTGGGACCCTGCCCCCATCATGATCAGTTTGCTTTTGGCCACCCCCACCTGCCTGCCTCCGTACTTACAACCAGTCCAGGGGGAGGTCCTGCCTGCCAGCTCCTTCCTCTTTAGTCTCAATGTTGCCCTTGTAGAACTTAGCGAGGAGCTGGAGAATGGGGACCAAACCAGAATGATTCATTTCCGCCTCTCATTGGCTCTTGCTCCCCTACTGTTGGGCTCCCTGCCTTTTGCCCTACGAGCCCCAGTGGGCACCAGCCTTCCCTGCTCCCCATGCACCTAACATTTGGGAGAGAGAGTGAACTGGGCATGGAGGGGAAAGCAAGGAACGTGGCAATTGCTCTATTTTGGGGGACTGCTGGATTTGGCCTGGGGACAATCAGGTCACGGTTGCGGTCTCCTGATCTAGAGAACTAATGGATTTGGAAGATGTTCAGCATTGCATCCTTGATACAGTACGTTCTTGAACACAAAGACAGCTCTTTCTTTAAAAAAATTAAATCAACGAGTTTCCTTGTATGACATTCTGGTTTTTTTGTATGAGCTGGGGGAAACTTGGGTGGCCTCCAGACTATTAGGATTTTGCAGCAGGGATTCAGTTGCAGGCCATAAGTTTAAGGTTTGCTCAGTTAAAGCACTGCAAAGTCCTATTTTTATAAACAGGCTTTTTGCAGTCAGGAAAGTGATGGGGAAATGCATTGAAAAGTGTGGGGTGAACAAAGAACTAATGGGAAGACCTAAACCACTGTACAAGCAAAGTGGGCTGAATGGCCGTTGCCTAATAATAATAATAATAATAATAATAATAATATATTTGTACCCCGCCCATCTGGCTGGGTTTCCCCAGCCACTCTGGGCGGCTTCCATAGAAACCAAAAAACACTAAAATATCATACATTAAAAACTTCCCTGAACAGGGCTGCCTTAAGATGTCTTCTGAATGTCAGATAGTTGTTTATCGTTTTGACATCTGATGGGAGGGCGTTCCACAGGGCGGGCGCCACTACCGAAAAGGCCCTCTGCCTGGTTCCCTGTAGCTTTGCTTCTCGCAATGAGGGAACCGCCAGAAGGCCCTCGGCACTGGACCTCAGCGTCCGGGCAGAACGATGGGGGTGGAGACGCTCCTTCAGGTATACTGGGCCAAGGCCGTTTAGGGCTTTAAAGGTCAACACCAACACTTTGAATTGTACTCGGAAACGTACTGGGAGCCAATGTAGGTCTTTCAAGACCAGTGTTATGTGGTCTTGCAAAGCAAATGAGAATAGACAGTCAATAAAGACTGGATGTAGTTTGGCCACTGCATAAGCTTTGTGGAAGCAGATAAGGATGAAAGCATAATAAATGGGTTGTGTGGAGGAGCCTGGCAAATTCCTTATTCCTTCACATTGTTAAGGTTCCCTTATCAAATCAACTGCAGTTTCAGGATACAATGGGCACCACATGGCTCTCCCCACTTCCCCTTCCATTCTCACAACTCTGCAAGGTAGGTCAGGCCCAGAGACTATTCCCAGCGAGCTTCAGGGCCAAGGGGAGGTTTGAACCCTGGTCTGCCAGCTCCTAGTCCAGGATTCAAGACACTACATGCCCTTGGCACACCTATTTGTTCCTTGTTTCACATCTTCAATGCCCTGCTTTACATACACAATTTAGAATCATAGAATCATAGAGTTGGAATAGACCACAAGGGCCATCGAGTCCAACCCCCTGCCAAGCTGGAAACACCATCAGAGCACTCCTGACATATGGTTGTCAAGCCTCTGCTTAAAGACCTCCAAAGAAGGAGACTCCACCACACTCCTTGGCAGCAAATTCCACTGTCAAACAGCTCTTACTGTCAGGAAGTTCTTCCTAATGTTTAGGTGGAATCTTCTTTCTTGTAGTTTGGATCCATTGCTCCGTGTCCGCTTCTCTGGAGCAGCAGAAAACAACCTTTCTCCCTCCTCTATATGACATCCTTTTATATATTTGAACATGGCTATCATATCACCCCTTAACCTCCTCTTCTCCAGGCTAAAAAAATTTATCCCTGTAAAATTTGCAAGCAGCGATCTGTAGATCTTTGATTTATTCATGCTGGGTGAGCAGATTGCACTATTTTTTCCTCAGCAGCTGAGTGGATAGTTGAGTATAATAGCTCATGACAGGAACCCCACCCCACCCCAGCACCTCCTTGAGCCCAGTGCCCGAGGCAATCACCAGGGTTCCCATAGAAATCTATTCTGCGGATGATCTTTTTGAAGAATTTATAACTCACCAACCTCCGCCCATAGCTAAGATGCTCTGATTGCCCTCGAGCAAGTATTACGGTAGGTGCCAGGCCAGGTATTGCCTTGTAAGCCCAGCAGTTTACTGAACAATAAAACCATTTTTATTGGGCACCTGAGATGGAGTGTTATAAACGTATTGTGTGTTGCCTTCCCTTCCCTCACCATGGGCAGGTTGCAGGGCTGCTGTTCTCAGCAACAGCCTTACAGGAGGTGTCAAATCCTTCTGTACAGCTGCCTTATTTGGGCAGTGGACAAAGATAGACATAATCTCTCCTAGCTGGGGAGAAAGAAAATACTGCAGAGCAGGGAAGCACCACAAGCAGGGTCCCCCTCCAAGGGAGGCACAGGGACTGGTAACAAGCGACAAGGGCCATTCTAGTTGTGGCTTCCCTTCTGTGGAATGCTCTCCCCAGCGAGGTCCACCTGGCACCTTCACTGACATCTTTTTAACACCAGGCCTTTTGACAGACTGAGATGATGTTGGTTTGTTATTAGCATCCTGCCAAGTTTCCTGTGGGGGGTTGTTTGTTCTGATTTTATTGCATGATGTACTTAGATTTATGTCTTTAATGTGTCAGTCACTTGGAGACATAACAAGTCTAATAATAATAATAATGAACAAATGTAGTATTTGAGGTGTGTCTGGTTTCCTCACTGTACATCTTTTGGCAAATGCTTTGCTTTGAAGGGTTGAATAATAACAACAATGATGACTGTGGAAGAATAACATTCTCTGCCTCTGTTTTGGCAGCCCAGCTCCAAAGCTCGTGTTCAGCAGGGTAAATGGCAAGAGACCCCCACTCATGACCCCCCCTACATTGGCCACAGAGGAAAACTACACCGTGGCACATGAAGAAAATGTTCGGTTCGTGTATGAAGGTAGGTGAGCTGCCCTGTTGAGCCCAGGAACATGGAGATGCTTCTGTCTAGGTGTGGGGTTTGGGATCGGCAGTGGTTGGCTTAATTTCACAGGGCCCTCAGCGACACCTGTCTCACCAGTCAATGTGGGCTGTCTGTTGCTCTCTGGATTCTTCCTTCAGAGAACTGGTTCCTCTTCCACTTTGCGCTTTTGCACATGCCAGAGACAAAAGCAACCCTGCAAAACTGCAAGCTCTATCAACCTCTGCCTCTGGCCACACCCAGACTCCCTTTTCCTATTGGTCAGTGGCCCTGAATAGGTAAATGGCCCTCATCACCCATCTATGGCAGCCTGGTCTAAGGAGATCTGGTGTAAAGGAGTTCAGGGTCCTCACACCATCACGCCTACAGTCAAAACTATATGTGACGTTTAACGTGTGTCTGCAGATTTTTTTAAAAAATGTAAATAGATTTTTTTGAAAGGGGAAATTCAACAGGTGTTGCCTTCCTTTCTCCCCACCCACCCAGCGGGTCTAAGCCTTAGATTATAAGGATTTGTCTACACTTCTTTTCCTGTGCCTAGAAAGCATGTGTCTGCCCCCACCACGTTCCCTGGGAAAACCCACTCTTTACCGCTGAATCGGAGCAAATGTTAATAAGCGGGAAACCTGATTGGCGTTTGCTCCGATTCAGCGGTAGAGAGCAGGTTTCCCCAGAGGAAAATGGCAAGACAAGTGGAAGTCTGGACGACTCCTGGGATAAGAAAACGAGCCGGCAGATGTTAGCGAAGGTCAGTCCATTAGGTCAAGTGGGGCACTGCTCCTGCCAGCATCAGCCTGCTTTCAGCCAGCCTCTACCTCCTGTTTCCTTCTTTTCAACCGGTCCAGAGGGTGCCACTGGCTGTCAGTCTCCTCCTGCTTTGATTCAGTGTTGCCTTCATAAAACTCAGCGGGAAGGATGGGGACAAATCTAGAATTAGTTGGCTGTGCCTGCCTGTTATTAGCTCCATCTACTTTTGGGCTAATGGTACTCGTGTGGCGCTGTGGGTTAAACCACAGAGCCTAGGACTTGCTGATCAGAAGGTTGGTGGTTCGAATCCCTGCAACGGGGTGAGCTCCTGTTGCTCAGTCCCTGCTCCTGCCAACCTAGCAGTTCAAAAGCACATCAAAGTGCAAGTAGATAAATAGGTACCACTCTGGCGGGAAGGTAAACGGCGTTTCCGTGCGCTGCTCTGGTTCGCCAGAAGTGGCTTAGTCAGGGGTCCCTTTACCTTTACTTACTTTTGGGCTAATGCCCTCCCAGTCCCAATGGGTATTAGCCACCACTGTCTGACATGACTGTGACATCATGTGATTGACAGGTGAGCAGCCACACCCACCTGTCAAACTTGATCTACAGGCAAAGGGTGATAAGGATCTGGCCCATAGGCTGGATCTAGTTCCCCACAGAAAGCTACGTAGTCTTTGGCCTGCAAAGCGGCCAAAGCCTTCTTCAGGAAAGGCGTCAGCAGCTCAAGTTCTTGTCAGCCAGAAAATGGGGCCTCCATGAGGTTTGCTGTTTTGGAGTGTCCTTCTCTCCTCATGTGCCCTCCTCTCTCCCACCCTCCAGCCTGGCAACAGGTGCAGCAGCAGCTGGATAGTGTCCAGCAAGGGGACAGCAGATCTGGTCCAGTGCAATACACAGAAAAAACACCTGGCCCTGAACTGAAAGGTAAGTAAGTGCGTGTAGCCTGCCTTCAAGGAGTGGCATGGAATCAAGCACCGTGGGATACACAAGAGATGTCAGCCAGATCCCCAGAACCAAGAGGCAACCTTTACAAGCCCCTAGATTCTTCCCTGGCTCAGATTAAAAAAATCCAACCTGGAAAATAATTCTCAGCTTTCTTCCCTTGCCCGCACCCTGTCCCCCATCCCAGAATACTTAGAAGAGCCACTGTTTAGTGGTAAAATGCCATATTTGCATCTATATTGTATTGAATCCCTACTCAGTTCACTAGGACATATTGCAAGGAGACCCCCTGGTCTCCTTCCAGAACCACAGTTCCCAGGCTTCCCTGTGAAGAGGGATTGGTTGTTAAACAAACACCCCCTCTGGAAATGGTTACCAGGATTATTGCACCTCTTTACCCTGGTCTTTGCACTATTATAAAAATCCCTCCAGGCTGGAGAGGCCCTCAATCTCCTGTTTCTAGCATAGTAATTGGGTTGATGGATACAAAACAAGTGCCATCTTTCTGTGGGCAGGTTGTGTTCTACAGCATTTTTATGTATATACAGTCGTACCTTGGAAGTCGAACGGAATCCGTTCTGGAAGTCCGTTCGAATTTCAAAATGTTCGAAAACAAAATTGCAGCTTCTATTTGGCTGCAGGAAGCTCCTACAGCCAATCAGAAGCCCAAAAGCCTGTCTGAAAAGAACGTTCGCAAACCGGAACTGTCACTTCTGGGTTTGTGGTGTTTGGGAGCCAAAATGTCCAAGTTCCAGGGTGTTCAACAACCAAGGTATGACTGAACTTTTACTTTACTATATATTGGTTTTAATTTCCGTGGCCATTTTGAGTTTCTCTTGTAAACAAAAGAAACTAAATTATTTGAGAAGCTGCAGTTTTGATATTTTCTTAGCCTAATCCTTCAGATTTTGCAGGCAGATTTTTGTTCTGTGCGTGCTCTTAAATGGACCCAATCTTCTCTCTTTTTTTTCCAGATTTTGTGCCCATAGACCTTGAGGACTGGTGGGCCCAACAGTTCCTGGCAAAAATCGAGAACGGATCTTAACAAGGGGTTATGCAGAAAGCTTAAAACAAAAAAAGTTTTAAATTTACCGTAAGGAAAATATGCACCCATCCAAGCAAAGAGAAAAGAGAGAGAAAATGGGGAACCCCTTGGCAGTCCCACCCTGGAGCCCACTATGGGGGCAGGAAGGAGAGTGACCGACAGCGAACTGCTTCCTTAGAAGCTCTGGATTTTTTTTTCCACCGGAAGATTCAGACAGACTGAATGTCTGGAAGTGCCATGGCAACGTGGGTTTGGGGGGGAGGCTTAGGGGAGGGTCTGGCAACCCTGTCCTACTCCCACTTGGAGCTGGCACCCTCTGGAAAGCCAGCGCTGCCCTGTAAAGCCAAGACTGCATTCTCAATAAAAGCACCAATGTGCCAGTGGAACAAGGCCATACTGCGTGGGGAGGAATTATGGCTGGGAGCGGGCCAAGGACGCCACTCCTGCAAAAAAGGAAACGATTACAAAAGCCTTTGCTGGTGGTGTTCTGCTGGCTGGCAGATCAAGGGCAGGGGGGAGCTGGTGGTGCAGGGGGATTCAGGTTTGCTTTTGCCTCAGTTACTAAGTGTTGCGCTGCCGTTTGGTCAAGGCAGGGATGTAGAATTGTGTAGTTCAACCCGCCTGCAATGCAGGAATATGCAGCTGTCCCATACGGGGGATTGAACCTGCAACCTTGGCGTTATCAGCACCATGTTCTAACCAACTGAGCTATCTCTTCTGACAGTATTGTTGCTTTTCACTCTGTATGTCATCCAACACCCCCCCCCAATGCATGTTGGGAGGTAATACAAGTGCTTAGGCAGGAACAACACAGAGTGCAAAGTCCTGCTCTTGCTTCAAGTTTTAGCTCAGGAGAGGATAGTTTCTATGTTCTTGGGTACAGTGGTACCTCGGGTTAAGTATTAATTCATTCCAGAGGTCCATTCTTAACCTGCACCACTTTAGCTAATGGGACCTCCCGCTGCTGCTGCACCACTGGAGCACGATTTCTGTTCTCATCCTGAAGCAAAGTTCTTAACCCGAGGTATTATTTCTGGGTTAGTGGTGCCTGTAACCTGAAGTGCATGTAACCCGAGGTACCACTGTATTGTTCTATTTAGGAACATCAGGGTTTCCTAGCTGGATCTGGCCAAGGACCCATATAGCCCACCACCCTGTTCTCACAGTGGCCCACCAGATGCCTCAAGCAGCATTTGAGCACAACCTTCTGTTGGTTTCCAATAACTGGTACTCAGAGGCATTCTTACCTCCAAACTGTGGCAGCGGAGCAGAGCTATGATTCTCGCAGAGCAGCAGCCGATGCCATGTAGTTATGCACAGCACACACACCTGCTAAGTATGTTACACTCTCTGGGATGTGGGTGTGTCTGCATGTGCGCGCATGCACACAGATACATACCCCCCACCCCATCTACCATGACAGGGGAAAAATGCAGAGTCACTATTTTGAAAATCCAGTTTATTTTTTGAGATGGGGGAAAATGTCACCACTACAACTGACTGCAGTACATAAGAGCCATTGAAGAGCAGATGGACACACACTCACATGTCTGAGACATGGACTAACCCTGCACCCCTCCCTTTCAGAAGTCCCTGTATCCTCCTTAGTGTTTAAAAATGTATTTTCATAGGCAGGCGCGCGCACACACACACACACAAAACCAACACAAATAAAAAGTGAAATATGGGGGTGGGGGAATCAGAAAAGGGGCATATACATTGGGAGGACGCAATAGCTAATGGGTGGCTTTCGTGGTTTTGATTAGTGCTCAGTTTGCCACTGTCGTCGTGTGACGCTGGTTCCGTTTGCCTTTGCAGCAAAAACATTTCAGTACATTGTGTTTGGGGGGTTGGTGCAATAACAGACCTGAGAAATTTCAGAGCACAAACTGGATCCATAAACACACACACATACAATTGTGCAAAAATGCAGTGACTTGTGCAAGACGAAGGGATTTGCTGTGTAAGTCAAAGTACTGAAAACAACAAAACTGTGACTATTTTACAGTCTCGAGACATCTAAAGCAGTGGTTGTCAAAACTCCCAATCCCCAGGAAACCAGTCTGCTTGCATGGAAGTCTCACCACTGCCCCTGTGAAGTAACTGAGTGCATACCTGGGAACACAAGGGGGACACCCCTCCCACCCTCTGCTTTACTCATTTATTTCAGGGTTTTGCTGCCTTTCACAGCAACTGTGATGTGCAGGGGCAGAACCAATGAAATAAAAAAGGGAGAACCTCAACACCTCAAAGCCCTCTGTGGTAGCACAGGGATATTGCTAATAGCAGGTGAGCCACCTTCCAAGGAAGCCTGTTTTCCATTAGTGATCTCACTGAGGAAGGCCTACTGAATAAGGTTCCTCAAGAAACCACGGGAGGTTTAAAGAACCACAGATCTAGATCCCATGTGGATGGACAAGCAGGGGGGTCCCAGGGGAGGGGAACAGCTGCAGAGTTTAGTGTATGGCAAAGCAAAAGGTGGACCAAGCAAGAGTGAACCCACCCCCTCCATAAAAGGTACATTCCACATAACACTTGAAGACTTGCATCCGTTAGATGCACCAGCTCCCTGGCAAATATCCACTGTTCAGAGGACCTGGTGGGTGACTGCCACATGCTTATAAATGGTGGTGGTTGCAGCCCATTGGGGCTGGTAGGGCAGAAGGCAGGGAGCCCAACAGTAGGGGGAGCCAGAGGCAAGGACAGGCATTCTAGTTTTGTCCCTATCCTCCTCCTTGCAGAGTTCTAGAAGGGCCAACACTGAGACGGAGGAGGAAGCTGGCAGGCTGTGCCACCTTGCTGGGCTGGATGAAGTAAGAAGGCTGGCAGCTGGAGCTTGGCAGAAGTTGACGAGGCAGCGCCAAGTTTGCCCAAATGAAGCAACCCCCGCTGTTGCCTAGAAAAGCCAGTGTTGAGTGCCTGTAAAAACCTGAAGCAGTTCTGAAAGCGGATCAGCCCTTATTAAGAAGAAAGGCTGTTCTCCTATCTGCACGAAGCAGATCAGAGTTTCCCTTTGGCTTTGCAACTCTTTTGTTCGCCAGAAAGCACCTTGGGGGGGGGGTGCGAAAAAAGGCCCAGAGGCCCAGGAGGGAGGGAAGGCAATGGAGCAAAAAAGCACCTGCACAGTCCTCTACTGGCTCTCCCTGCGAAAGGGGAGCTGCTTCTCCACCAGTGAACCTTGCAAATTTCAGCTAAGGCCTGCACCAAGTAATGAGCAGCTGAACCTGGTGTTGGCCCTGTCTAGGTTAGGTGAGGTGGCTGCTGCTTCTGGTATATTTTTAATGCTTCCTAGGACGGTGGAGTGGGGGATAAGACAGGCGGACTGAGCATCTCCATGTCAAGAGAGGCCACAACAACCCCATACATTTAAAGAGCATGGCTTTCCCCCCAAAGGATCTGGGGAACAGCAGTTGCTGGGAATTGTAGCTCCATGAGGATTAAACTACAGCTCCCAGGATTCCTGGAGGGAAGCAATGCATTTTAAAACGTATGTTGTGTATGCGAGCCATGGCTTGTGCAGGAGAACCTCTTGGTGGACTGTGCCTGGGTTCACTAGGAGGAGTGGCACCTTAGGCTGGCCTTGGCCAAACTGGACGGAATGTGATTGAACACGGAAATGGACAAAAAAAGGACACCACTAATACACTCTTAAAAAGGAAGACAACAAGGAACATGCACCACCTGAAATAAGTAGTTTGAAGCGCCTTTCTTGAGTGGGTAGCTTTGTAAGCCAAAGGCAGGGGTGGTGATAGAAAGGAGTGACTAGCTCCCCCACACCATCCCATTTGCTCACAGACATCATAGGACTGGGTTTCTGCCACATGGAAGAGGCTAAGCAAACGATGCACACAATGCACAGAACTCTTGGATGCACCTAGGGCGGTTCGACTTGCGCCCGGGGGTGACCCAAAGGCACCCCTTGGAAAATGCATAGTTGGATTATTCTGAAGAGCCCTGGTGGCCAACCTGATGCAGGGAAGTGCTCTAACCACACTGTGGTAATCTCACCCCCGTTTCTGCACCTTTCCCAGTACTAGGGTAGCCTTTTGTGGGACGCAGCAACCAGAACTCTTATTTAGATAATAATAGAATTATAAAATTGTAGAGTTGGAAGGGACCCCAAGAGTCATCCAGTCCAAACCCCTGCAATGCAGGAAATCTCAACTAAAGCATCCATGACAGATGGCCATCCAACCTCTGTTTAAAATTGTGGTGACATGACATCACAGTTATTAAAAGGGCAATGAGGCGGCCATGAGAAGTTTTGAAAACAACAATCCACAATGCCACACACAAGGCTGTTGAGTGGCAAAATTAGCCCGCTGTCTTCCAACTCTTTAAGCAATCTGATATAATCCCAACCAGTGATGTTGGTCTGCAGACACACACTTTCTAAAGCATGGACCATCTTCATACTGGTCCTACAGTGCAACCCGTTGACAAACAACTACAAGCACAAAGGAACCCTAAAATAAAGTACTGGCTCCTCCCTCTTTTCCACCTCCAGAAACCTGATCGCTTCCACTCCAGGGTCAGCTAACCAGTATGCAGATGGCCAGCTCCTCAAAGATTGGCAATACACATGTCCATATCAAGAGGGGTCCAATTCTCCTTGGCCTGAAGAACCCATTCAGGCAGCTGTCAGTTTTTAAGCCAACTGAAGGCAAGTGCACAACTGCCTTAAGGAGTGTAGTTTGAAGGAGTACTTTTCTGGCACCAAACATGATTAGGAATCATGGCCATCCCTTCCATGGAATTCCCTGTATAAGAAGAAAGGGGGCAGATGGACCAAAAAATACTGTGTGCCTAAAAGACCCAGATTCTGCTCCAATGACAGGCATAGCTAACACATCTAGATGTATTACATTAATGTGCCTACATTTGCCTATTTCATTCCACTTCTGCTAAGCCATGTGAGGGACGAATTATGAAGAGCACTAAAAACATCACCCCCTCAGAACTGAGGGGCCTGCATAGCCCATCACACGTCTTCTGGTTATTTCAACTGCATTTCCAAGCTTATTTCTGGAGCACTAAGGGATCAAAACGTTTTGTGGTAATGCAAATTAAGGATTCTGCAGATGTGGAATTCTCTTCCAGATATCAAATTTTACTTGGCTGCAGGTGCAAGGAAATGCATGAACCCAACAAGGACTAGCCAATGGCTAAGGGTTGGTGGCCAGGAATTATCTCCTTGCTAGAGGGCCTGGGAATGAAGTACTAGGCCACTTCCTGCCTGATCTGCTGACAATCTCCGAGTCTCATTAAAACCTTGAGCACTGCAACTGCCATCATTGCCTTTGCACAAATAGGATGCATTAAAGCAGGGACAAAATGGGAGGGTTTGTTGTTGTTTTCTTGCTGGGTTCCCCTCTGCCCAACTTGGAGCTGCAGATTTGGGTGGGTTTTGTTTTTTTGGTGATCTAGCAAGCAGCATACAGAGGGCTCAGTGCAGAGCAGATGCTTAGTTAGCAAGTGCTGTTCAAGTCTTGACAGGTGCATGCAGTTAGGCCCACATTTACCTAAGGCAGGGTTTTTTAAATTTTTTTGCCGGGATGGGCACTTGGGCTGCAGCACACCTGGCCCTACAAAACGCTAGTCTCCATTGTTCCCCATTTGGACAAGCAGAATAACCCCTTGCTAGGGCCCTCCACTCTGTTCCTTAATCTTTCCTCAATGCAATACAAAAGGCAGGTTTTTACATGGTGATTTCTATAAGTGGGAAAAGAAAGGGACAACCACAATAATGTCTGCTATGACATGGTGGCATTTCTCTCATTTTTTCCCCCAAGGGGAATGTGCTAACTCACCCTAACAGAGGTGATAAGGCTGGCATGGGGAGCCTGTCTTCCTAATGTTGCTGGGCTGCAGCTCCCATCACCTCCTGCCTGCATGGCCAACGGTTTTGGGGTGATGGGAACTGGGGTCGAAGAGGCATTTGGAGAGTCTCAGGATTCCCCTGCCCTGCATTGGGAACATCCTTCATTTTGGGAAACCAAGGGCTGAGCTGGCCCTAAGTGGGAACCCATCCTGGTCATCTGTTGAGACGAAAGCAGCACTACAACAGAACATATCCGACAGTGCAGTGAGCACCTTGAAACCGGGCGTGAACTTCCTTCTCACTCCAACTTCTTGGAGGGATTCAAAAGCCCTGGTTCCAGCAGAGCACCTTAATATATGTGGCCACCTGTCACCAACACCTTCACGGCCTGTTCTTTCCAGATTTCAGAGGAGGAGGAGGAGGACACGGAGATGCTTCCATTTGACAACAGCCTCCGCTTCTGCAAGGCTGACTTGGCTGCTACAAACCCCAAAAGTGCAGAGCAATGTCCCCACCTGGGTCCAGAATCAAGCCGTAACAGAGCACATGATTAGTTGGTCCTGGAGCATACACAGACAAAATGACAGGTTGCCAAGTGACGGTTCCACTTCTTTGCAATTGGCTAGGATTTCATACAGCAGAGAACTCTCCCATGACCCGTGGCTGATGGAAGCTTTTGGCTAGTTCTCTAAATCAGTTCTCTTCAGCCTTTGGTCCCCAGATGGTGCTGGACTCCTGACTCCCACCATCCCCAGCCAGCTTAACTAATGGTTAGGGATCATAGATTTGAAGAATTGTAGAGTTGGAAGGAACTCAAAGGGTCATTGAGTTACAACTCAATCATCCCTGACAGATGACCATCCAACCTCTGCTTAAAACCCTCTAGAGAAAGAGAGCCCAGCACCTTCTGAAGTAGCTGAATAAGCTCTTACTGCCAGAAAGTTCTTAGTCGGAATCTCTTTTTTTGTAATTTGGATCCATTGGTTCGGGTTCTACCCTCTGGAGCAGGAGAAAACAAGCTTGCTCCCTCGTCCACGTGGCAGCCCTTTAGATATTTGAAGGTGGCTCTCATATCTCCTCTCCATTTCCCCTTACCCTGGCTAAACCTACCCACAACCTCTCACAACCGTTCCTCGTAAGACTTGGTATCTTAGCTGTCCTTCTCTACTCATCTTCCAGCTTGCTCATATCCCTACAGGTGATAAAAGCATACGCAAACAACATCTGGGGATGGCCAAAGGTTGAAGAACATTGCTCTAAACTACAGCAAAACCACCTTGAAGGAGATTCTCCATGAATATTTAAGGTTAGTGACATGGATGAAGGAATGTGCAAGGGTGGTGCCCGCGGGATTCCTACTACGCTAAACTCAGCCTCACAGTTGTCTGAAAAGCAAAATGCATTATCTCTCCCCCCCGCCCCCGGCACCTTGTGGAAAATAAATAAATAATCCCAGATCTGATGGGAACCCCAGAGTGGGGTGGGGACTGTGACCGGTTGCATGCTGCCCTCCTCGTCCCGCTCCACCTGAGGAAAGCGAGTGGCGAAAAGGAAGTCGGGCTGGACGGATACGCCACACGGGGACGTTTTGTTTCCTCATACAGACATGGGCTGCAGACAGACAGACGTGTGCGTTGCCAGTGCCCCATTTGCAGAGGCACACTGGGCCAATGACATAGATGTTGACCCAGTGGAAGTCCTGGAGGAGAGGATGCAAAAGACAGGGTCCACCAGTCATCCCAGCACCAGGAGTTCATTACCTGCGTGGTGGTGCAACACTGTCCTATCTGGTTGGCTTAAAGGCGGAGGGAGAGCTAGTTAAGACCCACAGGCTGGCTGTGCTGCCTTGAGATGCAGCCCTTTGCTGCTCTTTCCCATGCCTCGCCACATGCGGACGTACACCATGACACACACACACTCGGACACATCATGCATGCTCTTCCTCTTGATCCCGGCACTGCGGAGAGCAGGAGATCTCTCTCCCCCCCACTGCTTCGTTGAGAATGTCTGTCCTTTTGATGCATTGTTGGAGACATGGCTGATAATATAAATTACTGTCTCTATATATACTATGTATAGGCAGCAGGGTCAGTCCGTGCGGAGCAGGCAGAGGGGCTCCGCCTCATTTCTCTTGATCCTCTGTGTAGTGCTGGAAACGGGTGAAGCTCATGAAGACTTGCTCCAAGGAGATTTGGCTGACGGAATAATCCTCTATGCAGTACTTCTCTTTGGCTTTCTCTAGTGCCCCAAACACCTGGGAGAAAGGAGACAGCAAAATCTTGGTGAGAGGCTGAGGAGGGAAGAACCTTCCTACAAACAGTGCTTTTGAAAGGTTTGTAAGAGGCCTTGGGTTGCTTTTCCAAGATCTCCCCTTCTCCCCAAGAACAAGCCAGCGCCTCCTCTTACTATGATCTATTCTTACTGCAACATCCATAATATGGTAGCGGATGTTTTATCCCATGTTGGTGGTCTTTCAACTGATTCCCTGCTGGCCCGCTGGAATGCAGAGTTAACCAGAGCTATCGACTGTCTGGCTCCGAAGCGCCCTCTCCAACTGCATGGAGCCTGGAGAGCCCCGTGGTTTTCTCCAGGGCTAAGGGTGATGAAACAATTGCTGAGACGGCTAGAGCGCTGGTGGTGGAAAACTCATTCTGAATCAGACCAGACACAGGTTAGAGCTCAACGTCAAGCCTACCAAGTGGCGATAGCGACAGTGAAAAGGACCTTCTTCACCGCCTCTATTGCATCTGCAGAAAACAGCAGCAGGAGACTCTTTCAGGTGGTTTGCAATCTAATGGAACCACCTTTGCCATCAGGGCCCGGTAAGGACCCCAAGATCTCCTGCAATTATTTTGCAAAGTTTTTTGCAGATAAAGTCACTCAGATTCGGGAAGAGGTAGACTCCACCATGGGAGCAGGGCCAGGGTGGGAGAGTGCTAGAGTCCTGTCTAGTTAAGTTGCATGGGATCAATTCCAATCTGTTACCTCTGAGGATGTGGACAGGCTGCTTGGACGAGTGAAACCTATCCTTGCCCATCCTGGCTCATAAAAGAGAGCCAGGAATGGCTGGGTGATGGGCTCTGTGGGGTGGTGAATGCTTCCCTCTGTGAGAGCGCCTTCCCAGACCCTCTGAAAGAGGTGGTCATTAAACTGCTTCTTAAAAAAACATATTTGGACCTGGCCAATATGGCCAACTATTGTCCAGTCTCAAATTTTCCATTCTTGGGCAAGGTGATTGAGTGGGTGGTTAATGAACAACTCCAGGCACGCCTGGAAGATGTGGACCATTTGGATCCCTTCCAATCAGGATTCAGGCCTCATCATGGGAATGAAACTGCTTTGGTCGCACTGGTCGATGATCTCCGGCAGGCCAGGGACAAAGGTGAGAGCTGTTTCCTAGTTCTGCTGGCTCTCTCAGCGGCCTTTGATATCATCGACCACGACATCCTTCTGGACCGTCTAGAGGAGCTGGGAGCTGGGGGCACTGTTATACAGTGGTTCCGCTCCTTCCTCCTGGGCCGTGTCCAGAAAGTGGTGATGGGGGATGAGTGTTCAGACCCCTGGGCTCTCACTGGGGGGGGTGCCTCAGGGTTCCGTCCTCTCCCCCATGCTTTTTAACGTATATATGAAACTGCTGGGAGAGATCATCAGGGGGTTTGCCTGGGTGTTCATCAGTATGCGGATGATACCCAACTCTACCTTTCTTTTAAATCAGAACCAGTGAAGGAGGTGAAGATCCTGTGTGAGTGTCTGGCTGGAGGATGGATGGCAGCTAACAGACTGAGGCTGAATCCTGACAAGACAAAAGTACTGTTTTGGGGGGACAGGGGGTAGGCTAGTGTGGAGGACTCCTTGGTCCTGAATGGGGTAACTGTGAATGTACAATAAGGAGGACATTTAGGTGGACCTTCAGAAGTGGCCACTGCTCAAGCCCACCTTCAGCCCTTACCTGTGCCCAGCTGAGGTTCTTGTTGGTGAGGTGATAATGGACCATGCTCTGATGTTCATGCTTCAGGATGCTCCCTGGAAGAGGAGAAGCAGAGATATATAGCCAGCATAATAACACCAGAAAATTCCTGCTGGGATCGGGCCAATGGCCCATGCAGTCCCACATCTTGTTTTCACAGTGGCTAAGCTGATGACTCGATGGAAAGCCAGCAGGAAGGACCTGCTCAGAGCAGCACTCTGCCCACCTGTGATTCCCAGCCACTGGCATTCAATTTTTAAATATATATTTAATATAAAGCACATACAAACTGCTTACACACACACACACACACACACACACACACACACACACAGTAGCTCCATCTGAAAATGGGCAATTAATCTACGTTCAATCATTTCTTTAATACCATATGCTTAAGCATTCTTTACTGCATTTGCTATTTATATATTGTAAACCTTTATTAAAAATGGATGAAGGCATCTCCCCTTCTCTCACACAAGAGAGAGAATGCCCTCTTCTAAGTCAGTGTTGGTTATGAGACGCATGTGCTTCATCTTGCTTCAGAATCACTTAAGTCACATGCAAATGTATGCAAATACATATGCAAATTCAAACACATTTGTATAGTAAAATTTGTACAAAGTCAACTGATTGTTTGACTAAAACCCATTTGACTACATAAAAAAAGAGAACTGCTTAATTTCTTGGCACCCTAATTATTATGATTTAGGTCCTCACGAGCTTGTCTGCACGTACCTGGGAAAGTCTTCTCCACAAATGTTTTGAAGGCCTGAAGGTTGTCCTCATCATCGCTGTTGGTTTTTGCCAGCAGGGTGTACCCACTGCCAAATTTGCTCTTCAGGTGCTGTGGGCTCCCCAGGCATTTGAACTGCCCATTCACCATGATGGCCAGACGGGTGCACAAAGCCTCACATTCTTCCATGCTGTTGAAAGGAGACAAGGATATAATTATTTATAGTCACCAAAAAGTAACTCAAACCAAATTACGTTAAAACCAACATACAAGCCATGGAACATGCAGTGGTCGTGCAAACATGCATACAGATTTGGGGAAGATGTGATAGAGGAGATTTCTGAAATAACAGGTGTACTGGAGCCCAAACTGTCTTTCATTAATTTTCAGTGGGTTGAATAAGCACTGCCCTTTTTCTCCCTCGATACCCCTTCCCACCATGCTAGTGCAGGCTAAGAAAACGGTCCCAACCTGTGTGAAGTGATAATGATGGACTTCCCGCACTCCCGCGTCCTGGCAACTGCATCCCACAGTAGGCGCCTGGCAACAGGGTCCATGCCGGTGGAGGGCTCATCCAGGAAGATGACAGGGGGGCCACCAATCAGGGCTATCCCCGCACTCAGTTTCCGCTTGTTGCCGCCACTGTGGAAGGAGAAGGTATCAATGGACTTTGCCTGTTACAAAGCCATCAAGGGATCGTTCTGCCCCAGCTGCCTTCACCCACGATTTACCCATTAACAATGGACTTGGGGCGAGACACTAAATGAATACACTAAATGAATCTTTGAATCGGCAGCTAGGATTACCCCTTCTCTCGTTTTTTTTTAAACGAGCAGCTGCATGAGGAGGAACAGGGGGTGGGAGGCAAGCAACTCTTGTCCCGGGGGGGGGGCACATTCCCTTGAGAAGTTCTCCTGCACAAGCCTCTCTGAAACGAACAGGAAGTGCACAAGAGCGAGAGGAAAGCTCTCCAGCTCAGGGGTGGGTCAACTGTGTGGTGAGGACTCTCTGGACTGGCAGGGGGCTGAGCTTTGGAGGCCAGCATCTCTCTGCCTCACCTGTACGTCCTGATGAGCTTGTTTGCATGTGGCTCTAAGAGCAGGCCTCGGAGCATGTTCTCCACACAGCTGCCAATGTAGCGCTCGGGGATCCCTCGCAGCCGGGCGTACATGCTCAAGGTCTCCCTCCCGGTCATGTGATCCAAAAGGGCATCAAACTGGGGGCAGTAGCCAATCCGCTGCTGGACCTGAATGTAAACGACAGACCAAAGTCAACAGAATTGCCCGGCAACCTCCCTACTGATGGTTTCAGTGCCCCACCAAACCCAAAACAGCCTCTTCTGGGCCTGCACTTGATGAAGGTCATCCAGGCTGCTCTAGTTTGCTTCTGTTAATCTGAGCTTCTAAGAGAGAAGCCCTGAATGTGAAACAGGGAGGCCACAGAGCCTGGCACCCACCAGCGACTATAGGGTTGGTTCCAGGGTTTGGAGGGGGTGCAAGTCTGGCGACAAATAAAAGTAAGGAATCCAGTTTGTTTGTATAAAGCAGAAGGAGCTGCAGAACAGAAGACAGAAGTGACAACCAACAACTTGGAAAAAACAATTGGACAAATTCATGGAGGATAAAAGTTATCAATGTTTTCTAGCCATGGCGGCCTTGTTCTGCTTTCACTGCCGGAGGCAATATGCCTCTAAATACCAGTTTCCAGGGATCACAAGTAGGGAGAGTGCTAATGCACTCATTGTATTTACAGTGGTACCTCGGGTTACATACGCTTCGGGTTACATACAGTTCATGTTACAGACTCCGCTAACCCATACATAGTACCTCAGGTTAAGAACTTTGCTTCACGATGAGAACAGAAATCGTGCTCCGGCTGCACGGTGGCAGCTATTAGCTATAGTGGTGCTTCAGGTTAAGAACAGTTTCAGGTTAAGAACGGACCTCCGGAACGAAGTAAGTACTTAACCCGAGGTACCACTGTATTTATCTATCGCATTTACATACTACCTCCCCCCCCCCAACTCAAGATGGCATACATGGCCTTGCCCTCCTCATTTGACAACCCTGTGAGGTAGGTTAGTCTGAGAGGCCGTGACTCTCACCCAGTGAGCTTCATGGCAGAGTGGAGATTCTAGCCCATTTCTCTAACCCACACTGGCTCTCTCATGCCAGGCTTGTGGGTTTCCCAGAGGCATCTCAGAGGCCTCTTTGACGACAGGATGCTGAATTGAGACGAGGTCTTTAGCCTGATCCAGCAGGGCTCTTCCTACTGTTTCAACCCTTACCTTTTTGATGTTGGCCAGGATGCTGTGCCCATCCACATAGGCGTCTCCCGATGTGATGCTCTCATCCCCTGTCAGCATCTTGAAGGTGGTGGTCTTCCCTGCCCCGTTGAAGCCAAGAAGACCGAAACACTCGCCTTTGTTGACTGCCAAGGATATTCTGTCCACAGCCAGGCATGAGTCCCTGTTGCTGTACACCTGGAAGAGCAAAACAAACAAACTGCTGGGTTGCAAGATGGCTCCTCCTCATTCCTCCCAAAGAAGTGATGCCATAACTTGTGTGACTGGTGCCCACTGGGACTGGTAGGGTGGAACGCAGGGAGACCAACAGCAGGTGGAGTAACAGGAAAAGCCACCCCTTGATTGGAAGAAGCTGGGTGGGGAAGTGGTGGGAGGTGGCTGAAGGCAAACTGAAGTTGGTGGGGCAGTGCCCCAATTGCCCTAGTGGATCAATCTCCACTGGTATTTCCCCACTTCCTCCAGATGGGACTTCCTCCAGAAGTTGGGAGGACAAGACTCCTTCAATCTAGAAAAGTGAGGGGAGGGTGGAGGGCACACCAGCAAATAATCACCTCACATTGCCTCCAACTGGGAGTATAAATAAATGAGAATAGTGGTCATGTTGTGGTTGTTGGGGCCTGGCTAGTCTTACAGCCTTAAAAATGGTCTGATTTGGTCACATACCAAACCTTTGGTCACACACCATACCTTTAAAGCACATTTAACACACATGGTGTTGGGCTTTTTCACTGACAGGACCAGTGTTGCAGAATGCCCTCCCTGTTCAAGAGGCCCCCATTGGTATTGGGATTCTGCTGGCTCCTGAATACACTCTTTTCAGGAAAGCATTCCTCTGAATTTGAACTTCCTGACTTAATTGTTTTAAGCTATTTTTATTGCTACGCTTTTTAACTGGTTTGTTTTATTGTGTACAGCAGGCTTCTTCAAACTCAGCCCTCCAGATGTTTTTGGCCTACAACTCCCATGATCCCTAGCTAGCAGGACCAGTGGTCAGGGATGATGGGAACTGTAGTCTCAAAACATCTGGAGGGCAGAGTTTGAGGAAGCCTGGTGTATAGCATAGTACAATTGATTTTATACTGGTAAACTGCTTAGAAGCCATTTTGGCATGTAAGAGGTATAAAAATTAAATAATAATAATAATAATAATAATAATAATGTCTTCAAAGAGAGGCTAAGCTTTAGAAACCACATAGGAGGGTCAGAAGTTTACCTTGGTAAGCTCCTTGATGACTAAGGGACTGTTCAATGATGAAAGGGATGCTGTTGGTGACTCTAAAACCTTCTTCCTCTCATCTGCAACATCCCGGTCTTCTGGAAGGACAGGGACTCTGTTCAGCAGCATCACCTGTTGTAGAAAAAGCCAACAGAATGTAGACGATGAGCACACTGCAGTAATGCAAGATTCTGGCACAGCTGAAAAAGTAATTAGCCTGGTTCACACACAATACTAAGCCATGGTTTGTTTACTCAACTACAACTTAACCACCCAAAATTGTTTCTCCGAAGCTTGGTTTGTTTTCCAGCCGGTCCTTCCTTGTGACTTTGTAGCTTGATGAATATCTTACACTGTATACACAGCCCACTGGGAAGCTTGGCTTACAGTTCTGTCAACCCAGGAATGCTTCTTCCTTCCAGGAAATCCTTACCCACTTCCGCCTCCGATGCACGTTGCAGACAAGGTTCTTCAGTCTCCAAAGGATGTTGGTCTCAATGAGAAAGAGGAGGATGAGGAACACAAGTCCCTGTACAGCCATGGAAGTCAAGTATTTGCCAATCCCAGGGCTCTCCCATGCAAAGTAATTGGTTTGGAAAGTAATATCTGGAATGGTAGGAGAGAGGGGAGAGAGAGAGAAAATACTGAAGGGCACTGTCCAATCCCAAACAAATACTTTTAACCCCCCAAATCCCCTCACAGAGCTGCAATTTTCACATGGTCTAGTCCTTCCACTGCCCACCCCCCTAATATTCTTATGAGGGTCTCTTCTCCAGTCTTCAGAGAGTAGGGGAGGCAGAAAAAGGTCCTCCTTTCCTTTACCTTTACTCCCCCCCCCTTCCACTGCAGTTTTAATTTGAAATCTTAAGTGCAATACTGTGCCCAGAGCTCAGAAACTGCTTGCGCTAATGAAATCCCCTGCTGCAAAATGCGCCTAGAACAATGGGAGTTTCAAATACTGGATAAGATGGAGACACTGCTGATAACAGCAGCCCTGTTTGAGACCTTTCTCTTCTGCAGTGCCTGAACATCAGGACACGGGTAACACTGAATATGCACAAGGGAAGGGAAGCAGTGAGCTTGATGCAAGGCTGTTGTTTTCAGTGGCAGTCCTGGGGTGGGGTGGGTGTGTAATGACTGACATCTAATGCCCTTTTAAATGTGTTGCAGAAGGGGGGATTATTGGGTTATCTTTGTTTTTATTATGTATTTTGAGTTTTTTAATATTGCAAATTATGTTGTGAACCACCTTGAGATCTACGAGTATAGGGCACTATACAAATTTAATAAATAGTAATAGTAATACAGTGGTACCTCGGGTTACATACGCTTCAGGTTACAGACTCTGCTAACCCAGAAATATTACCTCGGGTTAAGAACTTTGCTTTGGGATGAGAACAGAAACAGTGCTCTGGCGGCGCAGCAGCAGCAGGAGGCCCCATTAGCTAAAGTGGTGCTTCAGGTTAAGAACAGTTTCAGGTTAAGTACAGCCCTCCGGAATGAATTAAATACTTAACCTGAGATACCACTGTAATAATAATAATAATATGACGTTTTGACTTGCTGCAGAAGCCAGAGACGAAAAGATGAATTCTGGATACTCACTAAACACTTTGCAGACAAGGAGAGACTCAATTGAGGAGGTGCAGAACTGAATGAACTCATAGTTCTGGTAGAATTTGCTGATGCTTTGTCCCAAGCAGTAATTGGGCAGGATTAAGAAGACTTTATCCAACATCCTTGAGAGATCCACCATTCCAAGTTCTGGAAGAAAAACGTGGGAAGGTCAGGGAAGTGGCCTTTGATAGTCAGGTATATTAATGAGTCTGCCCTGTTCATACATAGAGGATGGCTATGCTTGTGTCTAATAATTCTTTTTCTCCTCCTCCTTTTTACATCAGGCTCTTTTTTCTCCTGCCCAGTTTTGGGAGCTGGGCTGCGTACTAAGAAACAGAGCACAGTGATTCTGAAAACAATGACAATTAAAAACTTTTTAAAAAGTAATTCAGCATTAATACACACATATTACGAATACAAACATACATTTCATACAATCCTTAAAAATGTTCAAACATACCTGAATTATTTTAATAATAAAAACTTTTTTTAAAAAAAAACTTTTTAAAAAGTAGTTAAACACATTCTTCCATCCAATGATCTGAGGGTTACCGGGAGCAGTATTTTGCAGCCACCAAATTGGTGGGTTTGAAAACAAGCAAGGAGTTCAAATTCATCTTGAAAGTTAATGATAGGGACACATCACTAGGGAGGGCATTCCACAACTGCGGAACCACCAGCAAAAAGGCCCTGCCATGGGTCAGTGATAACCAGGCAGCCCCGGTTGTGACATCTCCAATCTTAGTTGTGATAAAACTTTAGTATTTGTAGGTGTTTTGCTTTAATGGGGTTGGCTTATATACTTGCATTAGCCATTAGGAAGGGACATAATTATTAATATTTTAAACAAACAAACAATGAATGTTAAAATGTATTCTGGATGGTGTCAAAGCTGGATATTCGCCAGGGCCCCACAAGATCAGAAGAAGGCCCACCACGCTAACAGCATTGCAAATTTCCACCTTGTAGAGAGTATCAAATATCAGATATAGCCTTCGATATAGCTCCTCTAGACTAGTGTTTATATTGCAAATGTATTCTGCAGCATGGTCCTGACACAATAAAAGTGTCTTAAGGGTGGATTTGTTCTGCTTTTTTAGTTGCGACAAACCTATCTCATTTATTGCCGTCCAGAGGGGCAATAGTGCAATGAAAGTGGGACACACACCCTCACCCTAAACCCCAGATCCTTTGTGGTTTGAAAAGTTACAGGAGTCCAGCAACATATTGAGTAATTTTGCACTGATTGGGAATGAAGCAGTATGACCGCCCCAAAACTTTCTCAGGCACAAACAGCATTGGGGGGAAAGGCTCACATATGACTAGCCCAATAGCATTATTAGCACAAATTGTCATAGAAAGGATGAATGGAGTGTTCCTGCCTCTTCCAGGTTAGAGTGCCATGCCCTGGAAACAGCACTGACTGAAATCACTCTTTGTGTGCACAAGGATATTGCTGAGACTAGGAAATGCGATCAGCAACAGGGATGGGGGTCCCCGATCCCTTACCTTGAATGCTCATGATAGTGACTGCCAGGAAGGTGGCTGTCCCTGAGAAGATGTTGAAGATGGTAAGGCGTGTGTAGGCCGTAGAAGCCACAGAGAAGAAGAAGCTGAGCAGATACATGAGGGGGATAGTGGCCCAGCCGTAAAGGAGGAAGATCTGCATCACATCAACAAGGTGGTTGTCCTGGGTGAAGGCTTTCACGTCGAAGGCTTGGAATATCACCTGGAGGATTAAGTAAGAGAAGAAAGGGAAAAAAGAAAAAAAAGAAAATGAGTAATCAGTTAATTGAAGCGAGGGGTTGCTGAAGAAATTTTGAAATAGGGATGCAGAAGGGGGAGGTATGGGGAAGTCGGGGAAGTAAGATTTATGAAAAAGAGGTTGTGAAATTATACGTGTTTATATGTTTGTGTGTTTATGTATTGTTTACTGTATTGTTTTTTTATTTATGTTGGAAAATTAATAAAAAATTAATAAAAAAAAGGAATATCACCTGGAGGGAGGGATCAAACAATGAAATGGGGGGGGGGAGTATTTCAGCAGAAAATGCACACGAAAATACATATTTTAGGAGGAGAAATTCGTACTATTTAAACATTATTTCAGTTATGTGGCTTTTTGTGGGGGGTTTTAATTGCAGAAGAATGGGCACATACAAGACTGAGATGAACTAGAAAAGAGTTTGATCCATTCATCCCTGTCAGGTATAGGGCTTTCCCATTCCTGATTCTTTTAACTGAAGATCATGCAACCAGACAGTTTGAAGGGATCCTGAAGGTCATCCAGCCCAACCCTGGAACTGCAGATGCCTGAAACTGAGTGTAGGATTTTCTGCATGCAAAATGTCTGTCACTGGCCCGGGCTGGGACTGATATGAGCACCATGGCTATAAGAGCAGGAGGTGGAGGAGATGTATGAACTTACACCTCTTAGAAATAGTCAGCGTTCCTTTGCTTGAATGTTCAGCTTTCATTGTCGGGGGGACATGATCTCTAGGATTCTTTGGGGGAGGGGACACATCCAGGCAGTATTCTATCCAATTGCTAAGTACAGTGGTACCTCTGGATGCGAATGGGATCCGTTCCTGAGCTCCGTTCGCATCCTGAAGCGAACGTAAGACGCGTCTGCGTGTGTCGCGTTTCTCCGCTTCTGTGCATGCATGTGACATCATTTTGAGCGTCTGCGCATGTGCGAGTGGCGAAACCCAGAAGTAACATGCTCTGTTACTTCCGGGTCGCCACAGAGCACAACCCGAAAATATTTAAGCTGAAGCGAATTCATCGCGAGGTATGACTGTAAATGAGTTTTTGATTCAATTTTTAATGATTGGTTCAATCATTGATTTACTTAATCAAATAAACATAAACAAATCAGAGTGTTTGAATTTATGTTTTGCTGGTTTGCACTGATTATAATGCTCTTCCCCACACAAATCTAGAAATTAGGAGCACAGGAACTTACCTTACATTGAGTCAGACCGTTGGGTCCATCAAGTTCAGTATTGCCTACACCAGGGTTTCCCAAACTTGGGTCTCCAGATGTTTTTGGACTACAATCCCTGACCACTGGTCATCCTAGCTAGGGATGATGGGAGTTGTAGTCCAAAAGTAGCTGAAGAACCAAGTTTGGGAAACCCTGGCCTACGCTGAATGCTAGTGGCTGTCCAGAATTCCAGATGAGGAGTCTCCCTCAGCCCTATGTGAAGATTCTGAGGATCAAACATGGGACCTTCTGCATGCAAAGTGGATTTCTACCACTGAGCCAGTTTGCTTATGTGCCTGATTAGCATGTCCTGCCCCCACCCCTCTGTTGAATTCTTTCAGCATACATCTCCTGGTGCATTTTTGCCAAACCACTGGCAAAGAACCTCCTGGGGACTGCAGCTGAGCTGACTTACCAGCATGAGCACACAGGGCGTGAGGTAGTTGATGAGGTCCCACAGGAGGGCCGAGAGCCAGAAATTGACGACATAGACCCCGCTGACAAACTGGACGTGCTTGGCCTTGATGGCCCTCTCGCTGACAAGCAGGAGAGCGAAGGTGCTGGACAACGAGGCCATTCCATAGAGCAAGTTGATTGCAATGGCGAAACCCGTCTGGCCTCTGATGGGACATTAAAGACAGCAAGGTGAGCAGGACCAGGGATGTTTATTTGGAGGAGCAGCCCACCTACCCAAAAGGCTTAAGGCAGGCAAGAGCAAGAGCAAGAAAAGATCCAATCCGGGGTTTTATAATGTAGAACAAGTATATCCTAGGAACTCCAGCAAAACAGGGTGAGCAACTGGCAGGCCCTGGACCAAGTCTAGCTCATGAAGGGGTGACACTTGCACTTTCTCCATGTCTTCCCAAACCAAGGGGAAAAGGCAGGTGTGCAGGGAGCAGCAGGGATGAGAAAGGGATAAAGCCAGATTTCACCAACCAGCTGCCCATTGGACGCCATCAGGACTCCAACTCCAACCAGCAGGGTGATAGGATTTGGGAGTCATCCAGAGGGCACCAAGCAGGGGAAGACTGGAATAAGCCCTATTGGGGGTGGGGGAAATCTCCCTTCCCATCCTTAAAAGGACCCTCTGGAAGACCATTTCTATGCTGCTATTTCAGCCTAAAGGCACCCAAAGAAGTTCGCAAAACAATTTAAAAACAAAACACAATTAATACAGGACATAGTAATATTTTTTTTAAAAAAAACAGCAATCCATCACTGTTTATACAGTGGTACCTCGGGTTAAGTACTTAATTTGTTCCGGAGGTCTGTTCTTAACCTGAAACTGTTCTTAACCTGAAGCACCACTTTAGCTAATGGGGCCTCCTGCTGCCGCTGCGCCACCGCTGCACGATTTCTGTTCTCATCCTGAAGCAAAATTCCTAACCTGAAGCACTATTTCTGGGTTAGCGGAGTCTGTAACCTGAAGCGTATGTAACCCAAGGTACCACTGTACTAATATCAGGAAAGTCAGCTCTTCAGGTGCCAGGCCTTGCAAAGCCAACAGAACTGCAAACGCCATGTGTAAGAGAGAGTGGCAGTGACAGACTCGAGAATCCTGAGGTTTGTACGGGGGAAATTTAAGGAGAAGGGGGAAAGGGAACTCTCCAAAAACACTGAGTATGCTCTGTGGGCCTGGAATGGTGGCTGACTGCTGGGAGGGAAATGGAATAGAGTCGCAGGAGATCTGCTCTCCAAGTGGCAGCCTCAGAGGGTTGTTGTAAGGCTAAAAAGAGAGGCGAGAGGACTATGCACGCCACTTTCAGTTCTTTGGAGGAAAGGCAACACTATATATAAAGGAATTAAATAAAGAGTGAATTTATCATTGTTCAAAAGAGAGGAAGAATCAACTCACTCCATGAGCTGGTCCTTCGCGGTCTCTGTTGTGTTGCGGGGTTGTGGGTAGTTAGCCACAGAGATGGAAGCATTGGGGTCAACCAGCAGCTTCAGCAGGGCATTGTCAACCAGGAGAAGGGCTGCGGCAGACGAGTGGAACGCCTGGTTGTTGAAGAGAGCCGTCACCTTCACAAGATCCCCGATTTCTTCGAAGGACGCTGCCGCAATGTAGCGCTCGTTGAAGGCTCCCCCTTCTTCAGCGGCTCGAGAAATCAGGTATTCCTGCAGATCACCTGCAACAACACTTTTGTCAATGCAGCAGGCCTCCTAAGTGGTCCTTCCGTTGACCAATCAGATGCCATTTGAGATGAGCCATTAGGAGATATTGCTACAGGTGTTTAGCGGAGGAAGGTTTTCTCTGCAACCCTGAGGTCTAGAAACTTGCTGTTTGAACAGAAACGGGGATTTCCAGGAAACCGACAGGTGCCAGAAGCTGGAAACTAGGCCAAATTTTGGCATGATCTGAAGCCTCAATTAAAGCAGAATAATGTACATGAACAGCCTACTGAAGCTTGGTGTTTGCTGACAGCATCTTGTTTTTAAGACTCTAGCAGCCCCAAAGTTGGTTGGGTGTTTAACTTTACATGGAAGTCTATCTTCCTCCTCTTTTTGCTCCCTTACTCCACACTCCATGTGAGACTTCTTCCCCACAACCTTCCACCCTAACCCCTTGCTCCCCAGTCTCCCTATCTGCCAAATGCACCAAGGCAGGCACACACCAGTCACTATCATTCTCTTCCTCCCCTTCCAGCATCTACTTTGATATTGCACATTCTGTGACTGGGCCTTCTCCCTCAGGTGCTTCCAATGCCCATGAACATTTTGCCATATCCCAGCTGCTGAGCCACAGCAAACATTTCAGCAGAAGCTCCTATTTGTTCTCCTGCAAACCCAGAAGATTTGGAGCATCTCTTCTTGCAGAAGGGGCTTAAAAACAGACTAAATATCTGTTCTCTGCCTTGGCTACTCACCCACTACCTCCAGTGGCCCTTGGTGCTGAGAGTCCACGATATCCTTATACTGCTCTCCTAGTCTCTGGGCCAGGGTGGATTCTTGGGAGACAGAAAAGGGCACTGTAGTCTGTCCATACGGATTTAAGGTCATCTTGAGCAAGGAAGAGTCTCGTGGGCCTGGAAAGGTCTTGGCCACAATCAGGGCGAAGGCAGTGAAGATCAGAGGCACCAGGAACTGCGCTGCCACCATCTTCCAGTTGCGCCAACTGTAGACAGCCCTCTTCATAAACATGGCATAGAACTGCTGGCAGCAGAGGTAGAACTATGAAGACAAAGAACAGGCTAAGGATACTGATAAGGTGGATCCCCTTGGAAGATTAGATAAACTCTGATATTAACAGGGCATTGTTGCTGTTATCATTTATATCCAGGCGGTGACCATTCCCTGTGGGGGTTCCATTCCTAGCCCCCGCGTTTGTCGGTGGAGCGTATATAAGCACACCCCGCTCTGTCCTCGTTCTGCCTTCTTCTGGGTCCAAAGGACCTGCATATCAGCAATCACACATCCATTGGACACCACCTGTATTTTCTTTGTATACTGCTTCAACGTAAAAGCCTTTGAGCAGTTTACACAAAATATGTATTAGCGATTATCAATAAAATTTGAAGCATTCCCTCTTTTCATTTTTTTTAATTAGCGATGTGTTTTTAAAACTACAAAGCCATTTTTGAATATGTTTAAGTACACAGCTGCGCCTAATGTTTCCAAGAAATTTCACACCAGCCATCAATAAGCAGTATCATGATGAGTGCTTGACAAAATCACCCACGCTGAATTTGTCTGGCTTTGTATACGTATGTAGCAATAAGGAACATTCATTTAGGTCATATACAGTGGTACCTCCAGTTGCGGATGGGATCCGTTCCGGAGGTCCGGTCGGATCCCGAGGTTTCTGCAACCTGAGGACCGCTTCTGCGCATGCGGCGAAACCCGGTCAAATACTTCCGGGTTTGCCGCTTTCTCATCCTGAAGTTTACGTAACCAGAGGGCTACGTAACCGGAGGTACTACTCTATTTGCAAAAGCAGTTTGAGCATGTGAAGAACCACGGGTGAGAATTTTAGTCAAATATAAAACCAGGCAGTTATCCTAGAAACGATGATCATCTTCCCAGGAGGCTGAAGACTCCAGTGTCCTTGGTGCTCTGGCTAATGGTACAGGCTGGATTCAACTTTAGGAATAATTAGGAAAGGGGCTGGAAATAAAACTCCTCAGAACTAAGGCATGGCCACATTCGGGGTACTACTCATTCAAGCACAAAGTATGGTGAGTTCCATTTTTGTCAACACCCACGATTAATCAATTGCTATGTTCACAAGGGCTGGTGAGTCCCCATGGCACCAGAGGAACCAACCAGAGCTCACCCCCGTGTTCAGCTTGATGCTGGAGCAATCTTCCGTGATCAGAGCCCCGCTGTCATCGGTCATGTCAGTCATCCCACTCAGGCTGCTGGAGTCGTCCATGGCCCAGTCGTTGGATCGCCGTTCATGCTGGTACTGCAAAGCTGGCAGCTGGATGGCTTGGATGTCCATGCTGGAATCAACCAGCTTGCCAACTCTTAAAGGAAGAGAGTGAATCCATGTAAGCGAATGCCATCAGCATTAGGTGGGGTTTGTGGTTTTTTTAAAATTAAGTCACCCCAGAGGTTAGCTTCCCAACAACCTCAGCGTCATACCTGTATACAAGTTTTAGAAATGAGCCTCTTCTGGAAGCTCACTTGCCACATTTCTGAGTCATGCACAATGTTCTGGACCCATTTCTGGTTGAAGCAGAAATGGGCTTTCACAGTTTGAGCAGAGTATGCATTAAAGTGAAGGTAAAGGTACCCCTGCCCGTACGGGCCAGTCTTGACAGACTCTAGGGTTGTGCGCTCATCTCACTCTAGAGGCCAGGAGCCAGCACTGTCCGCAGACACTTCCGGGTCACGTGGCCAGCGTGACAAGCTGCATCTGGCGAGCCAGCGCAGCACACGGAACGCCGTTTACCTTCCCGCTGGTAAGCGGTCCCTATTTATCTACTTGCACCCGGAGGTGCTTTCGAACTGCTAGGTTGGCAGGCGCTGGGACTGAACGACGGGAGCGCACCCCGCCACGGGGATTCGAACTGCCGACCTGACGATCGGCAAGTCCTAGGCGCTGAGGTATGCACTGGGGCAGGTCTAATTGGTTGCCCCTTGCTTCAGTCATAAAACAACCCTCCCTCTTTTCAAAGCACGGCTGTGCATGATGCTGATCGATCAGCTGTGATGCCAATCATGAAGCCACTGTCCCTCCTTCTCTGTGCCCCCCCAATTGTATCAAAAGGTGGCAGTGCATGTGGGTTGCTCATCTGATGCAGAGGGAGAAGGGAGGGCAGGTTCCTCAGACTGCAGAGAAACAGGGATTTGACCAGAAGTTCATGGCATTGACCCATAATTTGAGGAGAAATGTTTTTGTGAAATTATTCCCGCCACTGCCAAATTGTGTTTTGCCAAATCATTTCAGCATCTTGTTTACTTGAGTCCCAATGAACTCAATGGGGATTTCTTCCAAACTGCACTGTTAATAGAACTGCACTGCTAATCTCAGATTCCCTCCCCCTCAATATACATCCGAATCGTATTTCAGAAAGAAATTAAATCCAACATGTTTTAACTCACACTTAGTCCCGCTGAAAGAGCACGTTTACCTTCCTTGCTAGCTTCCCCAATGCCCTACCTGAGAAAAACTTCCTCCATAGTGGTGACTGAGGCTCCGTAACTGGCAATGCCCAGCTCTTCCCGGCGTAACTCCAGCTCCGTGAACAGAGCCTCAAACCTGGAAAAGCAGCAGGAAACAGGAAAGAACTTCAGCATTCAAAGCGTATCCCTAACATTCCCTATATTACACAGAGGAAGCGCTTCCTACCCCTTTGGACAAAGGCCTGTAACCTGGGGTTCTTGTGGGGGAATGTGCTTTCCATGCACTTTCAATGCACACAAGAGTTTGCCAGCTGCTGGGAAAGCAATCTGCACGGCAGTTCTTGCCAGCCCAATTTCACAGTTTGGCCACACCCACTCTTGGCATGTGATCCTTGGAGGGCGAAGTCTTCGCCTAGAGAAGGTGAGCTCTCACTGGCTTAGACACACGCCCCAAATTTGCAAATGCTAGAGAGAGCCCCGGCACTGCAGTTTCACAACAGACAAAGCTCCCACACCGATGACGACCTGGCAAGCCATCTTCAGTTCTTGCAGAGGGTGACACTACCTGTGTGTACTCTCTTTGGGAAGGATGAAGGACAGCTCCGCCCCAGCGTTGCTCTCCAGGGTGGCGTTGGGCACATAGTGATAGATGAGACGGGAGATTTCCCCGAGGTTGCAGCACGGCTCCTTCACCATCACCATGTGGTATCCTGCACCTGAAAGGGAGCAGATGGAGATTTTGGAGGTGGGGGGAAGAAGTGCAGGAGAAGAGAAGAGATTTTTGTGTGCACATAGGAAGCTGCCTCATACTGAGGTTGCATTTATTTTGTTCCACTTCCCTGACATTTTACCTAACTGTTAATTTCTGCATTATGTTTGAGCTTTAATGTGATGTAAAAACCACTTCTGGAAAACTAATGGAATGCACTGATTTATTTGCTGTTTGATTCCATTAAAAAACTGTCTGTGCCCCTTAAACCATAAAATCACTAAAATGGTGAAATTTGGGGAAGGATACTATTTTTTATTGTCTGTGTTTGTTCATCAAGAAAACTAATAAAAAACTAAAACGAAAAATAAAAAGGGTATTGACATACAATTCTTTCCTGCCCTTTTCATGGGGGGAATTATGGGGAAACAAAAGCAGGTATATGAGGAAAGGGTTGGGGAGGAACACTATTGTCCAATTATGTTGGTTCCTGTCTCACCGCACATCCACTTGGCGTGAATTTAATTTAGTGTGACATGTCGGTATATCAGTAAAAAAGCCACAGTTCCACAACAGGCACTGCAGTGTGAAAGTGACATTGGAAATAACATCATCATCAACAACAACAACAACAACAACAGTAATAATTTATTACTTATACCCCACCCATCTGGCTGGGTTTTCCCAGCAACTCTGGGCGGCTTCCAACAGGAGATTAAAAATACATTAAAACATCGGTCATTTTTTTTTAAAAAAAAAACTTCCCTAAACAAGACAGAAGTGCTAGCGTTATAATCAGGAAAATGGAACGAAATATTTCCCATGTCTGCATCCACCAGACTGTTGGTCCATCTAGCATAGCATTGCCTAATAGTACTGCCTCGCAGCAGCAATCCAGTGTCTGAGACCAAGGATCTTTCCCTGCTTGAAGATGCTGGGGATTAGATCATAGAAATACAAAGCTGGAAGGGACCACAGGGGTCATCTAGTTCAACCCCCTGCAATGCAGGACTCTTTTGCTCAACCTGAGGCTTGAACCCACAACCCTGAGATTAAGAGTCTCATGCTAGAACATGGGACCCTCTGCAAATAAAGCAGATGATCTACCACTGAAATCCATCCAGTCAAGAAGCATTCAGGGGTGTTCAAACTACATACCAGCAGGTTCCCCTGCAATAACAATTGCTATGTTGAAATTGCCAGGTCCCTGACAGACTTTTGGGTTTTTTTGAAATGCAGAATATATACACACCATTGGTGAGGGCACTCACATTTAAAGCCCCTCTCCCATACAGGTCACTAGGCTCTTCCCCTTCCAAGTCTCATACAGAATGAAATAATTCCGTGAATGCTACCAAAGGGGAATGCCACCCACTGCAAGGTCCTTATTTCTTTGTGGTCTTCTTCAAGTCAGGTGCTGGCACAAGGGGGATTCTCCTTACCGTATTTATGCTTGAGAAAGAGCGAAGACCCACAGCACTGGAGCTCCCCCTTCGCCATAATCGCAATGCGGTCGCCCAGCAGATCTGCTTCATCCATGAAGTGTGTGGTGAGCAGGATGGTGCGGGTGCTCCGCTGCTGCTGCAAAAGCTCCCAGGTGGCCCGGCGGGAAACCGGATCCATGCCTGAGGTTGGCTCGTCTAGCATCACCACCTAGACAGTGCAGAGAGAAGAGGCCTCAGTGCAAGGTGAAACACAGCTGGCATAAGATATGAAGGGCACATAGCGTATTTTTTGCTCTATAAGACACACTTTTTCCCTCCTAAAAAGTAAGGGGAAATGTGTGTGTGTGTTATGGAGTGAATGCAGGCTGTGCAGCTGTCGCTGAAGCCAGAACAGAAGAGGGAGAGCTGCGCAGCAATCCCTCTTGCTGTTCTGGCTTCAGGGATAGCCACGCAAAGCCTCTTCAACAACATTTGATTCAGAATATTTTTTTTCTTGTTTTCCTGCTCTAAAAACTAGGTGCGTCTTATAGTCGGGTGCATCTTATAGAGCGAAAAATACGGTGCCCAGAATACAGAAGAGAGACAGTGTGGCGCAATTGTTAGAGAAGTGGGGGGCAGCCTGAAGCCTAATTTCATGCAGCGGCAGGGGGAAATGGAAGCAAATGGGGTGGCAGAAAGAATAACGAAGAAAGAAAACAGAGGACTCTCAAGACTCACTTTGGAGTCTCCAATGAGTGCGATGCCAATGGAGAGCTTCCGTTTCATCCCCCCAGACAATGCTTTAGACAGAGAGAAGCGTTTCTCCTGTAGGCTGAGGATGTGCAGGATGCGGGTTATCTCCTCTAGACATTTCTCTGCAGGAAAACCTTTCAACTGAGAGGAAATAGAATGGAAAAAGAGTTAGCACACCGGTTGACAAAAAAAAATAGTTTTTTGATGCTGCTGCTTTCATTTAAATCAGGGTTGGGGAATGTGTGACCCATCCCTACGTATTGGTCATCCTGGCTGGGGCTGATGGGAATTGGAGTCAAACAGCATCTGGAGGACCAGAGATTCCTAATCCCCAGTCAGACAAAAAGGATAAAAAACCCGAACAGGTTTCTAGTCCCTGTAGTTGACAACTGCTGACCCCAGAACCCTATTGCACATTGTGGCATCAGCCTGAACGTGCATCAACGCTGCACATAGGAAAAGCTCATGTGTGCATTCACAAGCCCAAGAAATGTGCACCCATCATCTGCATCTCCCTCCAGCCTGAGAGATAAGCTTGGTGTTTGTACGGCCTTTGCTTTTACAGAAGATTGTGATTGCCGATGTTCTAAGTGAGAATATACACCATTCATTTAATGTAGGGTATCTCCTGAAGAGTTACACCATGCTATGTAACAAAGGATAAAAAGCAGCCTTGCAATATTTATCTGAGATTACCCCAGAGTAGAAGTACAGGTGCTCTTCCACTGTCATTTGGTCAAAGAGGACGTCATGCTGAGGGCAGAGGCCAAGACTTTTCCGGATCAGATTCATGTCCTGGGAGATCTCATAGCCGTTGATGTATGCTTGGCCACTTGTTGGAGGATACAGTCCTGGGGAAAAGGAACAGCCTTCAGATTAGATTAGATGGATCCCCTAAAGTCCAAGAAGGTTTAAAAGGCATTTTATAGTATCCCTGCCAAGACTGTCCACAACTCTCTCCTGGGTGTATCCAATCCCAGTTTGCTGCCTGTGTGGTACATAAACTGAATCTCAACCATTTCAAACCCTGTTAATTGCTGTAACCTATTATCAGGTAGGGGTTGTGAATTCCCACATTTTGTAAGCAAATATAGCGCATTTCTCTATCTTCATTAATATGCTCCTTTTTATGCACACTTGCTCCTAACAGATGCGTTTTTGTAAATATAGCCTTGACTCATTATTCAGGCTCAGCATGATGATGATCATAGGAGCCTAGGAAGCTGTCTTATGCTGAGTCAGACCTTTTGGTCCCTCTAGTTCAGTATTATCTACACTGACTAGCAGCCGCTGTCTAGGGTTTCAGGCAGGTAATCTATCCCAGTCCTACCTGGAGATGCTAGGGATTGAACCTGGGACCTTCCACATGCAGAGCAGATAATCTACCACTGTGCTACAGCCCTTCCAGCCTAGTCCCAACAGCCCAACCTCACCTGTGAGCATGGACAAAGTCGTCGTCTTCCCAGCACCATTGTGCCCCAGAAGCACTGTGATTTGCCCCTCATACATGTTCAGGGTCAGGTCCCTTACAGCGTCCTTGGTTTTGTTCCCCACCTTGAACACCTGAGGACAGACAAGTGAGAAGTATACATAAACAGGCATTCAGATGCTCTTTCCATAAGCTGCTGTTGCACAACTCAGCTTTCAGAATGCGGCATCCCAGAAGAACCCACCTTGGACAGGTGCTTAATTTTGATCCCTGAAACAAGATCCGATGGCTCCTCTTCTATGTACTGGCTTTTCAGGGCCTTCTCTGGGTCCTCCTCCTCTTCTTTCTCCTTTCCCAGCACTGTCTGAGGACTCCCACACCAATACGAAGGCTAAGGAGAGACAAACAGGGAGGCTCTTATTGTTGCAAACAATTGGTTCAATAGTTTTTTATTAAATTTTTTTCCATAAATTCTCCCATCATCATTTTTCCACAACACATATTTTGATTTGTTGAACTTCCCTCAACTCCTCTGAAATCTTCCATAATTATTCCTTTATCTACACATTTCTTAATTTTAATATCACCTTTGAGTAATATTTGAATCCTCATTTATCTTTTTGCGATATTCGTTGTTTTTCACAAAGCCTCTTCAAAGCATACTAGCGTTGTATTCTCCTCACATACACTTTCCAAATACTCTCTAAATTTTCCCCAGTCCTCCAAAAACTTATAATCTTTCTGAAATCTAATTTTTCCAGTCAGTTTATCCAGTTCCGCATACTCTGTTAGTTTTGATCTCCATTCTTCCAAAGTCGGCACTTGTTCCTGTTTCCAACGTTGGGCTATCAGCATTCTCGCTGCAGTTATGGCATATTGGAAGAGCTTGAAATCCCTCTTGTTTATTTCCTTTCTGGTTATCCCTAATAGGAAGGTCTCTGGTTTCTTTACAAAACTGTACCTTAGCATTTTCTTTAACTCATTATACATTTTCTCCCAGAAACCCTTCACTATCTTACATTCCCACCACATATGCATGAACGAACCCTCTTTCTCTTATTGTTGCAAACAATTGGAGTTTGCCAATTATTTCATTGATGGGGTGAGGCAGCTTTTTCAGCCTGAGGGCCATATTCACCCAGGGGCCACATACCATGCTCAAAAGAATAAATTGCAATAAACTATTGACTTGCTTTTGTTTTAGTATGTATTTTGTGTTCTCATTTTGTATTTTTACGTTGTAGACCACCCTATGATCTTCGGATGAAGGGTGGTAAACAAATCTCTCACTCTCTCATACTCTTATTTATGCCAGCTAAAGTCCTCTATGTATTTTGTTTGGTTCCAATGAAACATGATGAACTTCTACCCCCAGCACCAGCCATTCCCAACCTGGTGTCCTCCAGATGCTTTGGACTAGAGCTCCCATCAGCCCCAGCCTGCATGATGCAAGAGTAAGAATGAGCACCAGGGATTCATGAAGAGTCAATATTCATTTTAGCTATTCATAGATACCAAATGGAGCTCACATATACCCACTTGGTCAGATCAGGAAGCCTGGTAGCAGAACAAGTTGTTGCCACTAATTGCTATTATGATGTCTTCTAATGAAGACAGAAATAGATCAGCTACTATGCCTTGTTTGTTTGCCTAAAACAGAGGTTTTAAACCTATTTGAGTCCATGGCTCCCTTGACCAACTACATTCTTTCTGCGGCACCCCTGTGGGGCTCAGGAGCCCAGTTAAATCACCCCTTGCCTGCAGAGCTGGCAGCCTCTCACTCTTTTTCTAACAACCTCCCTTGTGGAGTGTTCCCTCAGCCTCCTCCCCTCTCCTTGGGAGTTGTCTGGGCAGCCGCTACTGCCACCCCTGATCACTGAGCTACCCACCCATCCCAAAGAAAGGTGCTTCCTCACACTGCTCCACAGAGGCCTGGGAAGCATCCCCTAGCCAGCCCCAGAGGCACCATTTGCCTGGGGAGCTTATAACCAGGGCTGCTGCAACAAACAGCTGTGCAAGTCTCTGGGAGGCAGAGACGCAAGAGGGCATCAGAGGAGGGAGGGAAGGAAAGAGGGACAGAGGCCAGTGTTGCCCACAGCATGCCCAACCATCATTCAAGGCACCCTAGGGTGCCACGGCACACTGGTTGAAAGCCACTGGCCTAAGACAATGGCCTGGCTCACAAGCCACGCTGGGTCAAACCAAGTCCCGGCATAAACATGGCCATGTACTTCCTAGAAGAGGAGATCACAGTTGCTTTGCTCCTCTTCCAGTCACTCCTCTGCTGGTTTGGTTTAGCCTGCCATTCAATCCCAGAATCATGGTTTGGCTCTCTGGACAAGTCATGAGCTGTAAACCATAAAAGAGACCTTGGTGGCAGCTTATGGCTAGTCCAGAGATAGTAAAACCAGGTGTCCAGGTTTGGGTGACAAACCAAGTTTCTCTGCATGTGTCTTCACAGCGTAAAATCCCACCACAAATGTTCCATTTCTCAGTTCCACAACTTGCTCTTTTTCTGTGCTCCTGAGAATCGTCACAGCATACCCTCAGCACTGGACTCTTCCCCATTACTAAGCTCCAGACGTTTTCAATTACCACTTGCGAGTTGTCGTCCAAAGCAACTGGAGGGAGCAGGTTGGCACAGGCTAGGCTACACACATCTGGTCATTGGGAGAGAGAGCAGCACAGGACTCACCATCAAGAAGAAGTACCAGGGCTGTGGGATGCCATACTCTCCTGGGAAGACGGCCTCCACATACCAGGCCACCAAGCCATACAGCACCGAGTCCAGGAGTAGCATCCCTAGGACGTGAGCCACAGTGAAGTTATCGTCCACGCTGACTGGTTTCAGAAGGTCCCTCCACTGCACCCCAGTGCCTGGAAAACAGAATTATTATTATTATTATTATTATTAATAATAATAATAATACCCCGCCCATCTGTCTGGGCTTCCCCAGCCACTCTAGGCGGCTTCCAACAAAATATTAAAATACAGTAATGCATCAAACATTAAAAGCTTCCCTAAACAGAGCTGCCTTCAGATGTCTTCTAAAAGTCTGGTAGTTGTTGTTCACTTTGACATCTGGTGGGAGGGTGTTCCACAGGGCGGGTGCCACTACCGAGAAGGCCCTCTGCCTGGTTCCCTGTAACTTGGTTTCTCGCAGTGAGGGAGCCGCCAGAAGGCCCTCTGTGCTGGACCTCAGTGTCAGGGCAGAACAATGGGGGTGGAGATGCTCCTTCAGGTATACTGGACCGAGGCCGTTTAGGGCTTTAAAGGTCAGGACCAACATTTTGAATTGTGCTCGGAAACGTTCTGGGAGCTAATGTAGGTCTTTCAAGACTAGTGTAATGTGGTCTCAGCATCCAAGTTCTGTTTTGCATCCAACAGCGCAAAGTGAAAGCAGGCTGCTAATACATTACTGAGACCTGAAATGTGAGGGGCCAGGGTGGGGAACAAGACATCCCCTTCTTCTGACCCTCTCCTCCCGAATTAGGGATCCCAAAGTTGTTTTTGTTTTAAATACTTAATGCTACATCATTGTGGAGGATATTTACTAGCCGGTTTGGAGTATACAAGAAATATTTCAACACAACAAAAGATTCTGAGTGTCCTAACCACATTGCATGCACTATCTTGGGTAGCTTCACAACAATCTTACGAGGTAGTCCAGTATGATGGTGGATTAAGAACCTAAGAATGTGAAAAGAGCCTGCTGGATCAGGCCAATTACCCATCTAGTCCAGCACCCTGTTCTCACAGTGGCCAAACAGAAGCTTGTGGGAAACCAGCAGGCAGGATTCAAGCACAGGAGACCTCTCCCCTCCTGCAGTTTCCAGCAAATGGTATTCCGCAGCATTTCTGCCTCCAACCGTGGAAACAGAGCGCAGAGACTTCATGGTTATTGCAGATAAGGACCTGAGACAGGGTGGGTGGTGAAGAAGATGGGGACAAAGCTAGGATTAGTTGCCATGGGCTCTGGCTCCACCTGCTGTTGAGCTCCTTGCCTTCTGCCCTGCCAGTCCCAATGGGCACCAGCCGCCACTGATTGTGGTGGATACTTGCAGACCTGATTGACTCTCCCTTGATTCTCCACACTCCAACATCTGCCTCCGAGAGAGCCTCCAGGCCATTGCCTTACTTACTTCAAGTCCCTCCCCAAAAACAGTTCTTCCAGGAATCCTTCAGACAAGGGGCAGTCAACATGGTAACCTCTCATCAGCCCTGACCACCAACCATGCTGGCGGGAGTGGGTGGGGATTTGAACCCTGGTCTCGCAGGCCCTAGCCTGACACTTTAACCACCACAATGGCACAGGTGATTCCAATAGGCACCAGCTGACAGGCTCCTGACTGTGTGCTGGAAGCCACATTCCTCTCTGCCCCCACACCTGACATCACTTGCGACATCAGGTGATGAGGAGGTGGCCATGGTTTTGAGGAAATGGCTGCACCAGCTAAACTTCTTTCCCTCTTTATCCCTGCCTCCATTATTCCTCCCTGTTCTTTCCCTGTATGTGTTTTAGACTGGAAACCTCTTGGAGTAGATACCTATCAAACCTGTTCTTTGCAGAGCACCATGTACACCGAAGACGCTTATAAATAAAAAATATTTTAGCCCACTCTAGCCCAATGGGACGCGGGTGGCGCTGTGGGTTAAACCACAGAGCCTAGGGCTTGCCGATCAGAAGGTTGGTGGTTCGAATCCCTGTGATGGGGTGAGCTCCCGTTGCTCGGTCCCTGCTCCTGCCAACCTAGCAGTTCGAAAGCACGTCAAAGTGCAAGTAGATAAATAGGTACCGCTCTGGTGGGAAGGTAAACGGCGTTTCCGTGCGCTGCTCTGGTTCACCAGAAGTGGCTTAGTCATGCTGGCCACATGACCCGGAAGCTGTCTGCGGACAAACGCCGGCTCCCTCGGCCCATAGAGCAAGATGAGCGCCGCAACCCCAGAGTCGGTCACGACTTTACCTAATGGTCAGGGGTACCTTTACCTTTAGCCCAATGGTTGCCATTAATTTGATTTTGAATTGATTTTAGAATGAATTGATTTTAGAATGTATTTCAATTAACTGATTGTGATTTTATGTAATCTGTGTTATTTTTACTGTTGTTAGCCTCTCTGAGCCAGGCTTCAGCTGGGGAGGGTGGGATATAAATAAATTTTTACTATTATTAATTATTAGTATTATTATATGCTGCACTTTTGTTTGTTTGTGTTTTTTTCCAGGAGAAAGAAAGAAAAATTGAAGAAATATTCAGCCCGCTTTTAATTCCAGCCAGAGCTGGAACAACAAGAGTATTGCAGCTGAACAAACATTTACCAGTTGCTCAATAACCAGCTGGTAAGTCATGTGAGTTGGTCTCACACTGACTCCTGCTTGCAAGAGATACAGCAACAGATACAGAACCCAGCCCAGGACAAACCTATGGCTGCCTGTCTCCTGATGATAGTTAGGCAATTCACACCGTGGGTGAAAACATTCTTTCACAGAGTATTAATCTCACCACCCCCTTTTTGGAGCTAATCACGGCCAACGCAGCAAACAATCAACATTTCCTGCCATTCTCTTATGGTACAATCTGCATTAATACAATTAAATTCCAACTTTCCTCCAAGGATATCAAGGTAACTGCTCCAAGGGGACACCCAGTGAGCTACATAGCTTAGTGGGGATTCGAACCCCGGCTTCCCAGGGTCCTGGTCCAGCGTTCTAACCACTACACCACACTGGTTGCTGCAACCCATGCCATGCTATAAAGACATAAGAAGAGCCTGCTGGATCAGCCCAATGGCCCATCTAGTCCAGCATTCTGTTCTTGCAGCGGCCAACCAGATGTCTGTGGGAACCTGAGCACAAGAGCACGTTCCTTTCCTGTGGTTTCCAGCAACTGCCATTCAGAAGCATTGCTGCCTCCAGCTGTGGAGTAGGGCTGGCCGATATCAGCCTTTCAGCATCATGGTATATCACCAGCCAAACATCGCAGTCTGACAATGTCGAAAAACGAGCTGCATTGGCCTCAGCAACTAGCAAAATTGACTGGAAAACTCAGAGGAATGTCAAACCAAAAGGTATTTAGGGAATGGAAAATATATGAAGAATACTTGAAAATGTACTGTAAGAACAGTAAAATACTTGAAGAAATAGAGTGATACTGATAACCAAGAATTATTCAAAATGTAATGGTGGATTATATATCTATATACAAAATAAAATAATATGAATCTGTGCAAGGAATACAGATAACATAAGTAGTAGGAGAATTATTGGAAGTTACATATTTTAATTTGTTATGTAAGTGTAACATATTGTATTTGTTTATGTTTGCTTTTCTAACTTTCCTTACTTTGTTTTTATTCATTTGTATCGTCTTTTGTACTGTATGTTATGTATATTTGTCTATGTGAAAATTATTAAAGATTTTCTAAAGAAAAAAGAAAAAAGGAAAGGAAATTGCCGCAGCTCTCACCGCGGGAGCTGAGGAGGGTTCATCCCAGCGCCTAGAGGGTGGGACAAGGCAGCTTCTTTGTACAGCTCACCTGGGGCACGGGAGGGCTCCCCATCCCCAGCTCAGTCATCCCCGGTGCTCTCCCCGCTCACGGATGAGTAGGGAGAGAATCGGGGTTCCTTTGGGCAGCACTGCCAGCAATGGGGACGGCTCCCCATCCCCAGCAGAGCCATCCCTGGTGCTTCCCCCACACCCGCTTGCGCAGGAGTGGGGGATCCTTTAACTACTCAGCTGAGGGGAGCGGCAACCACACACTCCTCAGCCAAGCGGTTAAAATATGCAGAGGAACAAGCTGTTATCGGTGCCTCGCCGATGAAGCTTTTTTCTCCCTCTGCACAGTATGAGGGCAGAGTGGAATGGCAACGATCGCTGGAGGAAGCACAGTGGTACCTCAGGTTACAGACGCTTCACGTTACAGACTCCGCTAACCCAGAAATAGTACCTTGGGTTAAGAACTTTGCTTCAGGATGAGAACAGAAATCGCACAGCGGCAGCAGGAGGCCCCATTAGCTAAAGTGGTGCTTCAGGTTAAGAACAGTTTCAGGTTAAGAACGAACCTCCAGAATGAATTAAGTTCTTAACCCGAGGTACCACTGTAGCTAGCGGAGGGACTCGGAAGTGATGGCGGTTTCACCAGCAATATACCACTGAGTGAAGCTGACATCATGGTCTACTCCTTGTACCAATCCTGGGTGATATATTGATATATTGCCCAGGCCTACTGTCAGAGCACTGCCACCACGGCTAGTAGCCTTCAATAGTCTTATCCTCCATGAACTAGTCCAATCTTTTTTTAAAAACCACCCAAGTTGGCAGCCATCATTGTCTCCTGTGGGGCAGAGTTCCATAGTTTAACAATGGGCTCTGTGCATTCCTGAACGTGCACAAAGAGCAAAAGCAGCTCGACTGTTTCTGCCAGAGGAGGATTTGCATCCACAAAAACTAGCAGCCAGCCAAGAGGGCAGGATTCTCGCCTGGCCAGGAGCATCCTAGCCAACTCACCTTTCCCTTCGAACATGCCGATCAACTGCGCTCCCATAGCCATGGCGACGTTGGAAATGAGGCACGACGAAAGCTTCTGGTTGTGTGTCATCGTGTCGTAGCGCGGGGAGATGAAGAAGTATGGAATGTAGGAGAAGAAGTAGAGGAAGCCCCCAGCAGCTGCCGCCACGTTTGCTGGGAATGCAAACGAGAGAGACAATATTCAGAGAAAATAACGGCAAGGATTTGAGTGCACTAACAAATTTAACACGGACTCTTTGTTCCGTGGAAACCCAACTCACAGCATCAAAGCCAGTGTATGAAGGGAGGGGCAAAAGAGGATCATGCGGTCCTGACACCTTTATTCCTAGGCTCCTTAAACTGTGGCAGAAACTGTGGAGAAAAATGCAATATGAAGGGGGACCTGCAAAAAACATTTGCAGCATGGAGTGTTCCTGCTCAGGAGCCCAGCAAGATAATGCCCTTTTCCTGGACACTCCATTGCAGTCTCCTTTTCCTTCCCTGTTTCCCCAAAACAGTCAGTCAGCATTCTGTGTACACTGAGCATGCTCATTACTCCTATATGCGGTTCCAACCCCCTGCGCCAGACTTATACTGTATGTCTAAATCCTTTTTTTAAAAAAAGAAATATATATATGTATACAGTGGTACCTCGGGTTACATACGCTTCAGGTTACAGACTCCGCTAACCCAGAAATAGTACCTTGGGTTAACTTTGCTTCAAGGACGAGAACAGAAATTGTGCTCCGGTGGCGCAGCAGCAGCGGGAGGCCCCATTAGCTAAAGTGGTGCTTCAGGTTAAGAACAGTTTCAGGTTAAGAACGGACCTCCGGAACGAATTAAGTACTTAACCCAAGGTACCAATGTATATGGCATCTATAAAACCTTTCCAGGAGTGTATCACTTCAGACCGCAGGTGGGGCAGTCTGAACATGATCTGAACACTCCGCCAAATTAAAACACACATACACACAACTCTCTGCATTTGGAAAGCTAGCATATCAAGGAGAAGGTCAGGCTCAAACTCTTCTCCTTGACATACTCACATTCCATATGCGGGGAAACTTTTGACTGGACGCATGCTTGACACACATTATATCACTGTTTATATAATAAGTAACAATGTTTTTATTTGTTAACTTTTTCATCTGTTAAAAACGAACAAAGCGCAATTAAAAATGGCATTGCTTTTGTGATTGATGTGCACTGTTTTCTACTAAGAAGAAAATGTTGTTAATGCACAATGACAGGTACATTAAACTTGTAAACCTCAAATGAATTACTGTCTGCTTGGCTGGAAGGTTTCAGTATAAAAAGCATCAAAATGAAAAACTCTTGCATGGGTGGGCTGAACAAGGGTCTGCGTCGGCATTCCCACGGCGACAAACTTGTTCACTGTGCTTAGTCACATCCTGCCTCTTCCAGAGAGTGAATTACAGGCGCAACTCTGAAAACCAGGGGCAAACAAGATTTTCAAGTTTTACTGTTGCAGTGACACACTAGACCTGGCTGTTTTTCACTCTGCAATCTTGTTCCTAGCATAGTCACTGCTTAGGCCTCAAATTCCTGGAGTTGCTTTTGACATGTAAACATTGCAATCCATTAAACTGCCAAAGGTGGGGTGGGGTGTTGCTGCCGGCACCTTCAACAGGGACTAGCTGCATTTGCAGCTGATTCCAGTGGGATTTCCAGGTGCAAATCCTGATTTAGCAGGGACTGGCTACACTCGGAAAAAGGACACCTACCAAATCAGGAGCCTCGTCAGGCCTAATTAGGCTCATGGGCTAGAAGTCCCCAGCACCGCATTAAAGTGAGGCATACTATCCCAGGGTTGGCTTAGAGTATTACAATAAAATTTGTTGTGCTGAAAGTTTTCTTACTCCCTACGTATAATTGCATCTCCTCCCCTTACAACTTGTGCTTTAAAGCTGCGATCCAATTAATACCATAAGCATGCCATGGGGGGGGGGCAGGGAGAACAAAGCTCAAAGCCCTCTGATGTTTCCACAAGCAGCTGCTTCAAATGCTGAAGAGGCAAGCCACATTTCATTTCAGATTTGAAAGTGGAAAGGTGGCTTGCCTCTTTGGAATGCAGTGGCTGAGTCAAAGAAACCTCTTGCTCTTTGGCACCTTCCTGTGTGATGATAACCAAAGTCTTGGGACTAGTCGAAAACACACCAGGGACTGGCGGTGGTTCCCAGGGCAGCATTTATGAATTCGTCTGAAAGGAAGCCATGTACAGCTCCTCATCCTTGGTTATCTCCACCCATACACCCCACTTCATAATAATAATAATAATAATAATAATAATAATAATAATAATATATTATTATTATTATTATTATTATTATTATTATTATTATTATTATTATTTATTAATAATATAATTAATAATAAATAATTTATTATTTATACCCCACCCATCTGGCTGGGTTTCCCCAGCCACTCTGGGCGGCTTCCAACAAAATATTAAAATACAATAGCCAATTAAAAAAACAATATAAGTTAAATCTGGCATACTTTGCAATGCTCAAATCTAGCAATGCCATCATCTCAGGGAACATTCCACACCCTGTTTTTTGGCACACTGCAGGGGAAAAAAACATTGACGGGAGTGGGGATGCATTATGTTGCAAAGGAGGGAAATTCGGTGTTATCAGCTACTGTGGGAAACAGAATACTGTACTGGACTAGCTAAGCCTTTGGTCTGACCTACAGGGCTCATTTCTTATGCTTTATTTAGGGGGAGAAAGCTGAGCCTACTATTCAGCAGTACAGCAGCAAATACTATACGCGCATTGATATTATTGAGACCTCCCAGTTCTTTCATTCACTTCTATCCCAATATGTGGTGGGGGGGAAGCAAAAAGGCATCAAGGGACACGACAGTTAGTTTTGCCAAAAAAAAAAACAAAGAAAAGAAAGAAAGAAAAAGAAGTCCTGAGCTGCTCTGATGCTTGAAATAGCAACTTGATCTTCACAAAAGAGCCGGGGATGATTTTGCAGTCCCAGTGGCAACAAGCACTATCGACTACAAATCGAGCTGCCATAGGAACCATGGCTAAGTTACATGCAATGGGTAACCCAACCTACTTCCCCTGCCTGGGACAATCCTGTATCTTGAGCGGGCCAAAGTAGTAGAAGAAAAAGGCATGTGTTTTTAGGTTTGCAAAGAGGCAGTCCATACCCCTGGGGAATTTCCACTCAGCTGCTCGTCTGTTATCAGCTATCATGCACATCACTGATGCTCCTGCATAACCTCATAATTAACATTTCAAATCCAGAATATGACAAGACAAAGCGCCACCAGCTTCCTGGCCTTGTGATCACCCTGGGAAACTAGGAGGGGGAAATTGCCAGGCCAAAAGCAAAGCAAAGCAAAACAAAACAAAACATGGCTTCTTGTACTTTCAACTTGGAAGCAATAAAGCTGTGGAATGCCGCACCAGGGGGCTGAATAAACAGGAGTTAACTGCCTCTGCAACTTAAGAGCACAGTCCTACCCATATCTGCTCAGAAATAAGTCCTACGGGATTCATTTCGGATTGCCTACAGATAAGTGAGGTTAAGCTTGTGGCCGACTCTCTGTGGATTGCAAGAGGACATCCTATCGTTGGGCTAAAAACAAACAAGGGATGTGCATGTGCTTCCGTTCCTCCCCACAACCTTGGGCCAAGAAAGGAACCATCATGTGAGCCCCAGAATTTGTTTTGAGTACCAGAACTGAACTGAACTCAAAGCCCTTCCAAGCAAAAATCCATGGCTGGCCATCCTGTCTTTCCCATGGACTTAGCTTACTTCATCTCACTAGTATCATAGCAGTCAACATTTCCCTTTTCTTGCGAGGAATCCTATTCGGAATAAGGGAATTTCCCTTTAAAAAAAGGGAAATGCTGACAGCTATGACTAGTATAATTTACAGGGAGAGCAGTCATTTCCTTCTTTTTTCCTTTCAAAACTACTTATTATCCTTAGACACCGCAGTATAAGAAAAAGAAATCACAGCCAAGCTATAAAATGCAAATCAAATAGTTGAAAACCATAAAAACCAACAGGAAATGGGACAAAAAAAAACCACAGGTGAGATTATTACACATTACAGCTGATAACAATTTGCATGCCTTTGCCGGCACAACAAATAAACTGACATTAGCCTTTCCCTGTCTTGCTAACTGGACAAGAGAGTCAGCCAAGGTCAATCAAATTGTTTTCTGCCAGGATGGTGGATGTCTCTCAGTATCAGATGTTGATGTACACAAAAAGGGTGCCCAGACTGCACCGTGGTTCATAGGGTTTGATTTGCCTTTCGTGGTTCTTATATTATTGGTAACCTTCTCTAACAGGGCAATAATCCAGCATCTGTCATACCATTTATCAACAGAAATTTCATTATCCGCTTTCTAGTAATGTGAAATTGTGAGCTTAGCAGCCATTAACATAATATGAATGTGATCTTTATTGGGTAGGGCTTCATTAGGGAGCTCCATTTTCTTGCTGCCATTCTTGGAATATTTCCCAATCTCCTCCAGGCACCCATGTTTATCTGCTTCGAAGCACAAAGGGATCTGCCAGCAAATCTGGATCTACTTTCTGCCTCCCACTGACCGAAAGCAAGGCCTGAAAGGCAACATGCTTTTCAGCAAACTTGGCAACAAACTTTTCAAACACGGGCTAAGCAGCAGCCAGCAGATTCTGCCAGCCTGAGAGGAGTGGTTGTGCAAATCAGTCACTCCTTCGTCCTGACGGACAAACAGTCAAGGACACTTTGCTTACCTTTGGAGAAGAAGGTGCTGACCATGAAGCTGAAGGAGATGGATGCGATGGAGAAGACTGTCAAGAAGGTAAACACCAGAGTGGGGTCACTATTTGTGAGCACCGCTCCCTGTTTGCTCACCTGCAAAAATCAATACCCTGCGGTTAGTCCCATTATCTACTCAGAACTCAGCAGCAACATACAGACTAAAGAAACCTTGAAGATGGAAGGCAGAGTGTGCTGCCAACCCTGATGTGTGTGTTAAGTTTCAGTGCCAGCTGGGAGATGCTCACCTTTACGCAGAAGAGGATGGTGACAAAGAAGTTGGAGACCAAGAGGAAGAGGAAGAACATGAGGAACCAGGCACTCCAGTGCAGCCAGTTACTGAGGCCCATCATTCGCATGTACTCCTGCGGATGCAAAAATTCAGCATAACCTCATGCAAGCCATTGGGTTCTTCTAACATTGATTCCTTCCCAACATTATTCATCCCTTGAATCCCATAGCCAGTTTCTCCCTTCCAAGGAACACTTATGAACGTTTACAGTTCTTTTCAACAGATAAGGGCAATCAGCAAACACTGGACATGTTCTTCTGCCCAAGTTTGTGTTTTCTAATCTTTCAAAACCAGCCATACCCCTTCAGTTCCATGCAAAAGATTGGTCAATATAAATTGCTCTTCAGTTTTCCTGCTCTCTGTAAGATCACTTACTGTTTCCAAAACATATGCAAGCAAGAAGCGAGCAGCTACCTGCCTTTTTATATGAAATATGACTGCTTTAAATGTATAGTGCAGATGGGACCTCAATCTCTTTCCAAAAAATGGATGGAAGCCAAGGGTGGTATCCAGCTAAGTCCTACTCAGAGTACACACACTGTAATTAATGAACATGACTAACTCAGGTCCAGTGGGTTTGCTCTGAGTAGGACCTAGCTAGAACCAACCCTATGATTCTTTGGGGATAAAAAATTCTGGGATTAGATTCCCAAAGTCAATAGGTGTTTGGTGCAACTGCAAATTCAGTTATATACACGGCAGATGCAGAAATCCAGACAGACAGCCTTGTTGCCTAGCCTGGACTATCAGAAGCACTTATCACTGCATTACCTTCAGCTTCTTCTCTTTCTCATGCACCACAGCACGGACTATGTTGAGCGAGGTATAGGTGAAGCTCAGCATGAGCAGCAGGGGAAGCTGGTTCTGAATGGCCAGCACAAAGAGGTCGTTGACGTAGGGTGGGTAGGGAAAACGGCGAATGACCACCATGAACCTTTCCAGCAGACTTTCCGCAGAAGTGTTGGTGTGGGACTGCAGGATTGCCCTGTCCACAGCATGCTGCACTGCCAGGAAGCCTTCTCGGTAATACCCTAAGGAAGCAAGAAGAGGGGGTCAGAGAGGACATCACAGAAGTTGTCTGATACCGAGGCCACCTTCACACCACAAATCACTATCATACCACTTTAAACAGTCATGGCTCTCCCCTCCAATCCCCCACCAAGAATTCTGGGAGCCACAACTTGTTAAGGGTGCTGGGAGTCCTCAGGAGACCCCCAGAGTGGTTCTACAGCCAATCCCTCTTCACTGTGAAATCTGGGAACTGTAGGAACTCAGTGAGGGGAATAGGGGTCTCTTAACATCTCTCATCACTGCTCGGTGGTGCAGTCACCTCAGGTGGCAGGCTGGGGACAGCCATAGGGGGCAAGTCCGGGCCCTCAGGAAGGCACTGTTTGCTGCCTCCTGCACTACTTCTCCTCCTCTTCCTCTTCCTCCCCCTGCCTGTTCCTCTCCAGCCTCCTTTCTGCCCCCCCCTCCAGGCTTGGATTAAAACAGCTGGAGGCCCAGGGCTAGGAGGTCTTCTGATCATGAGAAATAAAACCTAGTCCTCTTCTTTATCTGCTCAATGGAAGTAGAATGTTGCTGAATTTTCAGCATTAATTAAAATATTGTTTATACATTTATAACCTTTAATAAGTTTACAGAAGTATGGAATTAAGGAAGACATTCACACAGAACATTCATAGGGGAATCATACCTATATTATAACATTTCACTATATACAAAGTCAGAACAGTTTCCTTCGAGCTCTTTTTGATGCAAACTTATCCATTATATCATTAAAATCAGGAAGTCACAGTTTATCATTTTCTATGCAGTAGAATGCTTAGATCAGACAACCATTCTGTTTGTAACCATTAAATACAAGAACAATCTGAAAATTGCTTCCACATTTGGAAAAGCGGTCCAAATTTTCTCCTGGAATATTATTTGATATATATCTTGGTGGCTTTTCAGCATAAGCCTGTATAGGTGGGAGTGCAAAAGGTCGTATTTGGATACTCTTGCACCAACATCTCAATGCCATTGTGAATCTGTTCCTTGGTTGCTTGCAGCTTCAGCAAAAATGAAAAATTGCCAGTCACACTCCTATTCACTGCTGCTCTGCTGCCTAGATTGGCTTCAAGAGCATCCATGACAGGGATAAATGAAATTACCCTAAACTTATCTCTTGGAGAAAGTTCATCTAGGACTATACTATGGGTGCTGTCCCATCATTAGGTTCCCCTCCATACTTTCTGCCTTCTTTTGAAAGTTTTGTACTCTACATCCGGTACAGTAAATTTTGTTGCTGTTCAATCTCATCAAAATTTGCCAAATAACTCCCTGAGGTATGTGCCTCCAAGTAATCTTGCTATGCTTTGATTCATTCTTCGAGTGTTGATGAGAGCATTTGACCACACTTGCTTGCTTAAGTATGTTAGCCTAGAGTTCATATGATTTTTAGAGTTTGCACAAGATAAGCCTGATGCCAATCAACGAATCCAGTAGAAGCTAAAGCTGTAGTTGAGGAAGTTTAACTAGAGAAAAGTGTGCACACCAAATTTCCCCTGGTCTCCTGCAGTGACCTCAGGCCGAGAAGGAGGGGAAGGAGGAGGCGCCATTTTCTTTTTTGCCTCAAGCAGCAAAACATCCTGGGCTGGCCCTACTCATCATCCTAAACAAATTACAGTTCCCAGAATTCTCTGGGGGAAGCCAAGGCTGTTTAGAAAGGTATCATAGTGTTTGGGTCCTGCCTGATGGTTTCCCACAGGCATCTGGGAGAAGGGGATGCTAGACTAGATAGGCCATTGGCTTGACCTAGCCAGCTCTTATTATGTTCTTATAATACAGAACTGCTCCATAAACAAATCAAAATGAATGCTCAATAAAAATGAGATATAATCTAATCCCTGCATAAATTTTGTGTAAACAAATCAGGATGAGTGCTGAATAAACAGGTTACAGGGAGGTCAGCACCTCTCAAAAAATGCCCAGGCTCCCATGCCCTGACTTATTTAACTGACTTATTTTAACTGTGGGGCTATCTTCCTCCACTCCCTTCCTCTTTCCTTTGCTTCACATGTCTATTTACACTACAATCCTGCAGGCAAGATAGTGCAATTATTGTTAGTAATCAACAAGGAAGGCTAAGTTATAGTAGGATGTTCGGACTCTAACAAAATACGGGAATTTATTTAAAACAAGCAACAAGGATTCAGCCCAAACAAAGCCTGTAAATCAAGCAAATACATCTCACGTGGCAAACATTTGCATAACTTCTTATGCCAGTTACTGAAGTTCAGTGTGGAATTACAGGCCTCTCCTAGCCGCTCCCACAGTTTAAGGCCTATTAGTTCCAGCACTCTCTATGATCTCTACTCACCATTATAATTACATACTCAATCGCCAACCTAGTGTTTTATTACAACAACAAAGTAATGTCTCACCATTTGCATCACCTCAACAGTTTATACTATTGGTGATATATAAATAATTCTGCAAATGCATACATACACGCGGACATGAGACTTAAAAGGTCACATCCACACCAATGCATTTAAAGCACATTTAAAGTGCATAGCTTCCCCCAAAGAATCCTGGGAACTGTAGTTTACCCACCCCAGGGCTGCAATTCCCAGCACCCTCAACAAACTACAGTTCCCAGGGTTCTTCTGGGGAAGCCTTGGGTGCTTTAAACGTATCATGTGACTGTGATCAAAAGCTGCAGTGTGCTCTCTGGGATCCTCAAACCTCATGGAAACCTAAATTCCTACAAGTTAGAATCACAGTTGAGATATTATCTGTAAAATCTTGAGCCACCTTGAGTCCATGCCAGGGGAAAGGGCAGGGTATAAATCAATATCACCATCACCTCTGTATTTTCTTTCCAAGCCCCCTATCCTCCTACCCCCATAAATTCCCTTCTATTGTTGAAACGACATATCCATGCAGTTTGCAGCTAGACCTAAGATGTGCATATTAGCCGCCAAATGTCATTGTGTCTTTGCAGCAGAAGAATTTCACCAACCCTGTTCCAATTAAGAGATGACTAACACGGAAACATGCCAAGCCTAGGTGCCGGCAGTTCTGCCAACTCTCTGCAACTGCAGCCATTTGTTAAGCTGCTAATTAAATGCATTCCGCCGCTCACTCCTCCAGCATAAGTGAGCCAAGGAGACAATGAAAGTGGGTTCAAGAGAGAGGCAGGCGATGCACACAGCTTGTCCTTTAAATGATAAACAAGTAGGCAGCTGGAAACGAGACCTCCTGCTTCTCACAGCCTGTGCTGGCCAGCGATGCCCTAGTTTTGTGCCGGTGCCTGCCACCAGAGGCTTCGTGGAGCAGCGTGGCTGTGTGTGTGCAATGCAGAGTGGGCCTGCTTTTAAGCAGTTTCTAGTTGCTTTGGAAAAAACAGCCATTTATGGATTGTGTATTTACCCAAAAAGCCTTGCTTGCCATCTGATGAGGGCAGCCCTCACCCACATCTATAACCACACAGTTCATTAACTTAACAGCACAATTTGTTCTAGGAAGATCATACATCAGCTATGACAGCTGAATGCAAATTCAATTTTTTTAAAAAGAGGAGGGCATCATATTTTTATCTTTCCTCCAAGGATCTCAGGGTGGCTGCGAGATTCTACTCACCTCCATTTTGTCTTCACAACCACAACAGCAAGGGTGGAGAACCGGTGACCTTCCAGGCTTTTGTTGGACTACAGCCCCCCATCAGCCCTGACTGAGGGCTAAGGGAGCAGGAGTCCATCTACATTTGCAGGGCCACAGACTCCCCAGTGGTAGCTGGTGCCCATTGGGACTTGGTAGGGCAGGAGGCAAGGAGACTCACTCTGGGTGGAGTCAGAGTCAATGATAGGTGGAACCAACTCTAGTTTTGTCTCCATCCTCCTAGCTACTGAGCTCTACAAAGCCAGGTGGCAATAATGTGGTAAAATTGGGGACGTATTGCAGAACAATTCAATGCATTAGTATTAGTATAGGTAAAGGTAAAGGGAGCCCTGACCATTAGGTCCAGTCGTGACCGACTCTGGGCGCTCATCTCGCTTTATTGGCCGAGGGAGCCAGCGTACAGCTTCCGGGTCATGTGGCCAGCATGACTAAGCCGCTTCTGGCGAACCAGAGAAGCACACGGAAACGCCGTCTACCTTCCCGCCGGAGCGGTACCTATTTATCTACTTGGACTTTGACGTCCTTTTGAACTGCTAGGTTGGCCGGAGCAGGGACCGAGCAACAGGAGCTCACCCCATCGCGGGGATTCAAACCGCCGACCTTCTGATCAGCAAGTCCTAGACTCTGTGGTTTAACCCACAGCGTCACCCACGTCCCAGTATTAGCATGTAAGGTCCTAAATGGCCTCAGATGCAAGAACCTAAAGTAACACCATCTCCAATAAAAACCGCAGAACAGAATACATACTCACACAAAAAAACACCAGCCTGGTAGACCCCTTTGGGGAGGACCATCGTTCATGTTACAGATAACTTTCTTTGCACACAAGACGTCCCAAGTTTCATACTTGCCATCTCCAGTTTAAAATGTACTAGGCAGCACAGAATATGAGAAGCCTCTGCCTGAGACTCTCCTGAGCTACTGCCAGTCAGGGGGAGGCTGTGCTACTCTATGGTGCTCAAAGAGTCTGACCTGGCCTAAGGCAGCTTCCTCTCTTCCTGTGCCCTGATGCCCATGTAGTTAACTTTCCCCATGAACTCCCAGCCCAGAGATTACTCACCTGGTGTCCCTCCATCGTGCAAGTTGGGTTCTCTGGGTCCTGGTAACTGGAACAGCGGGAAGAGGTAGCTGGTGTGCCAATCACGGTCCAGGTTAGGGTTCAGGCCTGTCTGCTCACTCCGAGGGGCATTCCTAGGGCTGTATTTGAAACGCAGTTGGTAACTCACCTGCAAGAGGAATTATAAATTTAAAAAACCCACATAACAATATAGAAAAATGGGCAAAAGCCAATCTCCCAGCAAACAAATCAGAATGATTACTCATTACAGTGGAACCTTGGTTCCTGAATGGCTTAGTTGCCGAACAATCGGCTTCTGAACGCCGCAAACCTGGAAGTAAGTGTTTCGGTTTTTGAACTTTTTCAGAAGCTGAACGTCTGACGCAGCTTCCATTTGAGTGCAGGAAGCTCCTGCAGCCAATCAGGAGCTGTGCCTTGGTTTTCAAATGGTTTCGGGAGTCGAACAGACTCCTGGAATGGATTAAGTTCGACAACCAAGGTACCACTGTAAATAGCCAACATCATCTAACCTCCCTGCAACAAAGCAAAAAGAATGCTCACTATAACAGGCTGTCTGGAAGCACCTGCTAATTAACTGTGCATTATTAGCTGCCACTCACTGGCCAAGTTAAATTTTCCAAGATGGCTCCCAGCCACACATGCCCACTAAAGTCCCCCACCCCTGCTTCATCAACTTGAGGAACCCTGCCCCCGTAACTCCTTACCTGCAGTGGCAGGGGCTCTTGACTGTGAGCTAAGAGGTTTTCGAAGACAATGCCAGCCAGAACATTGCCAGAGTGGTTGTCAAACCTGATGTAGTCTTCAAAGGCTTTCTCAGAAGGGAAGCCTCGAACTGCAAGGGAAACGAAATATACACAATGAGTGTGCGAGGTGGGGGTGGGGAACAGGAGCGGCAAGGTGTTTCATTCAAGAAATGGTGACTGGTGTCTATGGGTTTTTGTAGGGAGGAAGGCAGAGAGTCCAACAGCTGGTGGAGCTAGATCCAGTGACAAGCAGAGCCAGCTAACTCCAGACTTTTCCCCATTGGGACTGGTTGAGCAGAAGGTAAGGAGCCCAACAGTAGACAGAGTCAAAGCCAAAGACTAAGAAAGAACGCCAAGGGGTGCCCCACTCCTGTGCTAAGCAGAGGCATTATGCTACAGAGGAGCAAACATTTGCACATGCAGACAACCTTGCCTAGTTCCTGACCTTTGGTATTGATTTCCAGTGCCTTCGCCACAGTCTCCACGATGCTCTTCACAGCGGTGTTGTTAGCAGGAACATAGGCCAGCTCCAAGTTGTATGGGCGCCAATGAGGGGAGACAGGAAGATTAGACACCGGAAGGCTGTGATAGGTGGTAGCATTCGGGTGGTCAACCGCCTGTACTCTGTGACGGAGGGCAATGAGGATGGCAGCAAACAACAATGGCAGGCAGATCTCTATGATCGTGACCAAAATCTGTCGCTTCTGCAAAACAAACCAGGTATATGTGTTTAGCTTGGCATGGAATCCTTTCCCCTGGGTGGGAAACGGCTGCAAGTGTAGATCAGGTGTTGCTATCTATGCTGCACCCCCAGCAAGTTACTCTTTGCTGCTGCTAGAACTTAAGAATCGACATGCTGAACCATCAACAAGGGTCTGTCTGCTAGCAACCGACATGAGAACAGGCCTTCTCAGTGCTGGCTCCTTGCTTATGGAATGCTCTCCCCAGGGAGGCACATCTGACACCATTGTTGCCTATCTTTAGGTGCCAGGTCAAAATGTTTCTTTTCTGCCAGGCTTTTGTTGTTGGCATTTGTCTTTAATTATCTATTGTGCCCTTCAGTGGGTGGGACGTTTTAGGCCTCCTTTTTTATAAATTTGAATGTGTTTTTAGCTTTAAGTGTGTTTTAGTTCTATGTTGCTTTTACTGTATGTGCTATTTTGTTGTAAATCACTTTGAGTTACATTTTATAAAAAAAAAGTGACTAAGTTCATTAAATTAAAAATATTAATAACGATGACGATGACACAACTTTCTGTTTCTGCAGTAAATTATTTGCCAACTTATTGAACTATTTCTAAAAAGCAATTCCAGGGCACTGAATTTTCATCTTGGCCATTTCTCTTTCATACCTGTAATCAAATGAGATCAAGACCGTATCCAAGGGATCACCTCTAGATCAAGTCCAAAGAGCACTGCAGCATCTTTGGGACCAATAACCTTTTCAGACAATGGCCTCATTCAGCTTAATAGACTGAGATATGGGGATGACTTGCTCCTCTGCAAGCCATTTCGTGCCTCCTTTGAGCTAGCAAACAAAGCATAGAGAGCCAGTCTCTGCTCATGCGCCTTTACAGCAACTGCTGATAGAACTTGCCAAGGCATCTAGATCTTCACCCATGGAGAAGAGCTGCCAATCCAGTCGTAAATGCTGTAGACATGCGATCAGGAGCGACCACAGCTTTTGTAATTGCTTTACATATGTATTACTATATTCTACATATATTACTACACTCTACACAAGACTTTGCAAGCAGATCAAGTTACATGGCAGATAAAAAGGAGGCCAAGAAATGGGGCTCTGGGGGTGGGGTTGGTTTGGATGAAAAAGGTGGGTGGAATGGGTGGATGTTTCGGAAAGACATTTATTCATTAAGTAAAGTACAGGCAGTTCTGCAATCTCCAAAACAAAAACAAACAAAAACGATAATGGTTAAGCAATGAATTGCCAAGGAAATTCATAAAGCATTTAAACCATTTGCCTATTCCTCCTCTTTGCTGGGTCTATCAATGTGCAGTGTACATAGGATTTCTTGTACCTATCAGAGTGGGCTAGGAATCCCATACATTCACATAACTTGCTGGGATCATGCGGAACCTTTTCCTCTGCAGTCATAATGCAATTCTCTCACCTGTGGCTTGAATCAGGATAAATCACAGGGACACACTACTTGAGCCAGTTACCTAACCAATGTCAGGATGTCGGTGTATTGTGGGATTGGTGCATGAAGCATTCTCCCCCCTCCCCTTGCAGCATCCACATGACACTGACAGCATCAAAATGCCACCCTGTAGCCCGCCAGCCCGCCCCGAATCAGAATTTACCCTCTCCATGGAAAATCCAGTAAGTTCAAGAAACTTGTTTGCCAGTAACTTGTTTGCAATAGGTGAATGACTTGTTTGAAGTACTAAACCCTTGCCTGGAGGTGCCTTCTTTGAATGGTCATTGCTTATTATGTAATTGTTACTGTCGAACTTCAGTCTTAATAATCTGGATTGTTGGTACTCTAGGGTTTGGCAAATTGCCCTCCTTGACAAGAGCGCTCATAAACTAAAAGTATCTAAATGGCAGAACTCAAATGAACCTCCCCCCACCCCATATGGCATGACGTAATTTCTTATACAAAAACTGAGGAACATACTCACTCTAGTATATATATAAATGTCTGGCTCATCTATGACTTTACAGAACCTTTATTCTCAATGATGGAATTCACAGGTGGAGAATACATTGATTTTTACATATCTTTATTATTTGTGAAGGGAATATTCGTACAAGTTAATATTTTATTATCCCTTTGGAGATATCCCTTTGTACTTTTGCCCTTCCTGGTTTTGACACTTTATGGTCGACATTTCTCTCCCTCTCCCAAGCATATGTATTTATACTAGCAACACAGGAACATGCTTCATGCATTGGGTAATTTGAGCTATTCTCCACTAATTTTGTTAAACGTGCCACAAGATTGTTGTTTACACCAGTGGCTCCACTTAAAAATTCCTGAGGGTCTTGATGGAACACGGAATAATTTTTCTGCCTGTTGTAGCAACTGTAATGCATTGTGCTAGATGTTGTATGATTTTAATTGCATTTTTATGGATGCCACTTGAATAAAGCCTGTGGTTTGGGAGGCCTTGGTTTATGCTACCTTTGTTTCATATGCAGTGTACAATCATCATTGGGGGGAAGTCACAGCTCTGGAGTAGAGAACATGCTTTGATACAGAAGGCTCCATGTCCCATCCTGAGCATCTCCACTGAAAAGGATTTCAAGCAGCAGAGCTTGGAAAGGTTGCACACAACCCTTCAGAAGCTTTGCCAGTCCCCTGGTCAAGGGGGATTGATGGTCAAGATGGACTTGGTATAAAACCAGCCTTCTAGACAAACTGACCTCTGATACAGTGCAGATGAGGCACCTGGGCACCTGAGTTGTGCAACCAACACACTGATACGCAATTGTAGGCCACCACCTTATGACCTAGTGGGCTCTTTGATTCACAATGGAAGATCCATTTACACCTGACAGGTGCAATAAGAGAGAGACTAAAGGTGATTAACCTTGGCAAGGGATCATAGGATTAGTCCATGCCCAAAATCTCAAGTAAGCATCTTTCAATCCAGCCCGCAGGGACGTATCAACATTTAATGCAAAGCAAAACAAACACACCTTAGTTAGATATGTTTGCATTGCCCAAGTCTTGTACGAGCTACACAGGAATAAACACTTTCCTTCCTAGCTGTTCGCATTGGTTATTTGCTTTGCTTTGCTCTTGAAATAATGCCTTGTTGAAATTTTATTATTTCATTTTATCGCTAGATCAAGATGGCGAACAATTCCCTAAGTGTTAGTCAATCCCTCTTCCCAATGAACTCTGGAAACTGTAGCTCTATGAGGGGAATAGGGGTCTCCTAACAGCTCTCAGCAACCTTAACAAACTACACTTCCCAGGTAGCAACAACTACTTAAAGTGGTATGTCACAGCTTTAAATATATGTACTGTATAGTGCAGATGGGGCCTTAAAGCAAGGTACACTGGGAGCAAGGATGCAGAGGTCTGACCTCCACATCTCTGTTCTCCACTTCCACCCTCTTGCCCATGTTGTACGACTCTCTGTAATCTTACCTGCAAGATGTAATTCTTCCAGAGAAGAAGCCCAAACTGCCGTAGCAGAACCATCTTTCACTTCGGAAGGGAGGAGCCACAAGCTTCCAGGGCTCTGAGGAAGAAAATGATTTGAGCTTTCAGTTAATCATGCAAAGCAAATTCACAACCAGACAGTCATCTTATAGAGAGACCTACTCCAAGAAGTGTTCTGCTGTCTCCTGTGTTGGAAGAAATGGGCAAAATTACAAAATAAAGAGTTGCATGTCTCAAGAAGAGCCTAGGATTAGAGCTGGAAAATACTCTAGATACTACACTTGAAAATATTCCAGAAGTCATTTAGCTCAAACTGCCATCACCTTGCCTACTGGAAGATTCAGGAGAGATAAAAGGAAGTACCTCTCTTCACATATAGTGCGCAATAAACCTATGGAACTCACACCTACAGGAGGAGGCGATGGTCAGCAATTCAGATGGCTTTAAAGGAGGATTGGACAAATTTACGGAGAGTAAGGCTACGAATGGCTACTAGCCACGATGACTATGTTCTACCTCCACTGTCAGAGGTCGTATGAGAGAATAGCCCCTGCTAACTCCAGCATGAAAGTCCTGAACAATAGACTTGGGCGTAGATTCATAGGAATCCTGGCAGCAAAACTGATGCAACAAAATAGCCTGCTTTAATAGGACGCAAGGCAAGTCTGAACTCGCCCTGTATTCAGGAGCTGGCCGGAATCAGATATCAGTAAATTCCCTTTTGGAGATAGATGTTTCCTAATTCAGACAAGGACTGAGAGAGAAGATGAGAAACAGAACCTGCAACAAAATGCTGCAATTTAGATCACACACATCATATGGGGACTTCCGGCAAGGAAAAATGGCAAGCAGCTCCTGAAGCCAGCCAGAGCCAACTGTGCTACCAGGCTGGCTCCGGGCTGCTGAGGCTGCCACTGTCACGTTTCCCAGGGACAGATTTGCAAATCCGGGGACGTCTGGTAACCCTACACCAAACATGCTGTGACTTCATTGGGTTGGGCTGTTCTTTGCTGGGAGTGTGTGTGTGTGTGTGTGTGTGTGTGTGTGTGTGAGAGAGAGAGAGAGAGAGAGATACCCACCCCTTCAGGGTTTTTTCCCCCTGAAGGATTTTTGTGCTTCTGTAAACTTCTGACATTTTGCTGAACATCTTCCTTCTGTCTGGGTGGTGTCATTTTGGCTACATTAGGATCAGCGCCAGCAGAATGAGCTTGTTACGAGTTATGTATGATATTTAATCTCTGGAACCTAAAACATTACACCAGTCCTCCATGACAAGGACTGCTTCTCTTCCAGAAAGCGAAGCAGAGAAGAACTCTTTGGTCACATCCGCACTATACATTTAAATCACTATGATATCCCTTTGATGGTCATGGCTTCCTACAAAGAACTCTGGGACCTGCCGTTTGTTAAGAGGGGTGGGGCTAAGTTGTTAGGAGACCCCCCCCCCATTCTCCATCAGAGAATTGCCAAAGTTCCCTGGGAAGAAGAACTGATCATTAAACCACTATATTAGGGAACACTGTTTTCCAAAAAATATGTATTTAGCTTCTCCTACTGAAGAGGCTCTTCCCTAGGCTGCAGATTTGGGGTTGGTGAAAGCACTCTTGGGTCTCAAGCTATGTGGGGCTTTGTACGCTAGTACTAACACCTTGAATTGGACCTAGTAGCTCAGAAGCAGTTGGAGCAACGGTACAATGACAGGCGGTGCTATGACAGTACTACACAGTGCAGTAACTTGGAAATTGCATTCTGCAGTATCTCCAACTTCTAGAATATCATCCAGGGAAGTCCCATGAAGAGTGCATTACAGTACCTGAGAAATTATTAGAGAATGAATCTCTGAGGCTAAATGCTCTCTGTCCAAGAAAGGTTGCAGCTGGTGAACCAGGCAGAACAGGGCAATGTAGTAAGGAAATACGTAAGAAAGAACTTCTGATCTGGGGTGCTGTCTAAAAGGCTGCACTCTAAAGGTCAAGGGGAAGGGAGGGAAGGGGAAGGGAGAATTCAGTCCAGTCATTCCAGATGCTACATTGATCAGGATCAAAGCACACCATACATTCATCCCACCACAGAATACATTTGTATCATTTTTTATTTTGCATGTAATCTATGTCTTCTATTGGGAGGGTTGCCTTGGTAAAAGGATCAGTGCTAGGATTGCCGATGAAGGTCGGCGTTCGAATCCCGCAGCGGGTGCGCTCCGTTGCTCGTCCACGCCTGCCAACTATTTTTGAGCACCCGGTGCAAGTAGATAACTAGGGACGCTTACTGTGGGAAGGTAACGGCATTCGTTGCGCGTGGCTTGCCGTGCTTGTCAGTTGCACGCTGACCCGGGTTCACTCGCGCGCTGGCCCCCAGCCCTTATGAGGAGGTGCAAACCTAGAGTCGGACACACTGGCTCGTAGGCAGGTACTTTATCCTTTTTACTGCTATATTATGCAACAGTATATTTTGCAAGGGAAATAAAGTGGGATTCTATTACCATGGGCTTTGATTTAAGCACAGGCTCCTTTTTTTTGTACTGTGCAGGCAAAATGAAAAACACTTTGCAGAACCAATAATAAGAGGCTTATAAACTCTGATGGCCTGAGAGACAGACGGCACAAACATCCACAAAACACATCTTTGCACAACTAGACCATCCGGAGGCAACAACAAACAGCCATCAAAGGTCAGCAACAGTTTCAAAAATAAATAACAAGAGACACAACAGATGAAAACATCTCGCTCCCTAAAAAGGTACCTGAAGCAAGGAAATCTCCTGTGGGCCCCGAAGCCACACCACGGAGTGTGTAGGAACTATACGTTGTAGACCACTGTGATATATTTTTATGATACAGTGGTATATGATTTTTTTTTTTTTTTTGCAAATTACATACTGGCATTGGCCCATGTGTTGCTACATCCTCAGCCTGCCTACTAGTGGCAAGCTCATCTAACACCAGCATCACAGGGGGCAAGAGCTGCAGCTCAGTGACAGAGCCTCTGCCTTGCATGCACAAGGTCCCAGGTTCAATCCCCAGCATCTCCAGGTAGGATTGGGAGAATGTCTGCTGCCAGTCAGTGCACACAACACTGAGTTGATGGACCAATTGTCTGACTCAGTATAAGGCAGCTTCCTATGATCCTATGCGCTACAATAACCCAAGTATTTTGAATTCTTAATTATCTGTTGTAAGAAGAAAAGAAACCTCCTACGCCTTTCCACAACAACAGAAACCGCCCTCTTGTCTTTCAAGTCAGCTTAGGGCAGCTTACTGAAGAGGAAAGAAACACAACAGAACTTCCTTCTAAGTGAGAGGAGACAGCCCAGGGCTTGGGCAGAATAGGCTCCAAACAACATCTCTATCTTCACCTGTGTAGTGTCCTGCAGACCAGAAAATGCTCTTTGCAACACCTGGAACCTCGGGTTACAGATGCTTCAGGTTACAGACACTTCAGGTTACAGACTCTGCTAACCCAGAAATAGTACCTCAGGTTAAGAACTTTGCTTCAAGATGAGAACAGAAATCACGTGGTGGGGGCAGTGGGAGGCCCCATTAGCTAAAGTGGTACCTCAGGTTAAGAACGGACCTCCAGAACGAATTAAGTTCTTAACCTGAGGTACCACTGTAAAATGCTTTGCGGCAGGAAGTTCTCAAGTGGTGTATAGTGGTGTAGGAAGGGGGGTGCGGTGGGTGCAAGCCACCCCGGGTGTCATCCCTGAAGGGGGTGACAAAATGGCTATGGGCGATGTGACACAGTGGCTTGGGCACCTGCAGGCTCCACGCTGCCCAAAACGAGAGCGTGGGGCTTGCGTCCGGCCGCTGCCTCTCCCTCAGCCACCCTACAGCTGGGGGGGGTGACGAAACTCGGTGCAGCGCGCCCTGCCCCAGTGCACCCTGCTCAATGGGTGGCTTGTCCCACTCCTGGATGGAAGGTGCACACGATGTTCCGGGTGCCTGAGCTACACCGCTGGTGCTGGTTGCACCGATTTAGCAACACACTCAGGACTCGTGGTCTGTGACAGGTCCCTTGGTGACAGGAACACAGGAAGCTGCATTGGCCCACCTCCAGTACTGTCTGTTCTAGAAGCAGCCATTACCTCCTACCTGTTCTGGGATCTTTGGCCTGCAAAGCAGCATCTGCTGCCACTGGGCTAAAGGTCACTTTCAGACAACCTGTTTAATGAGCAGGCATCCCAATTTGCTTGTAAGGAGAGCAGATGATGTTGCATCAAGCAAGTCTTATCCCTGTCTAGTACATCTCCCCATCATTTTCCTTATTGCACAAAATCCAGTCTTTTAGACGAGCAGGGTTCTTTCACAAGAGCTCCATACAGTGGTACCTCGGGTTACATACGCTTCAGGTTACAGACTCCACTAACCCAGAAATATTACCTCGGGTTAAGAACTTTGCTTCAGGATGAGAACAGAAATCGTGCTCCGGCAGCGCGGCAGCAGCAGGAAGCCCCATTAGCTAAAGTGGTGCTTCAGGTTAAGAACAGTTTCAGGTTAAGAACGGACCTCCGGAACTAATTAAGTACGTAACCCAAGGTACCACTGTATTTGTTTTAAGTGTGCGGTTTGAGAGTACATTCACACCATACTTCTAAAGCACTACAATACAACTTTAAACTGTCATGGCTCCCCCTAAAGAATTATGGGAGCTGTAGTTTATTAAGGGTGCTGAGAGTTGTTGGGGAACCCCTATGCCCCTCCTAGAGCTCCAGTTTCCAGAGTGGTTTAACAACCAATTGAATTACAGCTCTGGGAGCGAAATAAGTGTGGCCTAGCAACTTTCAGCGCCTTTAACAAACTACAGCTCCCAGAATTCTTTAGGGGAAGCCATGACTGTTTAAAGACATGTCATAGTGCTTTAAATGCATGATGTGACCTGAATTTGCCAGGATAGGATTGAATTCCAAGCCAAAACTGTGAGAGTCTGGTAGAGCCCAGTAGTCTAATTCCTTGCTGATCTTCACTCATCCAAACAGTACATACTGGAGAATTAGCAGAGTCTGCACAGAATGGGTAGAATTTCAATGCAAATAACTTACCCAGATAGTTCTTGCATCTGCAAGGTTAGTGCTAAATAGCA